CATTAGAACCGTCTCATCAAGACGAATCGAATGGCGGTAAGATCATCTCTCTACGATTAATATTGGCGAAGTTACGATACAATAAAGTTTTAAGTATAATTCTGGCTAAAATTATGCTAATTTTTGGCCGGAATTATGATATACAAATATAAGAAATTTTTTATATAGTCACATCTCTTTATAATCACCAAATATGGACTGTCCCAAATGTGTGACTATAAAGAGAGTTGACTGTATTTTATAAAAAATTTTAATTAATCTTTTTTTCTTTTGTATATATCAGCTTAGGCTCCTTATGGATTGTAAGTTTTGAAACAAATTACTGGAATTTATTATTTAAATTATATTGATGATAAGTATATGGATGATTTTGATTATGATAATGAAATAGTTGATTTAAAAGAATAGTATTAGCATGTATTATATGTATTATATTATTAGTAATATCACTAATGTAATAAACATGTTTATTAACTAAAATATATTATTATACATATTTTTTTATGTCAATATATGCATTTTTACACTTTGTATACACATTTTGATAAAGAAAATAAATAAATTAAATCTTTAAGAATTCCTTAATAGAAAACTTGGAATCTTTAAGGATTTTATAAAAATCTTTCAATAGGGAATCCTTGCTGGTGGGAAAGGTTTCTTAGGGATCCTCATTAATTATGAGATTTTTGGAATCCCTAAAGATCTACACCTCAAAAAATTTACTGATGAAATAAAAATAAAATCTTACCAGAATCTGCCTGCCAAGTGCTGACTAAAAAAAAAATAGCAAAACATTACTCAACATTTTGTTATGGATTTTGTAAAAAGAGGAAAAAAATGGGTGAAGATAAAGGACAGGAAAAGGAAAGGCAAGAAGAGAAGGAGGATAAGGATGAAAGAAAGATGAAAGTTTATTTAAAAATTTAGATAATGACAGAAGTGAAAGTTTAATTAAAAAAAAAGATCAGCTGGTAAGATTATCAGCTGGTAAGATTATCATGTGATACACATAATACAATATTAATTTTTATTTTATTTTTTCCAGTTTTTGTCTATATTATAAAAATAAAAATAAAAATTCTTGGATTTCTTAAAGATTTTTGTTTAGGAATCTTTAAGAATCTACCAATTTATAGAATCCTTAAGGATCTTTATGATTTATCTAAGGATTTTTAAGGATTCTATAAATTGCCAGATTCTTAAGGATTCTGGAACAATTTAAGGAATCCTTAAAGAACTACGGTCCAGAAAATTTACTGATGTATATCCCTAACTTACCTAACTTAAATAAAGTAAAGAAGGAACTGCCATCAAAAGGTGAAACAAGATGACGATTTTAAGGTCTCTCAGAATTCTACTAATACAACACAGTCAAGTAAGAAACATAAGAAGACTAAGCGAGTTAAGAAAAATGATAAGAGCTTAGACGGTATCAACAAACTAACTGTTGATATTTAATCAATGCTAAAAAAATTAGGAGTATCTTAAGAAATTCCATATAGAATGATCAGTAGGACCTAATTTTAAGAGTGTAGTAGTTGCAGGGTGGTTTCGTTACTGACTGTTTCCCTTTATTTTCATTTGTTTTTGTTGTTTTTCTTTTTATTTCTTATTGGTGCAAAGTATCATTTGATACAAGTGTGCCTGGAGATTCCCATTGCACAGCAGGAGTGGACGGTTTTCTCATATTTGTAATTTTGTATGATTTCAAATTTTAATAAAACCTGGCCCAGCCATACTATAAAAAATAAAATAAAAAAAAAATGAAAGTACAAAAAATAATTTGATTGAATATAAAGATTAACATATTAGTTATTCTTTTAAATATAAATAAATTCAATTATTTCTACTTTTAGTTGGATAATTTTATAAAAAATAGTTTTAAGAAAAATAGATTTATAAGTATTTAAAATATTAATAATTTATATTATATAAAATTTATATAATTGATATTTTAATTCCAATTATTTATTAATAAAGATGGAATATAAATAATTAATTAAACTATTTATTTAAACACTTCATATTAATTATTTATTTTGTTAAATTTGTGTAATCATGTAAGTTAAGAGACTTTTGACATTTTTTTTTTAATAACGTTTTTTCTTTTAATATATAAATTTACCATTTTTTTTTTAATACAAAAAATTTAATATTTTTTTTTTTTTTTAATCAAAAAAAAGAATACCTATTAAAAAATAGTAATCAAACATGGTTAATAGATTTTTGAAAGACAAGCTTATATCATAAAAATAAAAATATATGGAAATAAAATATCGAATAATAATTTCCTATGAATATATGATACCGCGTATGATCAACTCTATTCTGAAAATTGTCTCTCTCAGTTATTCAAATATAAAAAAAGATCTACAAAACCTGTTGCCAGGTTGAACCCGATATTATTATTATCCCACTTTGAATTACAACTCGGTACTCATGTGCATAATACTAAATAAAAAAAAAAATAATAATAGAAAGAAAATAAATGTAAAAAAATATTTTATATTACAAGTGATATTTTTTATATTTAAAAAGATTCACATCTCTTTAGATAATACTATAAGTTAGATAATAAAATGTATTATGCACAATAACTTTCGCGGATGGAATTAACATTTTTTATGAATAATCATATGTTCACAATGTAAACAAATTAAAAGTTTTAATTAACGTCAATTTTACTTCACCTCTGTACATTTGTTTCTCCATGAAATGCAGGCGCTCTTCTTGCAAGTTCAAATTCATTCCTAATTGGTAATTTTTTTTAAAAAAAGTTAAAAATAGTTTAATTTAATATTTTTCTAATCCCAAGAACTAACTTACGGATCATCATCATCAGGTGCAGGTCTTCGTACGGCTTGTCTTTCCATTTCTCCTGGCGTGTATTGGTGTCCATTAATTGAATCCCTTGCAGAATATATAGGTTCATATTCCTTTGAATAAGGAAATAAATTTAAAAAATAATTCATTAAAATATTTACAAATAGACTAATCCGGCACTAACAATAATACCTTTAATTGGACTTTGAAGCCTTCATTTGGGTTCATACAAAATCTTCTGTTTTGAACATAACTATAAGCTTGTTGATAGTCCATCTTTACAGTTTCCATAACATATGCGACCACGAAAGCGGGACTTCTAGAGATTCCACCATTACAGTGAACAAAGACTCTACCTCCGTTATAAAGTGCATTATCAATGAATGCTTTTGCTTGTGGAAAATGGGGAATCAATCTCTCATTTGGAGAATCTGATACTTCAATTTCAAAATACTGAAAATGTTCAGGAAATCTTGGACGTAATATCTTTTTTTCTGATGAATCGCGAATTGATACAATATGTGTTATAGCATTTTGTTGTAATAGCTCAAGATCTTTTGAACAAGAATAAGGACCAAGAAACAACCCTGGAAGAATCTCCTGCATTTGTCGTCTCATCTCATATCTTTTGGCCGGTTTAATAAAAAATAAACAATAAATAAATAAAAAGTATTCCCAATATTCTCAATAGGAAAAATAAACTACTCACTTCCAGTCTAACACCACTTGAGTATTGCTCACAATAGCTTGAAAGTTTTGTGTGAGCGTACTTTGTGCTGGATCTGTTGAGTCAATAAGCATGCCGTCCTCCATTTTAACGAAAGTTTTAATTAAACAAGCACGGATAAGTAGAATAAATTTATTTTTGAGTGTCACTAAATGATTGTCATACAGCTATAGGAATATAAGTAGCAAAATAACAAAAAGGCTATTTAAAATTGGGAAAAAAACAACTCGTGAAAAAGTAGTAAGTTTACTAATGCGCTATGAACCTTTAGAATAAATTCAGCGTACAAGGCTCGGTTTTAGGTAAGTCTTAATGTGTCACAATGAATAGCTATTGATCTGCGCACACGTTACACAAATCACGAAAAATCCTCTCACCAGGTCACGAACGTAATAATCCTCTACTATTCCAAAAACTTTTCCCATAACTAACCATAATTTCTTGTCCTTTTTTAATTTTTTCTGTACCTGAACAAACCCAGACGCCCATTTTTATTTCACCTGTCTGTATATCAATAAATTCATGAAATATACAGTTTGGTTTTTGAAGAATACCACGATAATCATTTATAAAGCGGCCTTCGCTCCCTATGAATTAAATGAAGTCTTGTTATATTGATCGCTTGCAAATAGTAAAAATTCTAAACATAAAGATTAATTCTAGGAAGTCAAATCATGTGTTATTCAAAGGCAATTAAGAAATGTTACCTTGTCTATATCCATCAATACAAAATTCATCGCCAAATCCCAATACATAATCACTTCCTTCTTCACCCCCAATTTCTCTTTTTGTAACTTTGCCAGTATAACAAACGACTAGATTAAATTTTTTAAGATCTTTGTTAGCAAATAATCCATACCCAGGATAAACAGGATGATCATCTGGTAGTTTCTTTATTCTGACATTGGGATTTGGCATCGGAGGAGATGTAGAAAGTGGGAGTAAATGTGATGATGTGAATGGATTATTTGGATGTTTTGATTTTGGAAGAGGGAATGCAAAAGGGTTTGGGGGTTTTATCGAAGGAGGAAAAAATTCATTGGAGGTTAGATAGGTTATATTAGAAGGCCAATTTTGAGGAACTGAAACTGATTTTGTAATTTTCTTGCCCATACTTATGAACTGATCAAAAATCCGTTTAACATGTGACATTTTTATTATAAATTCATGCCGGGCCGAATTATGTCCGAAGAGATTCTATTTATTTATTTGACCGGTACTATGCATAATGTTAAACTTATTTGTAACGTCACTATAAATACTCCATAATAAAGTTCTGGTTAACTAAATTTAAATTTGTATCTATTTATAATTTTTTTTTACGACGCTTTTTACGAATTCACAACAATCTAACTTTTTAACTTGCAATTTTAAAGAATGAGTGAACGGTAATTATTAATTTAAACAATTAAATTTTTTTTTTTTTTTTGGGCAATTTAACTAACCTTACCTTATTTAAAAAACAGTAAAGTTTTAAATAAATATTTTCCTCCAGATTTTGATCCAGCTGGTAAGTGTCTTTTTTTCAGTGTCTTTATGATTTTTTAAATTATTTTTAATCATTAAATAATCTTTAATTCTAGCTATCCCGAGGAGAAAACAAGCTAAAGATGCTCAGCATAAGGTTCGACTCATGACACCGTACGCTATGAGATGTGATACGTGTGGAGAATATATATATAAAGGAAAAAAATTTAATGCGCGTAAAGAAACTGTAGAAGGGGAAACCTATTATTCCATAAAAATATTCAGATTTTATATAAAATGTCCAAGATGTTCAGCGGAAATTACATTTAAGACTGATCCAAAGAATACAGATTACGTAGCAGAGCATGGAGCACAACGTAATTTTGAACCATGGAGGGAAGAGAGATTAGCAGGAGAAGAAAGTAAATTATTAAAAGAATTGGAGGAAGAAAATAACCCAATGAAAGCTTTAGAAAATCGTACTATTGATTCAAAAATAGAAATGGATGTTTTGGACGCATTAGATGAAATTAGAACAAGAAATGCGAGAAACGAAAGAGTTGATGCTGATGCTTTATTAGACAAATTAGTTGATCAAGATATCGTTAAAGAAAAATCTCAAGAAGAATTATTAGAAGAAGAGGATAGTAAATTAGCTAAAGCTATATTTCATAATGTTGATGGTGATTCTGTCAAAAGAATTGCCGATGACGATGAACCAGATTTAAAGCAATTGCTCTCTGATTCTGCAAAGTCTTTACTTTTACCAAAATTTTCTTCTAATGCTAAAAATGATGAGGAAGGATCGTTAGCCAAACGAAAACAAAAACGTCCCGGATCTGAACTTGGAGTAGTTGTTAAGAAAAGGAAGCAGGCTTCTACAACATCATCACCCATAAAAGTTGAATCTTCAAATTTGTCTAATACCACTAGTACCACTATAAACATTGATCCTAATTCATCAAATAAGATTTCTAATTCACTAGGTGCTTTATTAGGTGCATATGGATCGGATTCTGATAATGATGATTAAGTTAATAATAATAAATAAATAATATTTTATACATCTTTAATATTATTTATAATTTTTTTTTTTACCATAGGCAGTAAGCTCATTATACAGTAATATACAGTATATCACTTTTGAATTTCAATCGAATCAAATCGATTTTTTTATTTTCATTTATTATTTGTTAAATTATTAAAAAAACTAAATACCAAAATACAATAATATTAATAGAAAATGTATTATTAATAAAAAAAATTACTTTTTTTCCTTTCCTTTTTTTTTTAAAAAAAAAGAAAAAATAAAATAAAATAAACTACATTTCCTAAAAATAATGAATAATAATAATAATAATAATTCCATCCCAAAAATTTGCATTCAATTATTACAATTAATGTGTTTTTCTAAATTAAATTTATATATATTTTTTCTCTAAAGTTTACCTTGTAAAATCAATTCTATACTATTATTAATAAATTCTTTTCTTGATGTCATGTCCATATTAAATACTGTAGTCAATTGTTCTCGAACTATAGAAAAGAATAAATGAATGCGTTAGGAAAAAAATCTTTCTGATAATAATAATAATTATAATACTTATATACATACCTTGTTTTTTCGTGATGCTCATTAGATTAGCTGTTTGTAATATTTGTCTAATTTCAGCTAACACTTCTTCGTCAGTTGGACCACCATCAGTTGAGTATGAACTTATAGGTCTGGAAGGTGGATTATATTCCAAATCTCTCGCTAGTAAAGGTGAATTTCTTATGTCATCACCAGAATTACTAAAAGCTCTACTCATTCTATTAGATTCAGATGAAGGATAACGTGGTACGGGACTTCTTGACCTCGGTCTTCTATCAGCCGGAGCACTTAAATTTGTATCCCTATAATAATCAGCACCTCCATATTGGCTACCGCCATATACACTACCACCACCACCATATTGACTTCCACCATATTGCGAAGCATTATCATTATAACGCCCACTTCCTTTACTTTTATAACTTTGACCACTTGCTCCACTACGTTTTGAAAATCCTGATTCATGACTTTCAGCTGTATTAACTTCCCACAATTCTTGCTCATAATCTGCCCACTTTTTCCTTGGTATCATTTTTTCATCGAATTTTTCTTCATCTGCAGATGTAATAATTTGTTTTTTACCTTTTTCACCCAGAACGACACGTGTATTACCCCAGCTAAAATCATCAAAATGCCAAAACGAGTAAACTGGAATGAAAAATGAAAACAATGGGAAAGCCAATAAATAAATTATCATCCATCCAACATGTTGCCATTGTCTTTTTAATATAAATATAATTGCTTGTAATCCATACACAGCTGCCAACATTATAAGTGCAATAGTTGGTAAATCTTGTCTATTTGTTGCGACCGCCCAAATCAAATATATAATATAAACTACTGTAGATGGTAAAATGAGAGTACCAAACAAATCAATGAAAACAACGAATCTCATCGAGAAACAACAAAATCCGCACATTTCAGGTAAAAACATAAGTTCCATAAGATTGTGAATAGTAGAATTAATCCATCGACGACGTTGAGATAGAAGAATAGCCCACCGATCCGGTGCTGCCGTTTTACACAAAGCATCAGGTGTAAAAGTCATCTTATACTGAGGGAAATGTTTCATCATTAAAGTTGTAAGATATCGATCTTCTCCTAAAGATAATAAATTCTTTTTATGTAAAGTATCAACATGATTCTCCGAATATTCCTCAATAACTGCACTTGATATAATTAAAGGACTATTTTTAGTTGGAGTTCTTATACGATACATACAAAAACATCCTGGAAGACAAGTAACTGATCCGAATAAACTTTCAAATGCTTTAGCCAAATGGTGAGAAATATAATACTCGTAAACTTGAATCATAGTTGTCCAAGATCCTTCTTCATTAATCAAAGTTGTTTCTCCACAAATTCCAATAATTCGGCCATCATGCAACATACAGGATATCATACGATTAAGAGAATCTGGCATAACTTCGGTATCAGCGTCAACCATAAGTACATATTCGTAAAAACTTGGATTAACTCCTATAACATTTGTCATTTGATGATAAATTTCCAATTCCAATGGTGTCATTTCCAAATCAAAATGGACTTTGTTTAAGAATCCCATCAAAATAATTTGTGAATCACGTTTTCCTCTATTTCCTGGGCGCGATCTTTCTGTTTCTTGTTTTCCTACTTTAACTACGACAATATAAGGAACAACATGTCCTTCATATTCATATAATCCAGAATATACTTTACCATAGTTAAGTTGTTGCATTCCTTCACCGACAGATTTAAAAGCTAAAGGTTCCGGATCTACTTTAGGATCAACTCCTAAAATATCCAAAACAATTTTTGGTGTAGGTCTATCATTACCGGAACCGACAATCATACCATCAGCAATTAAGAACAAAAGTTTACGTTTATCATCATAAGTAAGTGCTGCTAAAGAATCCATTGTTCTTTTCAAAGAATCTTCACCTTCCGTATAACAAGGAACTTGACAAATAACAAATTTATCATGATCTTCGGGTTTTCTTTTCGCTCCCAATTGTAATGCAGCCAAAAATTTAACAAGAATAACTGAACACATAACACAAGCAGCTACTAACAACAGATAATTATTGAATTGACATTGAAATGAATCCCTAAAATCAATTTTTCCAACATAAAAGACATTTTCTAAACATTGAAAAGAAAGTTGTTTTTTGACAGGATCAAGAAATTCATCCAAGGCTTTGCCATTAAATTTATCAGAATAATCTCCTCCAGGTTGTTTATCGAAGAAAGTTTCTATGGCGTCATCAAAATAACGGAAATTTTGAACTCCCGGATTCTGTGGTCTGTCAGGATATTGTTGATTATATCCAGCTGTAGCAAAATATAATGTTAAATCATAAATTTTATTGTTTATAATTCCCCATTTACGTCCTTGATCAGCTTGATCTGCAACTTCCTTTCTAGAGTAGACAACATCAGCTTTAAGTCCATTATTAGCTTTCATTGCAACTAGGAAATTATCCCAATACCATCTAGCGTTTGTAAGAGTTGCTGAATTTTTTAAAAGTGCACGTACACCAGATTGGTGGACTAGTAAATTTGCTCCTTGAACTTGACCGGTCGTATTTCTGGAATAATCGACGAATATAAGTGCTGGATTATTAATTAAACTTCCACAAACATCCGGTTCTCCCAACGGTATTGGGATCATATAAGTTACATCTTGACCACCATAAGGTTGCATATCTGTTAATCCTGCAGTAAAGGCTGGATTTCTTGAATGATCTGTCTTGTGAAATTTGGAAATATCATAGACTTTACCTCTAACACTAACCCAAAAATCATCATCACCTTGATGTGTTGCAACTTGTTCTGGTTTATAAGCTTTATCTTTATTAGGACAAATCAAATTTCCAAAAAATATAATGTAAAAGATTATAAAAGCCGAAAGAAAGAAAATGATAAGGCAGAGGGTAAATTTTTCACGCCAAGCCATTCGTACATCGGGACGTTTCATTTTACCAATCCAAGAAAGAAGAAATGATGGGATCCACCATGTACACAACCAAACGAAACGAACCCACCAAATTCTAGTTTTAGTGGTTGGGATTTCTTCAATTTCTTCTTTTTCATTGTTTGCTTCAACATCTCTATTTCTTGTGGGTGATTGACCTTCACTATTTTTACCTCCCCATTCACTTCCCCACATACTTCCTTCCTCATCTTCACCAAATTGAGCACCCCCAGTTTTTGAATATTCATCTTCACTTTCAACATAACTTTGACTATCTTCAAAATAACCTGTTTCACTACTAGAATAATTAGCAGTACCACTCTTTGGTAATAAACGATCCGCAGAACTTGTAACAGAAGCTGTGTTAAAACCTCTTTGTGCTGGACCACTAACCAAGCTATCATCATCTTTAAGTTGTTTAGTTTTGGCACGTTCCTCTTTCTCAGCAGCTCTTAATGAATCTTCTAATCCTTTCCAAATCGAATAAGAAAGATAAACATATTTATTACCCATCGCAATTTGATTTTCACTCCAACCACTTATGGTAGCAAAAGCTTCAACTTTTTGTCGAGGATTTCTAGAAGGGTCCAAATTGAGAGAAGCGAGAATCATTTCGTAGCGTGTTAAGAAATCTTCAAAAGTATATTGAGAAGTATATTCAATACGTTTTCTTATGATAATGTCACGAATTAAGAAACTTCTAACTTGTGATTTTACACGTTTCGAATCAAATGAATCAGGTTCATTTGCATCATTTGGACGTATTTGAAAAACGTTCCACATTCTAGTTTCTTTCAAAGTATCAGTTAATTGGTTAAGAGTAGAATAAAGTTGAATTGTTACAGTAGTAACTTGTTTATTCTTTAAATTATTTTGATCTTTTTCACTTTCTGGTACTTTATCACCTTCTTTATTCGAACTTAAACCACCAGCATTACTTTTCTTTCGTTTCACAGAAGGAGATCTCATCGGTTTTGTGGGTAATTGAGCTTTAACAACAGTATTTTCATTCTTTGGATGACTTTCAATTGCTAAAGCAGGACCATTAAATAATTTTCTAATAAAAGAATTATTTGTTTCATTAAATAAGTTGATGAAATCAGGACCTAAATTGTCCAAATTTTTATCAATGAATTGATCAACAGTATAGGTAACTGAACCAGCAAAATGGTTAATACCAAATGCACCAGATTTTGAAGAAGTTTTAGGATTACTAACAAATGAATGATGATTCGAAAAAGTATTTTTTAATGTGGAAAGTAATTTAGAATCATCAGAAGCTCCTTCACCACTTTGAACTTTAGCACATTCAGAGTCCAATACAGAAATCAATCCACCACGTATAACTTTTGTAGATCCTGAAGAACTTGAACTATTTCTTGCATTATCAGATTTATTACCACGTAATAATTCGACACATCCATTATTATCCATTGTAGTAATATTAGGTAAAGAAATACCATCTTGAATTATTTCATTATTTATACCAACAGAATCATCAAAAATTTGTTGAAGGACAAAATTTTGTGTTTCTTCAGTGGCAAAATTCAAACAAAATTGTTCAAAAGAATTTTTTGTAAAATTTTGATAACCAGGTTGATCCAATAAACCAATAAAATTTGGAGGTTCATCAGATTGAATTAATTTTGAATTAATATGTTCAACAATCCAAGTAAATAAAATGGAATAAAGAGCACGAGCCAAAGCATCACGTTGTTCAACAGCAGCTTCAGCATTTAAAAATACGGTACATAATTCTTTTCCGATACATTTTGTTTTATAAGTTAATGTTTGTTCTAATTTAAATGCTGGTACACCAAGGTATTGAGCTACTAAATCTAAAATATTATGATTTCTTACAGTTGCAGCTTCATCTTTTGCTTTTCCATAACTAACAAATTCAACATTTCCAAGTAAAAGAATAGCAGAAAGAATTTGAAATATTTGACCGATAGTTCTTGATTTAAATCCAAGGATCTTTAGTGAAGCTCTCAAATCATCCATTTGAATGGAATCATCAACATCAGGAATTTTATAACATTTTGATTGAGCTAAATAATTATATTGATGAGGTTCTAATAAATGAAATTGTGATTTTTCTTCGGGTGTGGCGCCGGCCAATAAATAATAAAAAACGTGATAAGTTCTTTCATCCAAAGGTATTTCAGTAATTCTTGCTTTATCGAAACAATAAGTAAGAGTTTTTGCGCCAACAATTCTACCACGCTCATTAAATTGTAATTCAAGATATTTTCCAAAACGCGAAGCATTAATATTTTGTTGAGTTTTTGAATTACCGAAAGCTTCAAGAATTATTTGAGCATTTTGAATTTGATTTGCAATTTTTGATTCTTTTTTTGTATGAGTTGATAAAAGTAATAATTGTTGTAAAAGATGACCTTGAGTAGCTGTCTTACCAGATCCAGTTACACCACTATAAATTTATAATAAAAATTAATTAATAAAATATTTATTATCATTTAAATCTTTTCGATCATGAAGATCACCTTACTTATTTACCTAAATATAACGGATTGGTCTTCAGCAGTTCTTCTCATATGCATATAAACTTTAGCAGCTAATTCATAAATATGAGGTTGTAAAGCTGACTTATTACCAGATGTATCCTTATACCATTGATCAGCATATTCTTTAGCTGAAGCATCGCTCATATAACCCAAATTTTTATTAGGATTTACTACAACTAAAGAAGAGGAAGAGAGTCTAGTGTAAGGTAAGTCATGTTTAAAACGAGCTTGTAATGTGGAAACAATATCGTCTTCCGTTGGAGTTGTTGTATTAGATAATAGTTGTATTAAGTCGACCTTGTCATCTACCGAAGATGAAGTTCCTGATTGCTCGGAACCATGGTTCTTTTTTGTTTTCCCCATATTATATTATTATTATAATATTTTTTTTTTGGGGGTAGGGAAATTATTAATTAATTAATAAATATTAAAAAGGGTATCTGTTTTTTTTTTAATTCTTTTTTCTTCTTTTTTTTTTTTGCTATACAAATGTTTTTTTCAAAGGTTATGGTTTTTTTTTTAAGAACGAACAAAACTTTCTTGTTTTTTCTCTATTTTTTTTTTTTTATTATATTATTATTATTTATTACTCTATTTCCAAATTATAATTTTCATATATATTATTATTAATAAGTAAAAGGAAAGAAAGTTCGAAGAAGAAAGGAAAAGAGTAATAGAGAAAAAAATTGTAGAACGAAAATTTTTGTTTAAAAAGCAAAGACGTGCAAGTAATAAATCCTAATACATGTATAATTTAAATATATACAATAATATGATATATTTAGATATGTTGTAGCTGGNCAAAAAAAAAAAAAAAAAAAAACTGTTTGGTATTACAAGTTGGTCAACTTAAATTGTAATTGTTAAAGTAAATTACTATATATATAAGTTTTATTTATTATATTTATTATTAAATAGTAATACTGTAAATTAATTTGAAGGGACGCGAATTAAATTATCTGATTACAGCCTTGGTAACCCAGCATGAACAACAAAACGAATTTTTTTTTTTTTTTATTTTATTTTATTTTTTTTTTAAACGCGATTGAACGTACGATTCTTAGAACATAAATTTAATTAAAAGGGGGCGAAGTCATGAAAATTCAATAAAAAAAGAAATTTACGGACAGGGGAATATGAATGGTACAAGTCAAAAATAAATAGGATTCTAATTAAAGATCATGTTCATTAATTTAACTTATCACTGAAATTAGATATAGGCTAATGCATGATCGGGATTTTATTTATTCGGGTAATACAAAATAAATTTCCTTATTCTCTCATAAATTTAGCTTAGCCAAAAAGATATAAATAGTAAATTACATCATCAAATTAAATTTTAAATTTGTTTAAAATTGTTCTAAAAAAAAATAAAAAAATATAAGGGCTTTATATTGTTATGAAACGATCTAGTTAGTTTGTATAACCACTTTTTTTTATTACTAATAATAATTAATTTTTTTTTTTTTAAAAAAAAAAAAAATTAAATTTCTCGTAATAAATATGAATTTATAATGAATACATTAAAAATGTTATCGATAAATTTCGAAACAAAAAAACATTGTTACAAATAAAATAAGCGACGCGTTTTAGAAATTAAAGAAAAATTCTTCTCCTTGCAGTATATCGTGCATTTATCATATGAAAAAACCATCGACCAAATTGATAATATATGTTAGATGTTGTTAATAGATCAATTACACTGCATAAGAAACTTAATTCCTCTAAGAACAACTCCTCCAAATTCCAAAATTAGTTACGCTAAGTATAAATTGTTTTGTAAGAAAGAAATAAATATCATTATGGATCTTTTTACAGTAAGTATTTTGTATTCTTAAGATCTTTTCTACAAATAATTTTAAATTCTAATCAAAAATCTAAAAAATTCCATTTCCTTAATTGGATATAGTTTTATAATTGAGTTTTGAATGCTGAAACAGTTTCATATTTAAAGACACGCATATAAAAATATTCAATTCGAAAATAATTCAAATGGATGAATCCTTTTATATCCTGATCCCACGTTTTATCCTGTTTATATCCGGTTTGATAGATCTATAATACGGTAAAAACCTAATTTATCATCAAAAAAAAAATAAAGGCTTGGTTTCGGTAGTGAACATTTATTCATCATTCCACCTTGTGTCTTTGCGTTGTTTAATTAACCGCAATAAAAAACGGGTCACATTTTTTTTTTTAAACAGGTATTAAAACAATATTTCCTGATGCTAAGATTATAACTTGTTTTAAGTTGTACTTCCACAGAGTTTCTTGCTCTTTATTATAAACTATATATATTTTTTTAATAGTTTTAAAAATACAATAGATGAAATGAATAAACTGTAGGGGTACTTACTTATTAACATTATAATTAGCTTTTTGTAATTATTTAATATAAAATATTTCATCCTCACAAAATTAAAATACTTTAAGATCTAGAATATATTTTTAAATGAAATCGTACGATTACTATTGAATTGTTACACAACTTAATACTTTAAATACTTTAAGGCGGGAAAGTCTAAGCCTGTAACTTTTTGCTTTGTTCTTGTTCAATTAAATCCCTTCGTTTCTCGTGGCTTTATATACTTTGTTTTTTTTTTACAAAAATAGGATATTGGTTTGGTTTACCTAGTTCTAAATTATCTCATTAAATCTCGAATGAGTTGTCAAAAAATTTGGAGAAATTTATTAAAAAACTTCGTTTAGGATTATGTGATCGATCGGAAAATTAAGTTACGTAATGTAGTACAAAATTTATTAATTTATATGTTCCCAAATTCGGAACTGTAGCGGCTTTTATCATGGATATCGTAAGGTATCGTAAGGTGGTATGGTCTAAACCAATATTATCGTAACTCCGCGGGGTCGCGAGCTGCTGATCTATTGCAGATGGTCTGGAACATGATCATTATAATGACTAAAAATGTTTATCAAATAACTTAATAAATTAATCGTCCCTTTTTTTATAATTCAGGTAGTGTTTATTATACGATTAGTTCATTTTTTAATAATGTGAGAAAAAACTTATTGAGTTTCATGAGTTTCACTTGTTTTATATATGTAAAATGCTATTCAGCATGTGGTTTATTCTTTTATTTTGATAAATTTATTTCTTGCTATATTAAGTAAATAATAAATTTAAATATTATGATATATACTTTTCCTCTATTAATAAAATAAGTTAAAAAAGAAAAAATAATAATTACGTTCTATTATCCTTCCTTTTTTTTTTTTCTTCTCATTCCTTTTTATCCTTTTTTTTAAAAAAAATTAACTAATTTTCATCTTTTAATAAAGGAACTTTTTCATCTAGTTGTTCATTTTCATCATCATACAATAATTCTTTTTTATTCTTAAATAATCTCTTTTCATTATTTTTATTTGTATTATGTACCGGTAATCGAACGAAGGGTAAAATATTAAAAATCCATTTAAGAGTAGGTTTTTTACCTAATATTTTTGTTCTTTCATAAGAAACCAATACGCATAATATATATGAACCATAAGATGCTGTCAAGTGCCTATAAATTTTTACGAAAAATAAAAGAATAGAAAAAAAGTTAAAAAAAAGAAGAGAAAAATTTTTAAAGAAAAAAAAAAAAATGCTTTCTTTAAAAGAAATACTTGATATTTACCACCATGCGTGTAATTGAGGATTTGGTATAGAGAGAGGTAATTGATTTACAACTGAACAAAAATGTAAATCAATATGCCAACCAATATAACCAAATAAAAATACTGCGCTTCCTAATAACCAAAGTTTAGTAACAGAGGGATCACCCTCAGGATTAAATACGATCAATATCGTATATATATAAACAATTATTGAAGTAATGACAAAGGTTCCTTCATGAGATTTATGATGAAAGAAAAAAAGAAATTAATTATACTGCGCCACATCAAAATTTTGAAAGAAAAAAAAAAAGCTTTTTTTACCTTGAAATACGTAAAATTCTATATCCTGCATAATTTCATTATCATATTCTTTACCAGAACCAATCATAACAGAAGTTATGGCAACACCCCAACAGATCAATAATGTTGGAAACCAAATACCAAATTTCTTTTGTGATTTATTTTCGACCAAATTATATAAAAGTATCAATACACAAAACATCATTGGTATTTCATCAAACAATTGTAATGAAAATAATAATGTTCCATGAAATAATATTGATCCTATTCCGACCACAATGATACTATTATTATTTTCATGGGAAAGAAGTCGGTAAAGAATTCAATGAAAAGAATTAACAATCTCAGTGAGAAGGAAGGAAGGTATTATTATTATTGACACTTACGAAACAAATGCAATAGTATAACGCAATTCAAATCCTTTAGAATGCATTATCATGCCAAATATACCAGCATTTATCATACAAAGTGATGATAATGTATTAAAGAATTCTGCAATATAATGTGTAACATCATAATTTTTTTCACACCAATCTATTAATCAATAAATGGGAAAATTTTATTAATCAATTCAAAAGAAAGGAGAAAAAAAAAAAAAATTAAATATGAACTTACCGACTGTTTTATTTATTGTACAGTGAATACAATTTTACAATTTAGTGATTTATTGTAGAGAAAATGTAGTTGGTTAAAAAAAAAAAAGGATAATTTTTACCTGTTGAAGTTGGTTTTCCCCAAAATCCTTCTACTGAATTATTATTATAATCCATAGTAATAAATAATAAAGATGAATAATTTGAAGAGAATTTTTTTTTTCAAGTGGTTGAATGGGAAAGTATTTATATAATAATAAATGAAATTATAAAAAAAAAATGATTCGTCTCCTGTTTTAATATCAATATCTTTTTTTGGAAATAATGATTCGTAATTAAGGAAGTCGGGATTTACTATGGTCGAATAGGATCAATATTACATGTGAAATAATGTTTTTTAACTTTTCTTTCAAACATAACCTAAGAACAAAAATTCAATGACTTATTATTTACATGCATGACATGAGCGTGAGACCAAATGGTTAAAAACAAACAATCAAATTTTTAGTGAGATTCCCTTATTCCAATCACTCGGGCACTCCTATCTTTCCCCTAATTATTTTTGGTTTTTCAGGAAAAAAAGGACTATATTGAGGAGTCGTGAGAAAATATTTTTAATATCGATAAAAAACTTGTCCGTAATGATTTGCCTCCGAGAAGAAAAATTTAAATTAATATATGCAGGTACAAATGTATTAATTAAAATAATTTAACCAATACTTTTATCTCCCGTATCTGCAAACAATATTTACAAAAAATACTATTTGTCAATCATTGATTTAAAGAATTATCATAAATTGTCCAATATAAATTCAGATTAGTGACAATTTGCATAAAGCTTTTTACTTGAAATATTTGAGGCATGATATGAATTACCAATAAATACTTTTAACATTTGAAACATTAATCTTTATGAAATCAAAAATAAAATGCGTTGTGTATTTTACCAAAACGATGTTTTTTATTTTAATTAAACTGAAAAATAATAAATGTTTAAAAAGTTTATGATTAACACCTAATTTGCCTATCGATAATCTCCGATTTTCTGATCTCTGCGAAATTTTTTGCATAACAGCCCATAGTGCATATTAGTTCATCAAATGTATATCATAAATTTTGTGCAATTTATAATAATCCTAATATCTTTTTTTTATTAGGATTGCTTTATTTTTTTTATTATTTTATCATATTTTATAAATTGCAATAAATTGAAATGTATTAATTAGTGGTTAAAATTTTATATTATTATTATTTAATTTATACAGTATAGCATATTTTAACAAGTTAGTTTTTAAATAAAAATATCATTAATAAATATAAGAAACATAAAGCATTTATATTATGTATTTTTGTAAAATAATAAATAATACAGTCAGACCTCTATAATTGCACTCTCCATAATTGCACTCACTATATATACCCTCTTTAAATGCACCAGTTCCAAGCTTATATGATCTTTAATTATTTTACCTCTATAAATGCACATTCTCTTTAAATGCACTATTTTGAAAATTATACATATGGTCTTAAAAGATGTGCAATTATGGAGGTCTGACTGTATATTAAACCTCACCAGTGGTGATTATCATCTCTATATATATTATTATTCTAGGAACTTGAAATTTTTTTAGTAGGCAAATCCTATTGTCTTCCTTATATATCATACTAATGACAGCAAAACCCTAATTAAATAATTTTTTTAAATAATAAAAAGTATTTACAAGTATTAAAATGATTTTATTTTATTATTTTTTATTAATTTCAAGTTGTATAGAAAAGTTCATATTTTTTGAAATTAAGGAATTTAACATTTTTTTTTTCAGATCAAAAATTTGAGATAATTAGTGAATATAATAATAATTAGTCATTGAAATTTTTAAAGGTTAAATTACATAATATAATTGAATTATATACTTTTTTTACTAAAATTAAGTAGTATTAAAATTTCCAATTACCAAAACTTTGAAATTTTCAATAAAGGAAGAATATTAAATTAAAAATTAATTTGAAATAATTTAAAAATAAAAATAAAGATATTATAATATATAAGTTTTAAAAACCTTTAAAATTTTTTACTTTTTAAATTTAATTTTTAGAATTTTTGTAAAGAAATATTATATATATTATCTATAAATATTTATAAATAATTATATTTTGTAAAGTAAAACTTTGAGCAAGTAAAATTAGTAAATACAACTTCTATAAAATAGATTTTTTTTACCAAAATAGTATTAATAGTATTATATATAATCAAAAATAAAAAAAAAATAAATCAGACTTTTAAAAGTTATATTTATAATGTTTTTTTTTATTTATTTAAACTATATACTCCAATAAAAAAAGTCCAAATGGAATGGTAATTCAATACCATTATTATCTTTATATATCAGTTAAAGTGCCTTATATATATTGTATATATATATGTGAATGTAGTATAAATATAGTTATTTGAGAATATATGTTTAATAAATAATGACTTATATAAAAAAAAACAAAAAAAAAAAACCTTAATAAAAGTCTAACACAAATATCTAAAAGCCATATAAAATTTCTCAATTACATTTAATATGCCCAAAAAGAACCACACTTCACTTGTGATTTACTACTAAAACCAAAATTATTGTGTAAATCAGTAGTATCAGAAGAATGCAAAGTATCTTTAAAACTCTTTGCCACATCATTTCTAACATTTTCCAAATGTTCTAAATATTCTGTTGTAACATTTCCCGTAATATATTCCCCATTAAATACTGAACAATCAAATGATTTAATATTTGGATTAAATTTTTTACATGATTCTAATAAATCATCTAATTCCTTTATTTTGATAAGAGGAAGTTAACAAAATTGTAAAAGAACAAATAAAACTTATTTCAAATGCTATGCATAAGTAATTTACCTGATATATTATAACGTCCGCACCAATTTCTTTGGCAATTAAATCATCATCACGATTGTGTGCTACAAGTTCTTGGCGTGATGGCATATCAATGCCGTAAACATTAGGATACCTATATAAAGATTACAGTTAATATAATGCGTGTATTATGAACGAGAAAAGTTATCTTGCGTATCATGATGTTATACTTAATAGGAGGAGCACATGACGCGAAATAAATCTTTCTGGCACCAGCATCACGCGCCATCTGAACAATTTCTTTTGACGTGGTTCCTCTAACAATCGAATCTAGTATAAAAAAAACAAAATTAATTGTTTCCTTTCAAGTGAAGCTCATAAAAAAAATAAATATAAGTACCATCAACTATTAAAACATTCTTGTCTGCAAATTCTAGTGCCATAGCATTTAATTTGCGTCGAACATTTGTTCTTCTCATTTGTTGTCCTGGCATTATAAATGTACGACCAATATAACGATTCTTAATAAAGCCTTCTCTATAAGGAAGTTTCAATTTATAAGCGGCTTGTAATGCCGCTACACGACTAGTATCAGGAACCTACGTATACGGAAAGTTTTTTTTATATTTTTATTTTAAACCACGTTTTTTTTATAAAAAAATCCCTTTCCTTGTTGCTATTCCTTTAGGTAAGTACTTACCGGAATTACAACATCAATATCCATGCTATTACCACATTTTTTCAAAACTTGATCAGCTAAATATTCACCCATTACTAATCTTGAACTATATACCGATATGCCATCAATGACTGAATCAGGTCTTGCGAAATAAACATATTCAAATATACACGGCGCAAAGTTTTTTGCTTCAATTAATCGACTTTTTGTTATTTCTGTTTTTGTTATAATTATTGCTTCGCCTATAATAAATATAAAAGGAATTCATAAAACATCATATTTAAATATATTCAGAGGAAGAATGTTAAGGTACCTGGATTTATATCTATAACTTCGGTAAAGCCTAATGCATCTAACACTACGCTTTCTGATGCAAACATATAATCAGTCCCTTTTATGGTTTCTCTTCTTCCGTAACATATTGGCCTAATTCCATATGGATCTCTAAATCCAATTATACCAAAACCTTTTTTTTTTTAAAAAAAAAAAAAAAAATCTTATTAATCAGTAGATTACTTAAGAATGCGCTTAACTTGGCTGCGCTTTCATAAGGTACAAATTATAATATAAGAAAATGTAAACAAACCTGCAATCATAGCTACGCATGCATATCCACCTATACATCGCTCATACAATCCTTTTATGGCTGTAAAAATATCTTTTTCGTTAATCCTAAATAATGGATTAAAAATTTTCCACAAAATCAAATAATTAATCTAATTTAGCCAATTTTAAACTAAGTCATAAAATTTTAACATACCTAACTTTATTTGTTGCTTGTAAATTATTAGCAAATATATTCAATAATAATTCTGAATCAGAATCGGTATTTATATGGCGGTGAGTGTGAAAATCCAGATAATTTTTTATCTCTTGTGTATTGATTAAATTTCCATTCTAATGTGGTTAACAAAATAGTCGGTAATTTGTTATAATAATAAAAGTCTATTTTTTTTTCTAATATATATATATATATATATATATATAAACATACATGGCCAAATACTATTCCATATGGACTATTAACATAGAATGGTTGTGCTTCAGAGTGTGAAGAAGTCCCAGCTGTGGGATACCGTACTAAAATCAATAAATTAGATTATTAGTCACGAATTTCAATGTTCTTTTAAGTTCGAATTATCAATACTACACACCCGTTCATTACGTTCCCACTTCACCACACTCAATTAAAGTGAATACGCGTACCATGACCAATTCCAAGATTTCCAACTAAATTTTGTAGATGTTTTTGATCAAAAACATCTCTTACCATACCATTCCCTTTACGTTGATAAAATCTTCCTTTGGGTCCACATGTAACGATTCCGGCGGAATCCTTTTATTAATTAAAAATATAAACCGTAAATTGATCCATAGATATTATTTAATTGAACGAAACAATTGAATTGAATGTAAAATAAAACATTTTACCTGTCCTCTATGTTGTAAAAGTTGAAGACCTTCAAATAATTCTAAATTAGCTGAAGCGTTTGAATCGGCTAATAATAATGCTAAAATTCCGCACATTATTTTTTATTGATAAGTAGTGAAACGAAATTTTTTTTTTAAAAAAAAAATATAATGTCGAATACTTTACTTCAACCTTTATATATTTTTTCAAACTGATTTTTGATTATCAAAAAAAAAAAAATATTTTGAGCATATGACCAACTTGGATATTCAATCTCTTTTCCTTTATTGTGAAAATTTTTAATTACAGAAATTAAAAAATCGACAGTTTGTTATTGCGCGCCGATACATTTAACAAATAATCAAATTTTATTTGATGATTTTTGCAGATGAAATTTTTAAAGTGGATTAGCAGCATCTGTAAAGATCACAATCTACACATTTATAAATTATTGTCATGGTAACAATGATAACAATGATCGCATTTATTTGGTTTCAATGAAGTATTCAAATATAGACACTTGACCATAGGAAAATCCGAAATTTGGTAGAAATGCTAAATTCTTATGAAATACCCGGATTATCCAAATTTCAAAGCTTTTTTTTTTATTCCTAACGGTCACAGATTAAGGTATTATCTGCAAAATTTAGGTATTCTAACTCAAGATTTGGTTTCAAATGGGAGGGGTAATAATAATATATTATTTAATAAAGATTCAAGAAACAAATGTTATCTATTTAATTGAAATACGGTGAAATCATCTGAAAATTCATTAGAATTGGCATAGATCAACAGCATCAATTTTATTCTATTATGAATTTTCTTTTCCAATGCATCAACGCATTTTGGTACTTTACTTATTTAAACCAGATATTTAACTGATCAGGCCCGTCAAAATAACCCGTAGAATCAGCGCTATTACGAGATGATTCCAATATTGAAGTAAAATCTAAATATAAGCATAATATGTATTAATGCATTACTATCAATACTGAGAAATAATTATTTATATTTGTTGTATACCTTCGAATTGGCTTTCTTTATCAAAATACTTTGAAATCCTTGTGTATGTATTTTTTATTGTCCTAAAAAAAAATTATTCATTATTTAACCAAAAAAGTAGAAATAAAAAAAAATTTAGTACGTTGCATCAAAACCAGCCATTACTGCAGCGCGTAACACAGTATCCCATCTAATTGTAGGTTCTCTCGTCGGTTTTGCCGAATTAGTTGTACAAGGATAAATATTCTCAACGTTTATCTCAGAATGATTAACAGAAGTACTAGATTCTCCTTGCATTTCTGTTTGAAAGAGATCGTTAGTTTCATTTAATGAATGTTCTTGATAATCATCATCGTCAATTATATGATCTTTATTCGAACTCGAATCTGGTGCATACGTGCTAATTAAAAAGATACTATATCAACATATAGTTCACTTCGCTATTATATTTTTTACAATAAACTTACTTACCAATGCGTTTGGCTGAAAGAAAGGAAGTATATGCCTATTAATATTTAATTCTTTTTAAATAACTATTTAGAAAAAACTTACTTGTTAATGTTGCTTTGAAAAATAAATCCAATTGAATCCAAAAGTTGTTTCAAAGCAAATTCGACAAAGACAGACGAATATTGTTTTCGCATATTTGAAAAATATTCAAAAGAATAAAGCGAACAATATTTTGACACATGTCCTGCAGTTCCACACTTATAACAAAATAACTTTTTATTTTCACTTTCATCATTTCCTTTATCTTCATTTTGATGAATAATTTCTTTATGTTCACCTTTATGGTTATCCATAACATCATTTTTGTTTATATCATCAGTAACTCTACGTTTTTTCTTTCTCTTTAAACTTTTATGTTTATTTTTGTGACTGCTTTTAAAATCATCACTGAGATCACTTTCATATATACTTTCAAGATTGCTTTCATAGTCTATAACATTATTTTTCTTTACATTATCAACATCAACTACTCTTTTACGTTTTTTTCCTTGACTTTCAAATCTCCCCTCGTTATTAATTTTACAAACATTATCAATTTTGTTATCATTTTCTCCGTGGCCGCTTTCATACTCTCTTTCAATACCATCAATTTTATACCCCCTATGTGATTTATCAATAGAATCTACCATCTCGTGAACTTCTTGATCAATAAAAGTGTCAATATTTCTTGTCAAACCACCTTTAAATGGCGTTACCAGATATTTGATCATTAAATTACAAGTATCATCAGAAAAATTTGGCTTGAAAATCAACTGCTCTGCTTTGTCAAGCCTTTTAGAATGTGTTAATGATGAATGTTCCTTTTCAGTCTCAGAGATATCTATATTTACATATTTTGGTGGAATTCTTAGAAAATATCATTTAAAGGAAGCGTTAAAATAAAAAAAATAAGACAAAGAAAATAATCTAACCGAAATTCATATTACTTACACTTTCAATAATTCCAATCTTTCAGGCCACCTCGTTATTCCTATAATCTCACTGCATAAAAGGCCATGTTAAGATAAATAAAATAAATACATTTTAAAATATGCATAATAGTACCTTATTTCATTTATTTCACTCGTATTTTCATCGGCATATTTTAATAGTGAATGTCCATATTTCAATAATTTTTGGTCCTCATAAGAAATTCCATGATGATATTTTAATGTGAAAGGCGTCAGATCGGTTTTGGGATTTCTCTTCCTTTCATTTTTTGCCATTCTCTGATGCTTTTTATAATAATTATACTTTTTTTTGCTGCTCTTAGGCTTCATTTCATTTTTTTTATTATTCAAGAACTGAAAAAAATCATCTATTCTTGTCCATAATTCAAGATCTTGTTCAGTTATATTTTTTTTTTTCAATCGAGCTTTTTTATTTGTATAATTTGGCAATAAATTACACAATTTATTTCTTATTGTTTTCCAATGAAATTTTGGTAAATGATTTTTAGAAATCCATTTTAATAATTTTACCCGATTTTGTAAAAACTCATCAATATATTCTTTGATTATATTTAATAATAAAATTTTTTCTTCAAATGTCCAAAGTTCTTTAACATATGTTTTGTTTCTTGTATAAGACAACTTGCCATCTTTAACAGATCGTTTATTATATTCATCATGTGAATTATTATCAATTTCTTTATCATCTTCATTTTCATCAGAAGTCCTTTCACCTAGAATGCTTTCATGTATTTGATCTGAATCCTCCTCTTCTATATCATTATTTTCATCATCATCATCATCATCACCACCATCATTTTCAAATTGATTAAACAAATTTTGTCTAGCCATTATTTCTTGCACCTTATCAAAGTAAATCCATTCGTTTTTTATTCCTTTTTGTTGTTCTTTTACAACCTTATTGTACCTGGCACATATCTGACTCCATCTAGTTTCAATTTGTTTATGACTATACTTCCTAAACACATTATTACTCAACCATTTATAAAATTCTCCTTTATGAAATTGCCATTGATAAAAATTTGCTGATAAATATTCAAAAAATAAAATATTTTCTTTTTCGCTCCATTTTTCCCTAAATCTTTCCTCCTGGCCTGTCTTAGGATTAATTAGTACATTACGAGGTGTATGCAAATCAATATTAGAAGTTATAGTTGGATGTATGTACTGAGGAACTAGTGTTTGTCTTTCGTGATCAATACAAATTGGAAAAGAAATTCTTGGATTAATAGTTTTTGAAGAAGTTGATGTTTCCATTCCAGGATCCTTTTAGGTAGTTTAACATAGACGAAGTCCGAGATCATACAGTTACAGTTATTGATTTACAAAAAAAAGAGCAATTATCTAAACCAAAAAATCTAACCCCAAAGGAAACGACTCGCCAAACGACTCGCCTGTTATTTTAGAAACTAGTGGACGCGGGGGAAGAGTAAGAGTTAATTTATAGTTTATTATCACGTGATAATATGCAACATAAGGATCTTCAAATAGTACTGTAACAAAACTCGTTCACAGTCGTAAATAATTATGGAAGAAGCATCAAGGCAACGTAAAGAACGTCTTGAGGCTTTAAGGAAACGTAAATTAGACTCGGATACAAATAAAAATGATGCAGAAGAAGATAGTAATAATATCGAAAAGTAAGTTATATGTATGTATTTTTAGTACTTTTTTTTGAAACCATTTTCTTTAATCCACCAATTTTCATTTCTATGGTAGTCCAATATTAAAATTTCGCAATTATACACCGATAAATGAAGATATAAAATCAATATCAACGGTTAACATAGCTACACCAAAAGACATAACTGATACTTTAGAGAATACGGTTGAAAAAATAGCTAAACAAGTTAAAGAAGAGGAAGAAAAGAAGCGTGAAGAAGAAGTAGTTAAGTATAATATCCAATACGGGAGTTTAATTGAATTATTTATTGAGAGAATAAAGGAAAAATAAAGAGAAAAAAACAAAAAATTCATTGACATTATAATTTTTTTTAGGATTTATTTAATTTAGCACCAAAAAAACCAAATTGGGATCTCAAAAGAGATGTAGAAAAGAAATTAGCTAAATTAGAAAAAAAAACACAATCTAGTATTGCTGAACTAATAAGTAAGTATTGAAAATTAAGTAAGAAATTGATTACTTAAAAAAAAATAATTTTTTTTTTTTTGTCAGGGATAAGATTACAAAGTGAATCAAATGAAGACGCAAGTGTTGATTTGGTTGATGCTGTTAATGCACAACAAAAAGCTGATACTGATGGTGAAGAGTCTGATTAGATTGACTTGAAGTAGCTATATTCAATTAACTAAATGAAAACTTTATTGAGAAATAAATTTAAATTTTCATGGTAATTTTAGACTATAAAAACAAAAACTAAATAAGTAAATATATAAGTTAATTATCATTTAATTACATTTTAAATTTAACATACTACTATAATATTTGCAAATAATGCAATACATTTTTATTTTTCCAAAATGTATTTATATACAGTAAATTACATTGCATAGCTAAAAAATATATTATGTAAATTTGTAAGAGAAAAGTTGTTTTTTTATATTAGCTCTTTTCCCAATATTAATATTTTCCGTTATATCTTTCTAGGTGAGTGATGATAACACCAAGTTTTCCTAACCATTTCTTTTCCCACCTACTCGCGTCCTCAATAGATACAACAAATTGTTTCAACTCTATTCAATTACTATTAACTCCAACAATGACATTTCTTCTCGAACTTGATAACTCCAATAATTTGACACAATCGCATGTAGTCCTGGACAATTGTTTGACGTGGATCGCAACATAATTGCAAGGCCGGAATCAATAGATAGAAATGTTAATTTCTTCGCATAATATTCCGAGTGAACCTCAATCTTCAAAAAAAATCTACACGGTTCAAGACATTCTCGGGAATTAATTTACTTTTAGAATTTCATAATCAGGTATTTTTGCCAAAAAACTATACATCTTAGGAGAGATATAATTTGATATGGAAACCTTCTTTGATGAAAGATACTTTCGGGAGAAAACTTAGTATGATGAGGCATCTTGTTATCTGTTTCATCATTATATTTAGATTCTTTTTTTCATCAGATGCTCTCATGTAGAATTAGTTATGGCAATGAGCGATTAGTCCGGTAATAAGTGAAAATGTATGAGCATTCCATTCATACTTTTTACTTTCTTCAACATTTTGTTTTTGACACTATCACCATCATCACCTCCTAAAAGTTCAACTTTCATAAATTGCCAAAGCTTCATACTGATGATAGAACTATATCTGCTTTAAGGTATGCCCTGGGCCCTGGCATACTTTATAATTTGTCATTTACCTTTCATTTATAATGCATATTCATAAGTTATTTTTTACTTCTCAACCAAGCTCTTTGTTAAGTCAGGTGAATATCAAATATGTTTTGTCATAGAGCTCATTCCTCCTTTTTGCATTGTCAATAAATTCCATCAAGTATATCAAGTATGAGAAATTTATAAGATGTGAAGTTTAATTATTCTATCTTTGAACTCGGTACTTCATTTTCATGGAATTTATAATTATTGCATAGTAGTTAAGTCACTTTTATAATGTATATGATTAAACAGTGTCTAAAACTGTTGAACTTTCAACTTAATGACCTTTAAGAAAATTTCATCCTCATGTATTTATATTTTTTATGTGGATTTTAATAATTTAATTACTTAGCTTAACTTAAACTCATCATCAATGCTATTATTTTTTTTATATTGTTCAATTTCCTCAAACAATTTAGCAATAAGGGTTCAAATTTGTAAATGACACTAATAGTAAATGAATCTTAACGGTTGATGATAATAATGATTTAATGTATTAAACGTCCGTCACGCTCTAATTTTTCTCTCTGCTCTTTACAATGAGACATACTAGTAGCATTTTCGACATTTTTCGGTTACAACTGAAACTTATTTTGAATCCTTTATAAACTTCTTTTAGTTCTTTTTCGCTATAATGCCAATTCTATTACATAAAACTTTACTGTGTCATAAGTACTATGGTTTCTATCCTTTTTGGTTTTATTAACAATGTTCCAAATTAATCTTAGGATCCACCAAAAATACTACAATAGGATTACCGATTAACGAAATAACATACGTTTTTCACCTCCACTAAAAACCCTTAAGTCTGCCCTCAAATGGCTCCAAACTAACTTTGTTCTAAAGCTTTTTTAGCTGCTTATAATTCATTTTTTTGCCGGTATTCTCTTAACACGAGCGTAAAAGGGACAATATCCGAGAACTGTTAAATCCCCATAAATTATACTTTTATATACAGTACATCTTCCATTTGCATAATTACGCTTCCTGAACTTGTATTAATATGCGTAAGCGTAAGAAAGTAAAAAAATTAATCAATTATTATGTCACGCTACTTAATAATTTACAGCCCGAGTAAACCAAAATTATATTTTATCTACATTTAAAGTAACATTTTCAACATCAGCATCTAATTTACCACTGGATAAATTTTCTCATACGTTTCTCAACGTTTATCGTACCTACTGTATTTTTCAAATACACGTTTTCTTTCCTCTCTAACATCATCGTCGTCAAACTTTACTTCACCTTGGTCAATTTCTTTAAATTTTTTTTTTTTTCTTTATCAAAAATATTTATATTTTCATCTTTTTAAACGGTTAAACCTTAGATAATGTAACGTTTCCATCTTCTTTTAATTTGTTTTTTGGTGTACCAATCAGTAAATATGAAATTTTATGGTTTAATTAATACTTACAGGACTTTTAGTATGATAGTAATATATCAAAAATTCTACTATAGTGTATGTAATAGCAGATAATATTTCACTACCCAGTACCAAATCACTCAATTTATAAGCTTCAATGAATGCATTAGATAATTGAGATTGTTGAGCGATTCTATGTAAACCTTGACTAGAAAAAGAAATATTTCAATTTTATATTACCATATGGCAATTTAGTTATAATATTTGATATTTGGCTTGAAAATGTAACAATTAGTGGCAATTTAGTTATAATATTTGATACTTGGCTTGAAAATGTAACAATTAGTGTGGCATTATAATGTTTTTATCAATTAAAGCTAAATCACTTTATAATATCTCTTATACTATTGGAAATCAAATCATTAAAACCTTCGATTGTTCCTTGTCTTTTATCAAAGGCGGTTGAAACGTTGGTACAGTATCTAACGTAATATTTTCACAATAATTTGTATCAACCGTACTATAATGTAAGAAATGAAAAGAATTAAAATTGGCTTAAGCTTAAGGTATTAATGTATTGATAGTTTCATAAGAAAAGATACTAATACATCAGAGCCCTTTTATTCTTTTTAGCCCAATGCAAAACATTCCCTTGGGCTTTTGCTATTCTATCACAGCCTAAAAGTAAATGCACAATATACAAATATTAGTTACAAATGTATATACGCAACTTTGCGAGGCACTTTGACTTAAAAATGCATTATCTCCTGTTGATGCTAAAAAGAAATTTATATTCTTCGATTTTATCATTTTGCCGCTACTATTTGGTATTTCTGAAGCTAGTACATCTTTTACAAGTGATAATCCGTTGCATCTAACCGAGAGCAAAAGAGGAATACTAATGAACAAGAAAGGAGCAATAGCAGTGTATATTTGTAAATTTTTGCCCCTTTTGATACGAAAAGTTGATTAATAGTAATTTCTTTAAATAAAGAATTCTGCTATTTGTACATACCAAAACGCGTAATTGATAAGATTTTCTTTTGTTTAATTTGATCATTATTAATGCTAATACTTTGATTACGTGAGTATTAATGACTTCATTTATTATAATTTATATTGTTAACACTAATCGTATTGCATGATGTTCCATTATCATTAATACTTGGCAAATTTCGAGATGGATTCACTCTGCATTGCTATTTCTTACATAGTATCAATTTCGATCAACTTCCTTGGAGGAAGACATTTTATTTGTTAAAGAAATACAAAGAAATGTAAAAAAAATCTCAAACGCATTAAATTTCACTTTTTTATTTAGTATATGTGTGTTCATATAAAATATGATATAAAAAGTATTGTAGCATGGAATAAATAAATCCCATTCCGAACGAAATTTTTTCTAAATTTTATATTACTTCATTCATGTTATAACAACTTTGTATTTATATTGTTTCTTAATATGGATGATGGAAAGATATTTCGAACTTTAGCATTAAATTCTCGAAAATAAAAATTTCTTATAAACACCCATACTAATGATGGTTCTTTAAATAAAAATAAAATTTCTTATAAACACCCTTTATACTGCCCAATAAAAAAAAAATTCGAACTTTAAATTCAAAAATTCAAAAATACATCAGACCAGTCGAAAAAAGCGTCACCAAGATAGATAAATGTTTCGCAAAATTGATCCCAATTTTTCGATCAAGATTTCTGAAGGCGTCACAGAAGGCAGAAGATTTATTTTTGACTCGGAATGTCCCACATAAGCATAACTGACGACCATTTATATTCTATCCAGAATGTCGATGACTGGGACAGATCATGGAGAAACATGTTAGTATAGGTAGTTTAAACAAAAGTGTGGATCACAGGTATTGGAAAATTTAGTTTTCGCATGAAAAAACTTTCTCATGTACAATGTTTCATATTATGCATTACTAATTATCTATTTCAACATAATTTATTTTTTATTATTCAACATAACTCAAAAATAATAATTAATGTACAATTGAAGTTTAAATAATTGATAACATATATAATTAAAATCACGTCAAATTATACTATATATTAATAATGAAGGGCTTACGCTTGATATATTTAATAATGTTTTTCGGAACATAAAAAATAAAAATATTATTTCCTGTATACGATTCCGCGTTTACTACTATTAATAGGAGGACTTTGTGGTCGAGAACTAGAATTTCCGCCGTGATCGCTAGTTGCACTAGCATTACTTGCGGCACTCAGCCTCCTTTTAGGCTGACTCGTTGATATTATCCCACTGGAGGTACTACCACTAGTACCAGATCCTCCTTTATGATCACTACTATGAGGAGGCGATTGTGCATTACTTCCAATATGCTTGTTTGTAGATAAATGTGTTGATGGTGACAGATTTGATGAGGGAAATGTTGATTTATCTCGATCACGATTTCGACCATGTCGATTTCGGTTCAACTGACTGTTTGAACGCCCGAGGGATTGAAGAGCTAATATTATACCTGTCTCTTATACACATCTAGATGTGTATAAGAGACAGATATTATACAGCGGATATTTAATAAGAAATAAAATCAAATTTACTATTAAAAAAAAAAAATTCAAATGAAATTTCTTAATTACATTGTTTGCGTGTCTTTTCATGTTTCGTCTGTACAGCTCTAAAATGAGTTAGAAGCTCTTGGAATTTTATACCATCTTCCTTTGTGGGTACTCCTTTTGGCCTTCTGATATCCGTCGTGTGTGCACTTATAGAATAGAAATATTATTTATTTTAATAATCAGTCCGAATTTGATATTTAATATATTTATAAGATGATACCTTTTTGGTATCAAATGTAAGAATCCCATTGATGAAACACTAGTCAGTCGATTCTTTAAACTGGCAAAAGCACTACTCTGTGGTAAAAGCATTAATAAACCATAAAGACATTTGAAAAGATACGGATATTTTTCTGGTTCAAGAAGTTGTAAACGAAGATCTTTAAATTTGCCAAACAGTACATGTTAATTCCCTATATTACGAGTTATCCAATTTGGAATATAAACTCCTTTTTTTTAAAAAAAAAATTTCAATAGTTACAGGTGAATACTGGCGATTCTATCAATTGGACAAGTTTGTCGATCTGAATAAGGAGATTTACAGTTATATCCAAATCGGCACTAATATAAACAAAATGAAACGAATTTAAGACAAAAATTCAACACTTTTAATAAAACAACCAAAAATATAATAAATTATTACATACAAACTTTGTAACAAATTTGCCGCATGTTCATAAGCCTGTGCTAGTAAACATAGTGAAAATGTAGAAACAGGATTATGGCACCAGGATTTGTACAAAGCAGTAAACAACATTTGTCCGTCTTTTGTTTCAAGATTTTTAAGTCTTTTTCGCAAATCAGAAAGTTCAGGAGTGGTAATAAGAATACTGTTAAGATTTTGTACCATATTGGAGGCAAACTCTATGTCCTATTAGAATAATATGTTAGATCGCAGTAACGGGGAAAAAAATATAATTATTGAGGCTTGATAAAAACCTCCTCCCTTTCCAATATTTCCGCAAAGGTGCGATAAATTCTTTCTGAATTAAGACTCGAACATAAATGTCGTATAATCAAGCTACCTCTTGATTCTAATAGCCGTCGATCAGTACTAAACAATTTCAACAAATCGACCATAAAACGAGTAAAGAATTCATCTTCTGAACTAGAAGATAATTGTGCAAGAAGTTGAAGATCGCGTTTTACGACCTAAATTTTATTAAGAATACAAAATTAATTATAAATACTAAAGAGAAAGATTTAAATGTTAGCAATTTTATTCTAACCTCCTCTGATTGATCTGAGAGAGTCTTCAACAGTACTGGAAAAGTACCATCATCAATTGCAAGAATCTACAAAGTTGAACATTTATTAAGTTAAATAACACAAATGAATTAATGATAATAATTCTTTATATTATAAGACTAAACCTTTTTGGGTGCTTTCTTATGCAACATTAATAGCCAATCCAAACTGGCCACCCTTGTTTCTTCATGATCATTTTTAAATTGATGTACCAAAGCTTTAACAGTTTCCTGATAATCAAATGGATCTGCCTGTTCATAAATTAAAGGTAGTGTATTAATACTATTGGTTTCTTTATTGTTTCCCATATGCGATAAAAGAACGGAAGAATCCACGGGCGAAACAGATGATAAATGTGCAGAAGAGTATGGAGGTGGTTGTAGGGATGGATTAGTATTGGTTGGAGTTTCAAGAATCAATTTGTATAGGTTCCGATTCACTTCCACTGCAACATTTCTGATAGGTAAGCAATATTTGTCAAGGACATAAATAAGAAGTATTTAAAGTATTTAATGAACACTTTATAATCTCTACATGAATATGAGTATAAAGGATATGTACTACTAAATGGGCTAACGAAGGTAGGACAGCGCTTATCAGTTGTGGTGTAAAGGCAATTATGACATCTTTGGCGAGTGTTATAAATTCGTTTATCCATTTTAATGCAGTTGCCTGAATCTCTTCCTCTATAAAGGAATTGAAGTACAAAATAATAAGTGATAAGAAAAATTTCAACGAATTAATAAAGAGAAACTTACCATGAGAAGACAAATGAGGCATTAAAATTTCAACAATTCGAGTATAACTAATGACAACTCCTTGGCCAGGAACCCATGAACCTTTGCCCTTTCCCTCTGTTTCACTTATCGAAACTGCATCCCAGTTAACATCTCCATCAGCTGAATTAATAGATGATTTCACTAGTGTAGCGTCATCGCCATCACCATCTTTTATACTTTCACCTGCGTCACTAGCAGTTTCAGATAGTTTTTGTTGTTCAAGAAAATAAGTTTTCATTGATTGCTGTTTTTGTTGTTCTTTAACTTCGACTGTTATACGTATCTCAGCTAAGAAATTTGCAAGTACTGATGAAGTCGCATATCTAACATCATTTGGATCACTTAAAAATTGCAAAAGACCATCCAAGAAGTCCGGCAAAAATGATACTAGTTCAAGATCCGGTATTGAGTCCAGTACAGTAATCCACGATACCAGGAAATTACGTGTAAATGGATTTTTCGCTCGGATACGTTCGGAAAGTAAAGGAATAAATCTAGGTAATGAGAAAGCAGTTGTACGTGGCATTGAAACTGGTCCCATTGAGTCATCGTGTGACAGAGGAGGATGAGCTAAGATAGATACATATGTAGTAGACTGTTCCGCCACAATATCTTTAATTAATCTATCCAGAAGTTCAGCACCATTTTTAACAGAAAGTTCAGAATCCGCAGCTAGCTATAATTTGCGCATAAAGTGAGTATGCATAATGTTGATTACTGTTTGTACCTGACTAAAAGTACTATCAACCCTTGGAGAAATAGAATTTACCTTGCTCATCGCATCAAATACTTCATTGAAATATCGCAATATTTCTCCTTTTGACACTTTCGCAATATTATACATGCTTTCACAAGCATAATATCTGACACGAGAATCTTGATCTGCGAAGCAAGCGAGAACTGGAGGAACAATATCATCCAAATATGCAGCTACGTCCTAAACAATATAATTCAGAATTCAGACATCAATCGGTCAGGTTCAGATTATACAAAAGAATACCGTTCAAGTAAGACTTACAGGGCCTAGAGCAATAGACGCGGCTGCCAAACCAATTAATCCTCCATTGCGTGCATTAGCATTTACTGAATACGCAAAATCTTGAACGAGTTTATCTAGAATTGCTCGAACTCTTTCGGTTTCTTTGCTCGCAGAGTATTCACGAATAAGCCTATGAAAAATAAAGTATAATTAGGAAAAATTAATCTAATAAGCTTTTTTCACAAACTATTCAGATAAATGCTAGGCTAATAACCCTTAAGGACGCGCTCATAACCGTTAAAGTGTTCTTAACAAACTCGAAAACCAATAATGCATACTTTTCAACTTCTAATGCAGCGGCTTTACGTTTTTCATATGCTTTATCATTAAGTCCACGAACAATTTGGGCGCTTAGAACTAGAACGTCCGACATTAATTTGAATTCTAGGATAAATTTTCAGTAACTATTCTAAAAATTTTATCCGGTATCCTAACGAGTTCAAATTTATCAACAAAGATGTATGTCAAAAGATGTCCATGTAATTAAAGTCATTTGATGCCGTACTACGTTACATTTTGGTATGTCCGTTAATCATCGATTAGATTATTACCGATTCCAAAAATGCCTGAAGTTTCACGGACATCTATGAATTGAAAGACGATTAGAAATCGCAACACATCATCTCCAACATATCTTATTTCCTTTATGGATATTTTTCTCGTTCGTTTTTGATGAAAGTTAAGCTGAATTTGATTGGATATAGGATTTTGTACAAGATGGATAAATAGAATCATAACCAGCCAGATACCTGCCTTACTTTCATATGATTTGTACCTCAAATTCGGGATCCAACTCGATCTCATAGATACCTTATATTCACACTAAAAGGTAAGTTTTGTTTTATACTTAATACAAAAAAACTCACTTTCAATCAAAATGACAATCTAAATTTATTTCCATTATCCATAAATTACGATTTATTCATAAATACCACGAATAAGTACAATATTTGGAATGTATATGCTACAATATTAATATTGTATTGTGAAATATTATTCTATTAATTTATTGTTTGATGGTTTCCATCAACACGAAATCGAATAAATCGAATATAATTATCATCGTATAATCTTCGATTTATCTGTCAAATTACAGAATTTGGTTTTAGAAGCGTATTACAAAAGTATTTAGTGTTTGCCAAGTACTAGATATAATTCATGTACATTTGCCTCTTGCATTAGATCAGCAAGAGATTTCCTGCATAATGGCATTAGATACTGATATATATTAAGATAAATGCTTTGGAACTAACATCTAATTATCCTATTCGGAATTAAACACATGAAACTTTCAAGATAGTTAAACAAAGAATTACGTTAGTATTGCTGGTAATTTTCGCAGATAGTTTACTAAATTATCCTAGTAGCAGTGTACAACTCAGTGATATAAATCTCACCTAATGTTGTAGTTCATATTTATATTATTTCTTAAAATATTTCTACCTTACTAGCAAAGAATTAATTTTTATACTTACTTCGTATTTATGAACGACGCAATTTTGTGATTTGTCATCCCTAACTACAAACTTATTTTATTTTTATTTTTAACATAAAGACGGACAAGTTACAATAGAATATGATAGCCTAACACTAATTGTGACCAAATGACCCGACAAACTTAGTATAACTCCTCGTGACTATTTCTTAATGGCCAAAAGTCACGTGCTGAAGAATTCTAGAGCGATATTAGTATGTATTTAGCATTTCAATCATACGTTATTGCTATACTGTAATTTATTTAAATTATCTAAACTCTACAAAACAAAAATAAATACAAAATTGAGAAAAAAAAAAATATACAAAAATATTAATGTTTAAAAAAATTTCTGCGTTTAAATCTATGTAGTTTTTTTTTGTTATAATGTTTCATTATCTTGTACATAATCATCCATTAAAACATCATGTCCGTCATCTGTGGCAACAGGTGAATAATGATAATTGTTGCGACCAGGGAATGGAATCTTTGACCATAATCTTGAAATAAATCTTGGAATTCTGATTTGATAAAACATATCAATAATTGTATTAGGTTCAATAGAACTTCCAAGTCGAATACGCCTAATTGATGATGATAAATAAAGAATAGTCAGCAATTATAATATCATAAAATAATAAAAGATTTAAGTAATAACAACTAACCCTCCTGTTCGTCCATATCTTTTGTTAATGAAACAAATTGTCGCAATTCCAACTATAACGAAAGGTGACAATATAATAATTATCCAAAATAAAACAGAATGGTTTCCTGGACAAGGATGCCTTTTACCAAATTTAGGAGGTGCATTCTCACAAGTGGAGGCTTTAAGTTTACGATAACTAGTTTAAAAGAAGTATTTACATATTAAAATTATTTATTATCAGAAAGTTTAATTCACCTATATAAGATAAAATTTATTACTTACCCAGATAATTCATACCAAAATCCATCACCATCAGCACATTGTTCAGAAACACTACGGAGTAAGGGTTGAGCACCAGGAACCAAAACACATTCTTCCGTCTCATTACGCATGTAATTATAATCACTAATATGAAAATATTTAATCAGCAACAGCTTTATATTTAGATAAATGTTAAGTTTCTTACCATTCAAAGTCGTGATCTGTACAATCACAGTTTTCACCTCTTTCTTTCTTATATCTAAGCTTATCTTCAATATAACATTCGTTTTCACGTATCTTTCGAAGATATGAAATCTAAAAATAAACAATATACATATTGACATTAATTGGTTAATAAATAATAGAATAAATAAATGTCAGTTAAACTCTTACCTTATGGCCGAATAGACATTCATTATCTTGATGTTTTGGTGTCCATTTTTCAAAATCTTTTTCCAGGTTACCTAGCAATTATAAGAATAAAAAATATAAGTACTTAACATAGACGGTCGTAGAAAGCGATCTATTACTTACAAGTTCTTGTAAATATGTGTGAAAAATCGAGGTGCACGACAACTTCTTCGCCACCACGAGATGGATTAAGACCACGTAATATGAATTTACTGCTTAGTCCACCTGGCATAGTATCAATATCGAAAACTCTGATAGGTTGTTCACCGACTTTAATAAATTTATATTCTTGCCATGAGAGTCCCTCATTAAGTGAATACCTTGTGACAAAATCAAAAATTCATTAATTTAAAATATACTAACAAACAAATAAAAGGAAAAAGAAACGAAATGCAACTCACAATATGTGATCTGTCGCTTGCTCATCGTCAACTAATACTATGATACCACCTTGATTTCCAAATTCGTACATATAAGCACCCTTCTTAACTTCAATCCATGTAGCACCAGCATCTCTTGTTAAGAAAGTATCTCCTTCCAAGTATGGAGTTAGATATTCACCAACATTTCCTACACCCATCATCAAACCAGTAGCAGAAGAGGAACTAAAAGAATCACGTGGATTCCTCCGTTCAGTATAACTATGCAGATGTAATGAACATTTATCAAGAGGGCCCTACACAAAGGAATTTAAATATGTTAAATATGTTACAAATATTTAAAATCAAATAAATAACAAAATTTAATAATCACGTCGCATTTATATTTATTATTATCTGAATCAAATTCTGGCCGGTTCAACAATTTCCATGTAGCTCCTAAAAGTTAGAAAAAGAAATTTTAATAAATAAATAATTCATAATAAATCATAACATAGTAAAAAAGATCTATACTCGCCATCATTAGTTGTAATCTTAGATTTTAATTTTTTATTATTTCCCATATTAACTTCATCAACATTACCGACAATATTTGCCAAAGCGATTCCTTGAATGCCTTGCATTTTTTCAAAATCAACAAAGCCTTTATCATCCCGATTAGCATACCCCAAAGAAAATGAATAAAAAGTTCCATTTCCGTTTGATTTCAAGATATTGCCATATTTATATGTTGCTGATGTAGTAACGTGAAGTGTAATAGAATAAGTGGCTGATTCCAAAACAGTGTAAGCCTATAAAATAATATGAAAGAGAATTTAGAAATTAAGATTAAAAAAAGTGATTAGTTAAAAAAAAAATACATTTTGAGTCATTAGCATATTTGGTGGGAATTGAGCTTCCGCAAAGTTTTTAGCATCGAGTGAAACCAAGAGACGGAGACTTTGACCACTTGGCAGTAGCTTTATTAAAGAAGATGAAAATAAACATAAATTTCCGAATTGATATTTAAAAATCAAGTTAAGTTTTGAATAAGGTACGAACCTCGGCAACAATCATAAATTCTTCATATATAGTAAATCCAACAATGTTTTCAATAGGCGCAGTGTTTTTATTTTTAAAAAAGTTATCTGAAGATACAAGTTTAAGCGGATTGTTGAAAAATGTTTTTTGTGATCCTTCCTTGTTAAGATACGACTCGCAAATGATAAGATCTTGATGTACTTTGAATTTCTTGTTGCGAGCCCATTGGCATACTCTGACATACGTGTCAAGACTTTTCCAGTCTTTACCATTATTCCAAGTATAAGATGCCTAAAAGAATATTATGAAAAATTAAAAAATGAATAATCAATAATTACGATTTCATACTTACTTGAGTATGACATGTTTGAGACCATTCGTCTTCGCAATCTATACTGCCTATGTATATTAAATATTCTGGCTTATCAAGGTGGAAACTAAGAATCGGAATTTGAAGAAGATTAGGCTTTGTTGGAACTTTAAATTCGTTGAAAGTAGCTCCAGAATCGGACGTATACAAATGTCTATCTCCGAGCGTAATGAGATATGCCTAAAAAAAAAAAAAATATATCAGTTATTCCGATTTAATAAGAAATAACACAAAAGAACATTATATAATCTGCCTACATATTTATTAAAATGGGGATTTTGTATGAGACCATATATTTTTTCTTTGGAAACCGATGTCCATGTATAGCCTTCATCAGTACTTCTCCATACAATATTATCCATTGACCGTGCCAAGATAGTGTTTGATTCATTGAAGTAAAAATACTCAGCAATACGTTGATCAAATACTTTCTGTTAAATTTTATGAAAATTTATTTAGAAATTTTCTAGAAATACCGAAACAATGTTGAACTTTATATATACATACTGTCTTAGAAATAACAATATTTCCTGTTTTAAACAATAAAGAATAAGAATCAATCAATACTATCATTTAAAATATAATTAGAAAGTCGAATTTACCTGAATCACAAGGTTTTTCAATCTTTTTATCAAAATTTTCGCCTCCTTCACATTTTGATTTTTTCATTTTAACATAACCTGAATGTCCTAGATATTTATCTTTACAATTAGCTGGACGATCTGGATCAGGACCCATCAATTCACATTGTCCCGTTTCATTACGCCAATAACCATGAGCACTGAAAGAAATTGAAATTCTAAGATACGTATTTTAAATAAATAAAATCAATTATTTATTAAAATTATACTTACCACTCAAAATCATGTTTAGTACATTTACATGTTTTTCTTTCAGGAGGTTTAGGTATAGATTCTCCAATATGACATTCTGCGTTAGCTTTACGTCGCCAAAATTTTATCTAATATTGAAATTAAAATTTTATAAAATATAAATTTATAACTTATACGGAAAGAGAGATGCCAAATACCAACTTCTTCACCCAATAGACATGTATGATCATCACTGTTTTCATCCATTGGATTCCATAATTCATAATCATCTTTATCACCTGAAAATTAAAAATATAAAAGTTAAAAAAAAAAATATGATATATCATTATTATTAATTCTACTTACATTTTCTCTTCTCTAATTGCGAAAAGTCAAGTGTAACGACAACTGGACTAGCTTCGTGTGTTGAAGTTTGAACAGTATATCCTAATAACAAGAACTTCATGCTCGTGGACTTTGAATTTGTAGTAAGAAGTGAAACTCTAACAGGAGTTGAAGTGGTAAATGTATATTTTTCCCAATTTTCTCCGTAATCCCAACTGTACCTATATTTTGAAGTTTTATTTATTTATTTATTTATTTTTAAAATAATGATATATTTAAGAAAATTTTTTTAGACACCAAGTCAACTTACCGAACGTGATCTGTAGGAGCCTCATTGTCTACAACGACAATTATTGTTCCCTGGTCGCCAAATTCATATAAACTTGGTCCACGTCGGATTTCTTTCCAAATTCTACCGCCGTCGCGACTCATAAATGTATTACATTCGTTGTATGGTAAGAGGTGGGGTCCAAAGTTACCAACCCCAATTAAAAGTCCAACTGCAGATGGGGCACTGAATATACTACCCGGACCACGAATATCAGTACGACCATGTAAATTAAGATGACAATCCTGGAAAAATTATTTTTTAAATAAATATTTAAGTAAATTTTGGCTTTTTTTTTAAGAAAAAAGATACATATATAATTAAAGGAATTTACAGACTTGACAACTACTATCACCACCATTAAATCTCAAACGTTTCCAATGAGAACCTGAGATTAAAATTATAAAATGTTAATTTCTAATTTAATATCATAAAAGAAGATAATTTACTTACCATCATCATAACTTATTTTAGTGATAATTCGTTTCTTCACATAATCATTAAGCTCATCAATATTTACAACTTGGTTAGCTAATATAATTCCATCTAATCCCTGAACTTTTTCAAAGTCCACATTTCCGAAAACATTGCGATTCGTGTTATCAAGGATTCTATTAAAGTCTGTACCATCTGAGTTAGATTTAAATAAGGAACCATACTCGGATCCAAGTCTTAGAGATTTGTATACATCAAGAAATATAGAGCCAGTAGTAGATGGGAGGATAGTATACGCCTATGTATTGAAACTATTAATACACGTACTTTTTTATCAAATTAAAATTTCAAACTTACTTGTTGATTTACATTGATATCAGGTGGGAAGGTCGCGTTAGAGAATTTACTTCCATCTTCTGAAATATGAAGTAACAATTCCCCTCGTTCTTCCTAATTTTTTTTTTTAAAAAAAAATATTACTTTAAAAAAAAGCCAAATTAGTCAAAATATACATGAAAAATTAAAACTAAACAAACCGTAGCCACAGCCATAAACTCATTAAAGACGAAATAATTAACAACATCATTAAATAAAACTTTTTTGGAACCTCCATCTGTTCTCATTTTAACAAGTTGTAAAGGATTTGCTTCCGAAGTTCTACCACCTAATATATCTTGAGATATTTTCGAATTTTTATCTTTGTATGATGAACAAAAGACAGCATCATTTTCTGTTTCCGAAAATTCTGTATCCTTCCCAAAAATACATTTATCTGCCCAAGTCTCAATTTCCTTCCAACTTTTCCCATTGTCTGAAGAGAAATAAGTGATTGAATGACATCCAGGACATGTAGTGCCAGCCATATATAATAACCAATCGTATTCCTTTGGATGAAAATCAAGCATTTTAAGATTAAGTTTATTAGGCTCATTTTTAAGTTCAGTTTTATCAAAAGTATTTCCACTATCTGTAGTGAACCACATATAATAAGTTTTATCATCAGCTTTTTCAGGGAAGAAATAAGCCTAAAATTAAAAATTAAAACAAAGTTATTACTATATTTTATAATTTTCAACTTGTATTATAATTTACCTTAGTTTTATCATGATCATGTAAGAACATATAAGCAATCGATCCGGCTTCAGAAAGGACGTCTTCCCATGTGCTTCCTTCGTCTGTACTTCTTTTAACCTTGCCATCAATTGTCTGGATCATTAAATTCTAAAAAAAAGAAAAAAAAGATAAGTAATAATCAACACGGCCATTCACTTTATAAAAAAATTCATTATAAAGTTAAAAACCTACCGTAGATTCAGGGAAATAAAGGTAATTAAGGACATCAAAATTAGCAGTTCTATGTAAAACTTCTCCGTAAAGTGGAGGACCAGAATGGCCTAGAAAGTAAGTTGAACAAATTGATTAATTCATCAAATTCTAATAGTTTATCCAAGAAGTAAGTTTTTACCTTCAGAGCATTTTTTGGTTTTAGGTTCGTCAAGTCTTACTGAATTTGGTTTTTCAGGATCACACTCGTTTTCTGGAATTTTACGATAGCCTGAACTTCCTTCATATGTATCTTTATCCTTACATTCTCCTTCAGGAATACGTTCAGGTAATAAAGGTATGCACTTCTCCTTATCTTCATCAAGAATGTAATTGAAATCACTAAAATAAAACAAAAGGTTTCCAGTAAGCTAAATTATTACATATACCCCAACATTTAGCTTGTTTAAATTTTGGACTTACCATTCAAAATCTTTTTCTGTACAAGCGCAATTTTCAATATCTGGAGAAGGTTGTTGCGAGGAAACAACGAAACAACGAGCTTCAACTTTACGACGATGATAAGTAGTCTAACGATTTCAAATATTTTGGTTGGATTATAATTATAATTAAAACAGTACTAAACATATTTCATATTTACCTTTTTACCCATAAAACAATCAGAGCCAGATTCGGACCGTTTCGCAACCCAATCATCGAAATCATCCCGGTTACAATCTCTATCAAATAATTTCGAGAAATCTAATTTGAATATAAAATGTCGATAATTACTGCTTCCATCGCCAGGTGTATCATGATTCGGAACAGCAGAACCCAACAGAAGAAAATTTTTTGATGTGGGATCTGTTGTAAGCAATTTTGCAACAATCCTTACTCCCAAAGATTTTCTATTCCTGTAGAATTTTTAAAATTAGTAAAAAAAAATAATTAATACATAGAAAAATTTATATTTTAAACTTACCAAGTTTCACCACGATCATAACTATATAAAATATCATCTGTTGGTTGTTCATTGTCGACTATAACTAAAATTGTTCCATAATGTCCAATTCCATACATATGTGCACCAAGTCTTACAACTTTCCATGTTAATCCTCCATCATAAGAAAGAAAAGTATCACATTGATCATAAGGTAAAAGATATGGTCCTACATTTCCAACACCCATTAAAACACCTGGAGCTTCGTTAGACGAAAATACGTGACCGTTATTGCGGCCGGATGTAACCGAATGTAAATGTAACGAACATTCTTCTTGTTCCCAACTTCCACGATCCATGCACGGAAAATTAGAACCTCCAAAATTTTTATTTGGAGGCTTAATAAATTTCCATGTAACACCATCATCAAAAGAAATTTTAGATTGTAATTTTTTTGCTATTGCACTTCCTTTATCAACTTCCTCATAGTTGCTCACAATATTTGCGAGTAAAATTCCACCAACACTTTGTGAAATTTTAAAATCTACCACACCTTTATCGTTTCGATTTGTATGTTCCAAACGATCAACAAAATAAGTTCCATTGGAATTTGATAAATACAACGTTCCCGTATTATGGGATTCGGATGAAAGTAAATCAACAATCAAATGGTTTGATGGAGATTCGAGTATAGTATATGCATTTTCTTTCGGCCCTTTCTTTAATGGGAAAAATGCTCTTGCCCATTTTTGTCCATCTACGGAAACATACAATTTCATGTCGAAAGAATTAATATCTTTTACAGCTGCAGCCAAATATTCTTGAGATTCTCCAAGACCTATAACGCCTCTGACGTCACCACCAGAATTAAAATCTATGATTTTGATGGATTCTTCATCTTTAAAAAAATCTTCAGATTCAACCAAACGATAATCGCTTAACTTTCTCATCGATCCACTTCCATAAACATCATATCGAATACAAAATATTGATTGTTCAGGTGCCTCATCAAATTTTTTACTATTATGAGCCCATATGCAATTGTCGGTATTTTCGAGAAGTAATTTTGGGGATGAGCCAAATCCATCTGTTGTGTAATAAGTCTAAATATTCAATATGAATTTTGATAAAGTTATTATTATAAATAAATCAAGATTAAAAATTTCTGATTAAATGTTTAATTATAATATTTAAGTACTTACCACATCAGTGCATTCAATCCAACTGGTACATTTAGTACCTCTAAATAGCAAATAATCTTCTCTATGAGCATGAAATGACAACACTTTAACATTTTTGGCCGGAGGTATAGGTGTAGTAAATTCCTGCCAACTTTTTCCTTTATCAGATGTTTTATAATGTGTTTTGCCGATTGTAAGAATATAAGCCTAGATTATCATTGTAATAAATACGTAAGATCAAAAGGCTACAATTTTCTTTTTTTGTTTTTTTTTTTTTTTAAAAAAAAAAAAAATAATAATTAAAAACTTACTCTGTCTTCTGAGAACGTGTGTTTAATTAAAGCAGCAGCAGTATTTTTTGGAACACCGGAAATCAAATCCCAATCAATTCCTGCATTATTTGATATCCAAACATTGCCACTAAGATCGAGATTTAATACGCTCTATTTTATGCATAGGAATTATCAATTAATTCAAGTATGGATTCATAAAAAACCGAGTTGAATCACTCGTGATTTATTTTCATAGAGCATTTATAAAGTTGTATTTCGTAATATATGACTAATAACACTTACGTCGCTTTCTTTAAAATAAATGAAATTTTGAGCTGGGGAGTGTTCAAAGCCCCAACGTTCAACTTCAACTATATCACGACCTTGAGCTTCCAAGGTTAAACAAATAATACCCAATAATAATAAAATTAACATTCTTTTTAATTTTATTTTTATAGTATAAATTTCAGAATATACTGACTTGTTCGCCATTATGGAAAACAAGTAAGTATTTTTTTTGTCTTTCGTTCAAAGAAAAAGACGTTGAAAAAAATCAGTAAATGAACACTTTTTCCGGATTTATCGTTACACCAACCTTAAATGCCAACAATATGCCAACGGCAGGATCTTATCAGTTTGTATTTGTCATTGCCGTGTACATCCCGAAATAAGTCACTCCGACCTGCATTATACGATCTTGGGCCGGCATTACATGCAAAAAAATGGGTGCTTATTTACGGGAGTACAGTATTCTTATTTTTTAGTCATAACAATTTATAATCTCAAATATATAATGGTGGTTATGCAAGTAAATAATTTATTTATGTATTACAATAAAATGTGGCAATTCAGTGGCTTAATACGGGAGGAATTAATTTTAGCAAAGCATAAAAATACAAGTATGTAATGGTTTAACTCTATTCTCAAAAGTATTATTAATTAGGCTATATTATTATTAATTTAGGCTATATAAGTTTGTTCATATAATCTAAAATACTAATAAATAAACCAAATATTTTAGCATCTTAAAATTGAATAATAAAAAAACATCTATTTTAATTCTTACCTTGGAATTATTGATTGTGATTTTAACTCAACTTCATTCCATTCTGATTCAGCATTTGAAAGATAAACAATAGCTCCACCTGCACCAACTGTTACTTCGTCCTTTTCGATACGAATAATAGCCGTTCTAATAACAACATTGAACTGAGAGGTTCCTCTCTTTTGACCATTACCATCCTGCAAAGAAATATAACCTAAACACCCGGAATAAACACCTCTTGGTTTATTTTGTTCTAATTCATCTAATAATTGAACAGATCGTAATTTTGGGGCTCCTGTCATTGATCCCGGAGGAAAGCATTCTCTTATGGCTTTAACGCAATCTAAATCTTCTCTCAATTGTCCTCTAACTGTAGTTACAAGTTGATGTACAGACTCATATGATTCAACTTTCATTAAGTAAGGGACTTGCACTGTACTCGGTTGGCATATATGTGTTAAATCATTACGAATCAAATCCACAATCTTTTTCGTTAAAAAAGAAAATAAATAAATAAATATTTCAAAATGATTTGCGTAAATTCCACAATTTTAATGATAACTTTACCATTAAATTCTCTGAACGTTCTTTAATATCTCCTTCAAGAAGACGCATCCTTTTCATATCTTCTTCCTTTCGTTTCGATTCACACAAAGTTCCTTTATCGCATTCTTTCAAATTTAAACAACAACATCCTCTTGCTCTTGCAACAGTTCCTTTAATAGGCTTCATTTCCATAACTCCTTCATTATCAATTTGCAAAAATTTCTCAGGCGATGAACTCATTATACATATATCTTTGCTTGGAAAAGATAATAATGCCGAAAAAGGCGCTGGATTAAATGACCTAATACATTGATAAAGTTCTACCCAATTGTCGTCTAATTTTTTCGGTACATTTGCTAAATTTGCTCTAAATTGTGTTGTTAGACACAATTCATAACTTTGTCCTTCATGTATGTACGAACGTGCTTTTTCTATTGCCCTTATATAATCATCTTGTTTCATATCTGGTGTAAATGAAGGTTGACCCGAAAAAGAGACTTTCTCATTTTGAATATCTTTTTTAAGCAGAGTTTGTTTAGAACTAGACATCAAATTATCCAAATTACGTAATTTTTCCTCAATAGACACTGTCCATGATTTATAATCATCAAGCCCTGGGTGTATTCCTAAATTATTGTCCACATAATCGACTTTAGGTCGAACTAATCCTGCTAACCAAATTTGCCTCTCTAAATGATCAAATATAATTGCTTGAGTTGCAAAAACAAATGCGGAATCTGGAATATCAGAATATTGATCTGTTGAAATTGTATAATTCGGTAATGACTCCCTTTTCATCTCATAGCCAAAATAACCCACCATTCCCAATCTAAAATCAAAAGGAATTGTTTGCTCTCTAACATTTTGTAAAGTTCCATCATCGTGCAATATCTTTAAGTTTCCCATACGCTGATTAAAATGTTTTATGGTTTCTGACATCCAATCCCAAAATGTTTGATTATCTTCCATTTTTTTATTAATTACTGATCCATTCGAACATATAACTAAAAGTTCTTTATTAAGCGTTGAATAAAATGTTGAAAATGAATTTGAACTTTCTGGCGTCGATCCCATAAATGAAAATCTATTTACTCTATCAGGTTGCTAAGTAATGGAAGTGAAAAGTTTAATTTCGATCGAAATAACCTTTGATTCTTTTTTTTTAAAAAAAAAATATTTGTAATACCCTTGCACTATCCAACCACCATGTTCCAACAGTGGATTGATCAGCTGCTACAATATGTTGAAAAACCAGTGGAGAATCAATCCATAACTTTCTTTCTAATTTCTTTAATATCAAGCAATATTCAGTATCGCTTTTTGATGTCAAAGGCTTAAACATATGCGGTTTTTTTGGTAAAACCGAATGAGACAAAATATGCGATGGAAGAGTTGTACGAGGAAATGTTACCCCATGCTAAATTTCAATAAATAAACAATAAATAAAAAATAAAATACTATGATTTCTTATAAAAGAAAATATCCAACCCTTTCTAAAAATACTCTAGAAATCATCAGAAAATTCCTGAGCAATTGATACCCATTTTCAGTGCAGATTGACTAAATAATAAATTAAAACGAATTAGATTATGAGACATTAAAACTAACTAATAAAGAATTAGCAAACCATGCCTCGGGATGAAATTGAACGCCATAAATAGGTTTATTAATATGATTCAAGCCCATAATCGTACTAGATTCTTTTAAAGGAGGTGTCAATATGCTACTATCTTCAGAACACCAAGCTGAAATCGTTAATTCTGGCGGCATATTTTTATTTTCAACAATTAAGCTATGATATCTAACAACCGAGAATGGATTTGGAATCTTATAATATAAAGACATAGGATCATCTCCTCCTTCATGATAGACAGGACTTAATCTCCCATGCATAATTGTTTTAGCATTTGTTATCTAAAATTTTTTTATATATAAAATGAATAAATGAATAAATGAATAATAATACAAATATCTTATAAATACCTGACCACCGAAAGTAACACCTATTCCTTGGTGTCCTAAACATACACCAAGTATAGGAATATCATTCAATTCCTTTATTATATTGGTGCATATTCCAAAATCCTATAACATAAAACTTATCAATTGAATTCTACGTGATTTAATAAAATGATACATTAATTACAAGAAATTCATACGGAAGGGGTTTCCGGTCTACCTGGTCCAGGTGATATTATAATATTATCGAAATACGGGAATATATTTTCTTTAAAGTAATTCCTGTCAAAAAGAGAACCAAAATATGTATAATGGAACAAATTCGAAATTGTTTAAATTAAAGAAAAGAAATTTACCAAGAAAATTGATTATTGCGGATAACTACTACGTTTTCAATACTTTTTTCATTATCCCAAAGTTGTAGCAAATTAAAAGTATAAGAATCATAATTATCAATAATTATAGTCCTTAGGGAAAAAATATCAGACGGATGTACCTTTGGATCATTCGACATGTCTTTGCACTTTTTTTTTACAGATCAGTTGTGTTATGAGAATTACATCAATCACGTGTATTTAATGATTAAAGAGATCTATTTTAATTAAAAAATTAAATATTAGATCTATGAAATTATTTTTTTTTTATTTTTCTTTTGTAAATATTTGATCGATTGAGTCAAACTTGATATAATTTAATACAATTAGTTTCATGTTGGTTTGAGAAATTTTAAATTTTACAAATGGAATAAATACTAATAATATGGCAAAAGTGAAACAAAGCAACAATTATAATATACACTTCAATCATCTCATTCTGTTTATTATTTGAATATGCGGGATTTATTATTATAACAGATAAGACATCCATTATTAAAGTCAGTATTAAACGTAAATCCATCTATCATCATTGGGAATAATAGCCTAATCTGTTCTCAGATGAAAAAGTAACGGTGATATTGGGGCAGATATTCTACGCTTTCTTTCAATAAAAAAACTTTCCTCCTGTGTAATTGCAATTCTTACTGCCAGTATTCTAGCTGAAGCATTTTAACTTTAAAAATTATATTAAAAGTTTATATGTTTGGATATTGGTATAAATATTATAAATATAAATAATGTCCTAAAATTAATAGGTATTTTTTCTGTTACGGAAAGAGAATATGATTTTTTATCGGTAATTAAAAATATATACAACTTTTTGACGGAAAAAAAAATATGCTGATCAGCTGTGGCACATTGTCATTTTTTTAACTAATCATAGAAATGACCTAAGCCCTCAAATTTCTTTTTCACTTGATTATAAGTTGGTTTAATTTAATTTTGTTCTAGATAAATAATTTAGTCATCATTTCTGTCGACATAGCACTTCCGTTTATATTTCTTTGGCGGTTCGCCAAGCCCTTACTTTTTTCCACACTACCAGTCTCAATGAAGTCGTTAGAAGGTATAAAATATAACTTTTTAAAGTACTTTACCGTTTAATTATTTTTTAATACTTTAAGTAATCATTTAGAGACTCAAGGAACTCAAAAGATCATTGTTACCTGGGGCAAAGAAAAGATCCATCTTGATTTCCTAAGACAAGGGGCCGGCTCGCTAGAGGAAACTACTTTGAAACAATTAAAAGAACGACTAAAAAAAATTACGGGCGTACCTGTTAATGGACAAAAACTGGTATTTTCTGGAGGTAATGAATAAATATTTTATAATTAATCTTTGTTGAATCAAGTATTAATATATTATTTTTTTATCCTTTTAATAGCTATAATGAAAGATGATACGGCTACATTGAGTTCTTTGGGAATTGGTCCATCTTCAAAAGTACTTTTAATGGGTACTAAACCAGACGTATGTGAAAAAATCACAATCAATCAATATATATATATATTTTTTTAATCACTAATTCAAATTTAATATTAGGACAAAGATTTAGTACAAACAACAACAGGATCACCAGAAGAGCATGCTTTGATAGAAAGAATTTCGCAATCCATTGAAAAAACAAGGACAAACTTAATTCCACAAATTGAATCATTAGAAACTTCTGCTTCTACTTTTCTTTCTAATCAAAGTACTAATAATGATATTGATAAGACGAAATCAAAATTAATTGATACTCATCATTATATTATAGAAAATTTAATGCAAACTCTTCTAACTTTAGATGATGTTGTTTGTCCCCCTGAATTTGAAACTGCTAGGAAAAAAAGACGAGAAGCAGTTCAATATACTCAAGGTTTAATTGATAGAGTCGATAGTGTTAAAGACCAACTATTGCATACTTCTCCTACTGAGGTTAAAAACTAATCTACCAATATCCATCTCCATGTATACAATCAGCATTTTACAAAATATAGAACAAAATAAAAAAATTTGTGATAAATTGACAAACTATTATTCATTTGATCTCATATACTAGACAATATACTAGATGTTTTATGTAAATAAAGATCGCTGCGATGATGGGTGCTTTTACAATTCGTTTGGATATCTTTATTGTGTAGAACATATTGGTTTGGTCGTAATTTATATAGTTTATGTTTATTAAATAAAATGATAGGCAATGTTTGATTTATTTATTATAAAAAGTAGACTTTGGACTATCAAGATAACAGGGGCCCATTTAATAGATGAATTAAATTGATAAAGTGATGATAATCTGGTTATTATAAATAATAATGATATAATGACATAATGAATATAATTAAGATAGGAATACCAAAATATAAGGCTTTCGCTTTTCTATACTTGAAATAATTACATCATTTTTGTTTATAGTGTATTTCCGAACAATTTCTTAATCTATCAGCAGCTTGTTCAGGTGTAAGATCACGTTGTGGTTCAGCGAGTAATTCATACCTAAATATGATCAATAAGACTAAATTTCAATAATAATATTGTTATTATTTATCATTAGTTGATTTGATTTAACATACCCAACTAAAAATTTCTTGATGGTTGGACTCCTCAGTAAGGGAGGATAAAAATGTAAATGTAAATGTGAATCATTCGTGTGATCTTTATTATCAACGGGAGCTTGATGAATTCCCATTGAATAAGGAAAAGAACATTCAAAAACATTGTCATATTTACAAGTAATTCTATGAATAATGTTAGCAAGATCTTTTTGTAGAATATTACCATCATCATCATTCTCCAAATCCAATAAACTAATAATATGCGATTTTGAAATAATCATGGTTTCATAAGGCCAAACCGCCCAAAATGGAGTCAAACAAACGAAAGAGTTATTTTCACAAACTATTCTTGGTTTATATTTTAATTTAATGGTTTCAAGTTGGGTATAATCGCATAATAAACATGAATTATTGTTTTTATAATAATTATTCATTGAAATTAACTCTTTTGTTGGTTCTTCCGGTATTGTTTCTGTACACCAAACTTGACAATGTGGATGTGGATTTGAACAACCCATTATTGATCCTTTATTCTCAAATATTTGAATATAATTGATATAAGATTTTGTTGACATTTCTCGATATATTTTTGTCCATGATTGAATTACACATAGTATTGCATCTTCTGACATTTCTGCCACGGTAATGTTATGCTTCGGAGAGAAGCACATTACCTTACATTCACCTCTAACACCTTCAACTCGTAACAATGACGAAATTTTATCTAAAAATTAAAAAAAAACAATTAAATTAAATCTTTGAGTACTAATCTGTTATTATACATACCTTTAGATTGTTCTAGATATTCAGGCTGATCATTTTTAACAGCAGCAAAATCATTATTAAATATAAATGTATTTTCATATTGAGGATTTTTATCACCTTGGGCTCTAGTGTTGCCAGGACAAAGATAACATTCTGGATCATATTCCGCTAATGATTCATCATCAATAACTTCTTTATGCCCTTCCCATGGTCTTTTTGTCCGATGTGGTGAACATAATACCCATGAGTTTGTTAAGGGATTAAATCTACGATGGGAATTTTCTTCAAAATTAAATTTTTTCATCGTACAAAAATTTTAAGAGCGTGATATGGCCACATGCATAGCATACATAACACAACTTTCAGATGTATGATTAAACATGTTTGCGCCACGTAATATCCATGAATATACTTACTGGCTATAATTTTTTCTAAAATTCGTTAATAGATAGATTTTTCAAGTCAGCCCAAATTACTGTAACATTAAAGTATTTTGGACATTTAAGAGGGGTTTTTTGAACCCTTCTGTGGATAATTCTCCAAAAAAACTTATCATAAGAGTTTGTTAGTAGGTTTTCGCGATGCCAAATGGTTGTCGGTCAACAGTCAAAACAATATCGTGCCCCGTCGCCTCAAACGGTATTTTTCTGCTTAAAAGTTATGAGTTATATATACGTCTATCTAACTATCTTTTTTTTAATGTCTAAAAATTTAGGCGAAGCGATCTTATACGTATGATGCCCTTATGCGGTCAGTTAAAAAGAATTTTTTTCTTTTATCAAATATTTCTGTTACTTTTAATAATTGGTTTGTTAATAATAATATTCTATAAAGAACAGATTAAACAATATAGATAATTGTTTAATTGATATGCAGAGATCGCGGGATGATGTAATATCCAATATCGGACAGATTTTAGAAAGGGAAAAAAACAAGCTTGTATTGGTATTTAGTTGTAAATTTACGATTAATTAATGTAAAAAAAAAAAAATTTTATTAGATTAATATGATCTGCTCTATTGTCTTTTCAATTAAATAAATAATCAGAAAAGAGAAAAAAGCTCAAGATTATTGCACCTTTCTCGATATCATGCTGAAATTGCAGACCAAAGTAAAGCACTAGAAGAAGGTATATTAGTTTAGGTTTATTGTATCTTTATTAAGATTGATTAAATGAATTAGTGCGAAAAAAATAATTTATATCCAAAGTTCAAACATAAATAATCATGAAGATCGCCGACGTATAATTACTTTGCGCGAGAATATTCGTTCCCGACGGGTCGCCATGGAGGAAGCGAGAGAGCGTCATCAAACTGGAAAGGAATATTTGGAGGAAAGCCTAAAGATTTTGGAACGAGATCGGTTTGTTTTGTTAATTTTTAAAATTGGATTTTGAAATTTTGTTGTTTTTTTTTTCTTTCAGATGGTCGTATTGAATCGGATTGCTGTTCTTAGCAAAACCCTTTCCATGACAACTTCCAAAATCTGTACTTGTCAGAAGGAACTTGTTGCGGACTTGCTTAATATATTTCCCATAGAACCTGTAAGTTTAGTAATCTTTTCGACAATAAGTATAATTGAGTTAATATCGATATATTTATATAAAATTATTTTATTAATACAGACACATACAGACACATTCTCTTTTAAGATTCTTGGTGTACCATTGCCAAATTCAGTATTCACTGGTATTTATTTTTACTTTGAAGATTTTTTTTAAATATAAAAAGTTGTTACATTAAATTATAGAATGTAAGTTAATTAATGTATATATAAGGTTGTGACGACGAACAAGTCGCTACCGCACTGGGGTTCACTTGTCATCTCATAAATATGCTCGCGTATTATCTCGGAGTTCCATTAAGATTTCCAATGACACCCATGTCCTCAAGGTCATCAATACGTGATCCAATAACAGCTTCCTTAGGAGATTCAAGACAGTAAGTTCATAATTGCTCCAAGTTGATTGTTTTTGATTTCCCTCTACTCGAAAGAGGAAATAAAAGTTTTGAATATTCAACTACTATCATTTACAACATGAGAAAATTAAATGTATATGTATATAATATCATATGCTCTCAGGGGCTATAACACAGAATATGTGACATGCAGAATCCCTTTTAAAAAGTTGTTGAACTGGATTATACTGAACATTGTCCAATTGGAAGGATTATTCACTAACAATCAGCTTGGAGCGCTGTAATTATCAAAATTTTCGTTACTAATTTGTTTGTTTTAACTATCTTACAAACTTAACACGTAATTTTTCATTTCCTTTTGTTTATTAATTTTAGATTTCCTTTATATGTCAAAGGAGCTGATCGTTATCGGTTTGAATATGCAGTCTTTTTACTTAATAAAAATATCGAGCAGGTATGGTTTACTAGATTTAACATTAATTAAATTAGTTTATTATTTCGATTCTAGAAAATTTAATTTTCTATATTATTGTAGTTAATGAATTCGCAAGGTATAAGCGTAATTGATTTAAGGCACACACTTCCGAATTTAAAATACCTTATCCTCAGTTTGGTATCAGGCCAATCATCGTCATCACATCAACGTAAACTTACTTCACATAATTATACCATACCACATACAATCGCAAGCACAAGTAATATCTTGTTTGAAGAGGAAGAAGGAGAAGTCTCAAAATCATCCAATACATCAAATAAAAATACTAATGAATCACTTCAAAAAACTTCTCGAGGATTTAAAGTTGGAGTAACATAATAATTATTGAACTTGAAATTAGTAGATGAAGGACGCTTTTTTTTATTTAAATATTTCAAATTTTTTTTTATTTAATTAATTAAGGGAAGGTATAATTTAAATTATGTACTGTAATTTTCTTTTTTATTTTGGCATTGCATACACTGTACACTTTTTTTTTATTAAATAAATAAATGCTTTCTTTCAAGTCAATAATGATTTTCAGACTATTTTTTTATTATGTCACGTGAAATAAGTAATATCTTATATCTTTAGGGTTTATGCACTAACAGTTTGACGCGTTCACCGGAAATTTTACCATCGGAAATCGTGTCTGTAGAATTTAACGATTAACAATCACTGAAAACGATGATTTAAAAGACGTCGAGTTGACAAATCAAAATCAAATCAAACTTTTTTTTGTCAAAAAAAATCTGTGATTGTAAATTGTAAATTGTCACTTTATCAAGATAAGTAGATAAGTTTAAATCGTTATATCAAAATAAGATTGATAAGATTTATTAATAATAATTATGCTCAAAAAAAATAAAAGTATTTTATACTTTTGTTGTAAATGCTGGTAAATTCGATTTATATGATTTATGATAAAAAAAAATTACTTAATATAAAAAATAATAATTTTTTGAAATTTTATAATTTTATTGCATATTATTAGATATAAACATTTTTTTTGTAAAATATCGATTACTAACTAAAGATCAAGTACAAAGATCGAAGTACTTGAAAATAATTCTTGTTCACAATTTAATTTATATCATTCAAATGAATATTCAACACTTTACAAAAAGACTAAGATGATGGTAATTATATTACATGTGAAAAATGAACATAGGAATAAATGAGATAAGAATGAATGAATGAGAGATATTGAACGAAAAAAAAAGGAGATTAACTTAGGCATAATGTATGTAAAATATGAAATCATTTAAGAAAATTTTAAATTTAAAAAACGTAAAATCATCGTTTAGAATATTTCATAAATGCCCATACAACAACACCACCAATCATAACCCCTTGTGCAAAACCACTCTCGATCTTTGCCCAAAACCATGCATTTGTCCCCTTCAATGAATTCTTCTGTTTAAATTTCTCTTCATCTACTTTGTCATTTTCTTCTTGATCCGGTTCGATATTTGAAATAGCTTTTTCAATAATTCGATTCAATTCTTTAAAACTTGTATTATTATCATTATTATCTCTCTCGATATCAGATTTTAAAAATTCTTTTAATTTATTAAATTCTTGACGAATAAATTTTTTATCATCAGAAGTTAAACTAGGAAATGTAGGAATCAAAAAATCTTTTAGGTCATTATTTAAGAACGAAGAGGTACTAGACACGGTTGTAGAAGAATAAGAAGAATTTCTTGATAAAGAAGGAAATTGTTCATCACTAGATTCATCACTAGATTCTTCAGAAATTTTCATTCCAGTGATATCACTACTATTTAAAAGAATTTTGTCTTTTAAATGATCCCTTCTCAAATTTTTGACACCAACCATAACTAATTTAATCCATTTTTCATTAAAATTCATTTGTCTCAATTGTTCTTCTTTTAATCTTAAGAATTTTCTTCCGGTAAGTGTAACATTTTCTTCAACATGCCTAGATAAATCTGATACAATTGCAGGGGGGTAAATACGTAAACAATAATTTAGATAGGATGCTACATGAGACGATGACCATCTTTTTAGGTCGGATGGTAAGTCTGGATAAGAAACCGGTTGTAATGGTGACGATTTTAATGTTGGTGGTGGTGAAGGTAAACTTTGTAAAGACATTGAACGAAGTTTATTACGATTTTTTGATGGATTATTCGGATAAGATGAAGAGGAAGAATTTATTTTTGGGGAATGAAGTGGTGTCATTATTAATTATTCTCGTTATATCGATTTTTTTTTGTTTTTTTTTTTTAAAGAGAAGTGGAATTCATTGCACAGAGAAAGGGGGTTAATGAACTTTATTTTCATTGTGAAGATAAACTTATATAAAATACGCGTGTTACCTATAACTGGTAATGCGGAACATACAAAACGATTTTTGTGCAAGTCTTATCAGAATCATCGTACCACGTGGTGTATGATCTGAGGTTGCACCAGTCTGGACTTGGACTATAGAGTTGTTTTCATTTTTAATCGTTCTTTCAAATGTTATTTTTTATCGCAAAACCTAAAAAGTAAAGAAGTTTCAAGAATATTGAGATAAAGCAGATCATTTGTTTGTAGACAGCCCAGGCTTTAGTTTTTGAAAGCAATTCTTGGCAGAAAAAGAAGTTATTTAAATGTTTTAAACTCGTCAATTAAAATAAATGCAGTAGTATTTATATAATTTTTGAAATTCTTTAAATAATATTTTAAACGTCACGATAACTAAATTATTTAAAATTCTACAAAATCACGTGAACCTTATATCGATCGTGGCATAAGAGTGGTATAATATATTAAGATTCTCTCCAAGATCACTTAAGATCATGCATGAACGTAACACTCAAAATACGTAATTAGGTGTACAAACATCCAGTTATAACAATGTATGTAATATATATATTAACCTTTTAATTGAATTTACAAAGTTTTTTTTTAAAAAAAAAAATTAAAAAAATATATATATATATACCAGTTTGATATTTATCATGTCTTCAATACCTGTAGAAATATTTCGACATGTATTTGGACATTTTTCTGATGATAAACGTTCATTATATTCATGCCTTTTAGTTAATAAAATATGGTGTGGTATAGCAGTATCAATTTTATGGAGCAATCCCTTTAAATATATAAATGGAACTAATGGAACTTCAGCATCTTTAATTACGACATACCTTTCTTGTTTAGATTTAAATGAACGTGAAATATTAATCAAGTCAGAAATAGATTTAAAATTATTATTTGAAAAAAAACCAACTTTTGAGTACGCAGAGTTTTTAAGAAGACTTAAATATGAAGATTTTTACGATTCATCTTTAGTATGGTTACAAAGTGTTATGGAAGAAAAGATTGAAAAGAATGATTCAAAAATATTTATAATAACAAAAGAATTATGTAAATTATTTATGAATAAATGTTCAAAAATACTTTATTTAAACATTAATTTAGAATCGCTTCGTTCTCCGGATAATTGTGCGGATTATGCGGCTATACCATGTTTTCCTAATTCAGAAACTAGTTTATCACAATTAGGAGAATTTATTTGTTGTGGAGACTATGATAAGAAAAGAATATTTATGGCATTATCAAAATTTAGTAAAAATATAACGAAATTAGATATTGATTATTATTTAGATGATAGGGAAACTTCAGCACCAACCAATTTGGCACAATTAATTAAAAGTCAAAGATCATTACAATCTTTTAAGATTGGTACATATTATAGATCATTATCAAAAATTATACCAGCATTAGAAAGTCAACATAAAACTCTTAAGGAAATAATATTTCGTGGTATTGATTTTGATGAGGGAGTAACCTTTGCACCTTTGATCCCTTGTAAAAATTTAGAATCATTAATATTTATGACATGTGATAATGTTAAAAATGAGGCGACAAAACCATTGGAATCAGCTCATTTCCCTAAATTAAAAAAATTGGTATTTCACGTTGAACATAATCGACCACCATTAGCATTATCATCACTTATCATCAATAATTGTAATACTTTACAAGAAATTTCATTAGGATTACCACCAATTGATTCACAGGATGATCCAAAAATAATTGAGACGATAATTGAATATTGTAAAAATTTGACTATATTCGAATCTCATTTACAAATTCATCAATTAAATTCCCTTTTAATTTCTTGTAAGAATTTAGAAAAATTAGTAGCCCGTGGTAGAGAACCTTTACGTGTGGATGAATTTTTACCAAATATTGGTAACAATATTCCATCAAGGTTAAAAATACTTGTTATTCATGCTATATGGTCTTTCAATCCTAACACTTTAAAAGAATTTTTAGATTATTGTCGTGCAGACTTAGAAACTATAGGATTTCCTGATTGTTATGCCATTAATGATGATCATTTATTCAATTTTTCAGAATATGCAAGAGAGAAAGGATCTCTCAAAACTTTGAATATTAGATCAGCATCTAAAATTACTAGAAAAGCCTTTGAAATCGCTAAATCTGATATTGAAAATATTGAGCATTGTGGTGGTTATTGTGATGAAGATGATGAATAGAATTATTATGTGAAGGAAGGAGGTGTGAAAACTTTGGAGAAGGCTTTTTTAAGATAAAATTTGATATTCTCTCTGGAAGGTAAATTAGGGAAATACAGTACGTCTATTTATAAGAAATTTAGCATTTTATGATTTTTTTTTTTTTTTTTAATTAAAAATTACGATGATATTTATAAATAATTAACGTAACTGAGTATTTGCTTTACTTTATTATCATTTTTGTTTTAAGAAAAATGTGGGTTTAAATAAAGTAAAAATAAAAAAAGAAATTTGTGAAAAAACTCTTTAATATAATTAATATATCATAAAGTTTTTCAATCTTTGATCGATTCTCATTTCTCACCTTTTTTTTTCTTCTTCGGTCGCCCGTATATAATAATATGATATATATATACAGTATACATATTCGTTGACTTTAAGAATATTGATGTTATATACTCATTGACTTTATGGTGTATTGACTTTATGAATATAAAAAAATGATTTTATTGAAAAAGAAATATTTCAGTTATTAAAAACATTAAGAAACGCGAATCGAAATGAATTTGAAAATCTTACTTATTATAGTGATGAGTAAGATTCTTTTTTATTTAAAAGTATATGTAATAATGTATAATAAATGAAGTGAAAGAAACAAAAAATTATAATACCTTAATAATTACGGTACGGGTACGATATGATATGACCTCCATTGTATGATATGATATGATATGATTCAAATACGTACATAAATAAATTTAATTTCAAATTAGAATATTTATTATTATTATTTATTCGTATACTTCGGTCAATTATAATTGTTTGACAGACAGTTCTGAACGAAATCTTTATGATGAAGTAAGAAATAACAAAATCTCGCCTTGTATATAGAGAATTTACTGACATCGATCACCGTCAAATTTTTAACCAATCAAAAATCATGAAAATATGAAATAATAAATATCGTACTTACTATTAGAGAATATAAGATAGAGTATGATATGACCTTCATTGTATATATGGTATGGTGCTAAAAAAAAAATTGGTATGGTTAGTATGGTACCATATTTTCCATATTTTCACAAAATTCTATACAGTACGGTAATATCTTGCACTCTCAATAATTGAATTACCTTTAAAAAGCGATAATATCAAAGAACATAAAAAAAAATGGTACAAAAAAAAAAGGTAAACCTTACAAACCATATCAGATATCTATGATATCTTGGCATTCGATTACTATATAGTTACCACGCAGTTACGAATCAAAAGTTTCTCTAAATATTAAAGGGAAAGATTATGATAATCAGTATTTTCTAAAAAAAAAAATCTCCACATTTTTCACACTGTTTTTCTTTCCGGTCCAACCTTAAAAGGTAGAGAAAGACGGAATATAGTCAGAACTTGATATAGCGAACTATACGATATAACGAATTTCACGATAAAGCGATTTTTTTCTTACATATATAAAAATCGGTATATTTCAAACTTATAAATTTCGGTATAGCGATTTTTTTTTCAGTGAATTGGAGGGTTCGTTATATTGAATTCTGACTATATTTTTGTTTTGCTACATCTAACTAGTAATTACACCAAAACAGATTTATTTTTTGCTTCTTTATCGATTTTAAACGCAATCTACTATCGCTTTTCTTATTAAAATTAAACACCCTTTTTACAAGGATTTCGAGTAGAAAGTTTGGAAGGATGTGCTTTAATTTCGAGTGCTATTTTTTAGCATTCATATAAAACTTTTTCTACAAAGTTTGGAGGGGTGCTTAAATTTGGTAGGTCTTATAGATTTTACTATTTCCCTATCTCTGCTTGTGGGAGGGCCATCGTTTTCAGCCAATGGGTTGATACCAAGACTGTTGAGATAACTCAAAAACAGTGAGATGTACCGCTCAAGGTCATCATCTAAATCAAATGTAGCCATGTCGTCTCCGGTGGATTGTTTAAATGAGGAGGAGGAGGAAAATTATCTTTTAAAAGGTAGAGAAACACCAAAAAGACGAAAGATTCTCAATTAACTTTGGTCTATTACAACGCCTTACTACCTAAAACACCAAAAATAGATTTGTTTTTGATTCTCTATCGATTCTACTACCGCTTTTCTTGTTAAAATCTCTAAAATTAAGCATCCCCTCTATCTTAAACGCAATCTACTATTGTTTTTCTTATTGAACTACCGTTAAAATCTCATTCCTTTTTACAAGGATTTCGAGCAAAAATTTTGGGGAGGTGCTTAATTTTGAGTGCTATTTTATTAGCATTCATATAAAACTTTTTCCTACAAAGTTTGGAGTAGCGCTTAAATTAGAGAAAGGTATTTAAAAAGACGGATTCTCAATTTACTATAACGTCTAACTACTAAAATAGATTTGTTTTTGCCGGGTTCTAAATATAGTAGTTGTTTAAACCTTGTTACTTAAGAGTAAAAGGAGAAGGAGATGAGTATGAGGAAGGGAGAAGTAAAATAAGGAAAAAAATGACAAGAATAATATATACTTTATGAATGATCAATACTCTGATCAATAAATTATTAGCTTGAGTTGAAAAAATCTTTTTGTTCTTTGCAAAAGATATACAAAGTATTACAAAAATGTAAATTTACGAAATTACTATCGCTTATTATTGAACTACCGTTAAAATTTCACTTACAAGGATTTCGAGCAAAAAGTTTGGGAAGATGCTTAATTTTGGGTGCTATTTTATTAGCATTCATATCATTCATATCTACAAAGTTTGGAAGAATGTTTAAATTTGGTAGGTCTTAAAGATTTTACTGTTTCAAAAATTATCTTTAAAAAGGTATTAACTTTGGCCTACAACGTCTAACTACACCAAAATACCAATTCTTCATTACCATCTATTATCGGTTCTTATTAATACCAACCAATATAAAAACAGATAAACTATTAAAGATGTTTGTTAACGTTTAAAATAGATTTGTATAGATTTGTATAATAGTATATACCATCTTTTTTACAAGAATTCTTAAAACTTTACAATTTTTTTCTTTAGAACGTAAGAAATTGAGAAAATTGACCCATAAGAAAATAGGCAAATGAACATGAGAGTAATTTGTACGATATTACGATATATGATATCATATCTTTTTTTTAAAAAAAAGCAAATATATATATGAACATGTTAGAATATTGTTTATTTCACCAATTATAGGATAATTTAGCCATATTGAAAGATAAATTAAAATCAAATATAAAGATTAAAAGTCAAATATAAAAATTAGGAGCCAAATGTAAAAATTAGAAGTCAAATATAAAGATTAGAAGCCAAATGTAAAAATTAGAAGTCAAATATAAAGATTAGGAGTCAAATATAAAGATTAGGAGTCAAATGTAAAGATTAGGAGCCAAATGTAAAAATTAGAAGTCAAATATAAAGATTAGGAGTCAAATATAAAAATTAGAAATCAAGTCAAATATAAAAATTAAAGATAAAATCAAATATAACAGAAAATTAAAGAAAATTAAAGATAAAATTAAAGACAAATTAAAGATAAATTCAAGATAAAATTAAGAGTAAATAATCAAATGTAATAATTAAATAAACACATCAAAGATAAAATCAAATAAAAAAAAAAAATCAAACAGATAAAATCGAAAGATAAAAGTCAATCAAATAGCAGACTAACATTATTATAATAATCACTTATACTGTATAATATATATAATATATACTTCATATACAGTACTGTAAAGTACATAAAATCTTACATAATGATCTTTTTTTATCATACAGATTCAAATGTGTTTTTTTTTTTGAAACAATCAAATTTTTTTCAATTTGTAATTATTTTTTCTTTCTTTTCATCCAAATTTTTTCAAGAATTGTATCTTTATGGCATAGATGGCATACACTTAACTTCAAATGATAAATCTAGCTCGCTGAGTCATATTGACATCCTTGTTTCAACATTTCAAAAAAAGACATCACGGCTTTCAACGCGTAGCAGATAAGTAATTTTTAGAACGCGCTATCAAAAGAGATCATGGATAATCAAATCGCATTACAAATGCGGACATTCACTCCGTCACACACTTTCTTTTGATTTACTAATTTAGTGAAATTATAATAATTTCAAGTACAATGCTAACAAACAAACAAAATATATAAATATATCTAATATAATAAAAAATTATGGCAGCGGAAACAATTCACCGAAATTCTAGACAGATTGACAGATAAAGTTTAATTAAATAACAATCTATTTTTTAAAAAAGGTGTAACAATAAAAAAAAAAATAATATATATAAATATATATAAATAATGTACATATATATCTATATATACTACAAATAGTATCACAATCTATTTAGAAAATATAGAAATATGGAAAAGAATATGAATTTAAGTACTTGCTAAAATTATCTAGAACGACGGTAAATTCAAAAGCCAATTACACTATCATGCATAAATCGGATTTTGTACATTTTTTTCCTTTTAAAGTTTATTTTGAAGTTAATTTTTTCAAATGTTTAAAAATAATAATAATAATAATAATAAAATTTTTTTTTTTTAATAGGAAGATTCAATGTAGAAAAAAAAACCATTTTTTAGAGGATGAAATTTAATGATCTACATCATACATACATATTAGCATTATTTTGTTAATCCTAACAAAACAAGTTAACATATTCAAACATTTCCTAAATTGTTTATGTTGAATGAAAAAAAAAAATAGATCGGAAAAAATTCTCCAGAATTCCTTAAGGTCGTTAGAAATGTGCAACCACATATCTTCATATGATTGTAACATGCAATTTATGTGAGAGTAGAGACATTGGAGTAATCAATCAATTAATATATGTACCTGGTAATCATAAAAACTAACTAAACCGATATTAGAGAATATATAAAGAGATTTTAAAGTTATTAGAGTGATTCGCTTCATTGTCTCCTGATTACACTTTTGAGAATGTGTCGTGAGAATTTATTTCGGACAAAGATGTCCATTGCTCCACGTTATGGAATTTACTACTAATGTACATTTGTCCCTTAATTAGGTTAATGATTATGATGATCTGCACTCATTCAAGTATTTCCAATTATAGTTTTATCCAGAAGTAAACGAGTTTTACGTGTATATATTTTATTAGATAGCGGGAAGAAATATATACCGTACATTATTTATTTATTTATATCCATTATAATAAAAAATTATATCCAATAAAACAAAAATTATCCATCGTTTTACCGAGAATTAGGGACCAATAATCTGGATTCTCGTCCCTCAATGTACTTCTAAAACAATCAGTTTGAATGGTTTAAAACCTGTTTAAAAAAAAAAACTTTACTTAATTTAAATATTTAAAAGAAAAATATGGAATTAATAAAAAGCGAAATTTCCAAAATATTATATAACCTTATCTTTAATATTATGAGTCACCATCAGTGTTTACATTAAAATCTCAAACGGAATTAGAACTCCATTGAAAGGGGGTCATGTGTGATTAATTAATGGTACAACATTTTTGTGTTTCAAAGGACTCGGAATGAATTTCTATGTTTCTCCGACTATAGAATGTGATTTTAGTACAAGTTGATCATTAATTATATCGCGTTTTTTTTTTTACTTTTTGTCTGGATTTTGGAATATTTTTTTTTTATATTTTATTTATTTATTTATTTTGTTTTTATTCTTTTTTTTTCTTCTTCTTCTTTTATGTTTCAAGATGTTGATGATAGTGATAACGGATGAATCACAGAATATTCCGAATGGTTGAAAATGTGCTAATAATAGAAGGCGTTCGTTCGTAATCAAACATCTTTTATTATTTATAAGATCTTCAGACATTCTTTATGTTGCATATTTATTTTTATATATATGCATTGATTGTTTTTGTCACTCAGTTTCCTTTTATATTGCCAACCCTTTTGGCTTTGCAATTTTACCTTATATAGATCTCGCCGATCTTTTTAATTTTTAATACTTTTTTTTTCGTTATGAACTGATAACGCGATGGGTATAAATACAAGTATACAAGTATCCTTTTTTTTTTTCTTTTTTTCTTTTTGTTTTTTGAACCATATTAGAGTTCTAAAAGGATATTATCCATTTTTATTTTTATTTATTTAATTTATTTATTATTATTATTATTATTTTTTTTTTTAAAAAAAAAACAAAGAAGCAAAAGAAAAAATAATACATGAATATAAAAACGTCAAAAAATTAAAGTTAAAATAAATAATAAAATAAATAAATAAATATATATATATATATATAAAAAAGAGAGAGAGATAAAAAAATAATATTAATAAATATATATATATTATATAGGTTATATACACTTATAAAAACAACATATTTTGTACAAGTTTTTTTTTTCTTTCTAACGTCATCTTTTTTCTTTCTTTTTTTTTTAAAAAAAAAAAATAATGGCACCCACCATTAATTCCGAGGTAGAATCAGAAAAATTTCAAATAGTTTTGGAAGGATGTGATGGAAAACTTGCCGAGAAATCTCTAGTTCAACCTAAAAAACGACAACCTCTTGATATTCCTGATATACATTTACCTTTTCCGCCTATGATTACGGCTAGTGAAATATTTGAAAAAACTTTAGTGAGAAAATTATCCAAACACGAAGGTTCCGCAAGAAAATCTCCGAATAAATTTTTAATATATCGTACAGTAGTAGTTTTGGAATTACACCGACAAAATATTCATTATTCTATGACGGAAATATCAGGTGCTATTGCTAAGAAGTGGAGGGAAGAACCAAAGAATGTCAAAGATGCATATACTAAACTTGCATCTCAAGTTGAAGAATTAAATAAGAAACATTTTGGTGAATTTTCAAGGAGAAAAGCAAATAGAAAACATAATGTTAAATCTTCATCTTTAGGTGATAATCATCATCATAATCATCATCCAATAATTTCAAGTAATTATTTCAATGATCCTATGAGTAATAATTTAATACCAAAGATTGATCCAATTTCTATGTCATGTAATAATAATTATAACAGTAATATGTATAGTCCATATATTCCACATACAATTTGTCCACCTTATTATTTACATCCACAACAACAAAGTATATATCATGACAGTAGTAATTATCATCCATTTAAGCAAGAATCATATGATACCGTAGATAGTAATAGTTTTTTGATTCCAATTTAAATGAAAAGAAAAGGTTGGATAAAAAAAAAAGTTATGTTAAAATAAAGCATATCTTTTTCTATGAATTTAGTTAAATAGATTTTTGTTTTTCACTTTCCTTTGTTTCTATATATATATATGTATATGTATATATATATATTATTTATATTTTTTTTTTATGAAAGAAATTACATATCATCGCATTTTATTAACATATATATGTATATATACATTGTAAATTTTATCTCTCAAATATTATGTAGATATTTTTTTTTATATGAATATTGGGTTAAAAATTATACTTTGTATTATTTTATTTTATTTATAGCAGATAGTATTACCGTAAAAGATTTTATTAATTAAAAAAAAAAAAGATTTTTATTTTTATCAAAAAATATGAGATTTTATTATGAATAATAAAAAAAGTAAAAACATATATATATATTTCAAAAGATTCTCTTGTATTATTTTGGCGTTGATTCATTTTCGGATACAGTTCACCCCAACTATAGTGAATCCCACGGACTGGGATTAAAAACTAGAGATTTTATTATGAATAAAAAATATATATATTTCATAAGATTCTCTTGTATTATTTTGGCGTTGATTCATTTTCGGATACAGTTCACCCCCAACTATAGTGAATCCACGGGACTGGGGATTAAAAACTACTAAATATGTCAGTGAGATTTTATTATGAATATATTTCATAAGATTCTCCTCTTGTATCCAAATGTATTTGGCATTGGTGAATCCACGGGCTGGGGATTAAAAATTAGGGAATTCACTATAGTAGATAATGAATTCTCCATAATTAAAATTTATTATAATCAAGTAACTTACATACTTTTTATTGTCCGGAGCGAAGCGAAGGACAATATATGTCTACGCACTATGAAAAAAAAAAAAACGATCACGTGAATTTCTCTGTCCGCCACGTGATCGTCACCCAATGAAATCGCAAATTTTAGTTTTTCGCTCCGGACTTACAACGGCCTAGTCTATTAAAAATTAGTATGACAAATTGACATTAAAATATGCTCGCGTATATAACAAGTAACAAGTATCATGTGATAAAAATTTAGTAATGATTAGTGTAACCATTTTAAAATTCGGTAAGTTTTACTTTAAAAATAAATAATTATTGGATGAGGGAATAGAGATATTAGTCGAAGACCGATATCCTCCCATCCAACAATTGACGGTCATTAGGAATACTGCGAGGAGGTAATGCTACTTACTAATACTGAGGAATTATTTCAATATTGGATGTCTGATTTATCACAGAATTGCCCATTAAAATCCTGCATATTCCCAATCGACTGAACAATAACAAAAATTATTGTTTTATAAAATACTGGAACTTTTCTTTATTATATAAAAAGTATATAAAAATTCGGTATAGTAAAGGTTATAAAGGTTTAACAGTTTTGAGTGTTTTATATCCGGGTAATTGGGAGCGGGGTATATACAAATATGGGAAAAAGGGTTTAAATGAGAATAATTTATTTAGAATGAACAATTAATTTTCTAATATTAATATATTATACTATATTTCGAAAAGAATGTATCAAAAAATATTGAAAATATTGAGACGCATTTATTTCACTGAAAATCGTTTCATTTGAAAATCAACTTTATCCGATAGTCACAGTTTCACTGATCAATTTCAGCAACAGGGTTACTTCAACGACAAGTAATAAATTTTAATATTATTTTATTTATTGATTGTTCTTTTTTTGTGTTTTTTTTTACTCAATATTATTTTATAATATAATAAACCATTTTATATAAAATATTTAATACTTAGTAAAAGTTTCATGTGTGCACTAAATATAATAATTATAATATGGATAAATAAATACTCTTATTATCTCTTATTATTAAAATTAGGTAATAAAGAATATTAATTTTTTGTGACCATGATACTAATTTAATAATTTGATCCTCAAAAAATAAAATTCGGGAGATGATTTCGAGAAACCGATTTACGAATAACCCTTTAAATGATTCTGGTGAACCCCTAAAACGTCATATCATATTAAAAATATGTACTATAATGCTTCAAAAAAAAGAAATATGTAATATCATGCTTCAAAAAAAAAGAATGAATCAAAATACTGGTATGTAAGCGAAAAATTTCAATCACATTTCATATACTTACAATCCAAAAACCATTTTATGCATGACTGTTCATGTAATTTTTTATAATAAACTTCTAATATTATCCAATAATAAAATAATTATTTCGTCTATTTATAATCCTATCGTTTTTCCCGATTTTTAAAAATTATAATGTATAATAATATCAGGATAATGTATTGGAATGTTAATTGTTGGTATTATATATTTCGGGATTACGAACGCTTATTTTTAGTACAATTTATACTATTTATATTTGCATTTTTATTTTTCTTATAAGAACTTTATAAAGAAATCATATAAAGAAAATCAACTCTATTTTCTCTTCTCTTTCTAAAAAAAAAGAAAGAAATACTTTAATAATCAAAATAAATAAATCTAACAAAAAGAAACTTTTTTTTCGATCTCAGATGATCTTAATTGATTGGATCGTAGGATCAGTACAGGTACTTCGTTAATCACCGCATGTTAAGTTTTAAATATTCCTCCCCTTTTTGAGATCTACAGATTAGTAAATTAATTTCACGCAGACATGGCTTTTTATCCTCTTCTTACCCGGCTTTTCTCCGCAATCTTCTTTTTAAAATGAACTAGTTTTATACAAATTAAGCTTAATATCATAAACATATCTAATTAAAATCTTTACTTAATTTTATACTACTATCTTAATTGACATGTGATCTTTTAATTTCATGTTGAAAGAAATGTTTTTCTTTCATGATTTTCTGTCGAACCTTCTATATTGGCTTATACACTTGGTCTTTTCTAATAATCGAATTTTTTTTTTAAAGGCTATATAAACACAGGAAAATTTCCTTGGAAGAAAATTCATTACGAAATAGAAAAAAAAAATTATTTTATAATTTAATAATATCCCAATAAGCTCCGTTAGCAGCAAACTCCTCCGCCCTTTTTTTTTTAAAAAAAAATTTATTATAACGACATTTTTAATAATCAATAATGAGACTTACTTCTCTTTTTACCCCTCTCTTCCTCGTTGCTGCTGCGGGCTTGGGATTGGCCAACCAATTGCCTAATATTACCGCCCCATCTTTACCTCCTCAAATTCCCACTTCTAACCCAATTGAATTAATTGGTGAATTATCACCACAATGTCAAGCAGCTTTATTCAGCGTTGTCGCAAACCCTGAATTTTTCCAATGTGTACCTGTTGCAGCATTATTACCAGCTCTTACTGATCCAGATTTTCTCCCAAGCATTTTAAAGGATCCTATTCATAATGCAGCAAAATTATTACCAATTTTTGATGCTACTTGTGCTCTTCCTAAATGCTCTGATGAAGGTGTAAAAGGTGCTCTTGAAGCTGTTACTCAAGGTTGTGCGGCCGATCTTGCTAATCCACTCATACAATTGGCATTGGGAGCTTTGACATTCTATTCTCCTGTTAGAGATGTTATGTGCCTCAAAGACAAAAAAGACGAATATTGTGTGGTTGAAACGGTCACTAATGTACTCTCATTGCCTGATCCTCCTAAAGATTTCAGATTACTTGGAGGTATCGTTGATAAACTTCTCGTCGCTGAACCTAAAGCTATTTGTACTCCATGCAACAAAGCTATTCTCAATATTGTCGCTAATTTCTTGAAGAAAAATCCTGTGGCATTAGCTTTGCTTGATGCTTCTTTCCACATTGGTGAAAATGAATTGTTCATTGGAAAAGTTTACTTCTTCCTTAAATGTGGATTCCAATTTTTGGATGGTAAAGTACCTGATCCATCAAAGATTGACCCAGCCAAATTCACATATCAAGTATCCCAAACATCTGCTGCGAATCAAAATGAAATTAATTTAATAATGCTTGGTTCTCTTTTGGCTTCCTCTTTCGTTTTAAATTAAAAGATTTAATTTAATTAATAAGATTTTGATCAATCTTATTTCTTTATTTATTATTTTTAGTTAATTTTTTTTTAATTATTATTATTATTATACTTATATATTATTTATAATTTGAACGTTAGAATTGAGTGTTCGCGGTAATTCACTATTCTTTTTTTTTTTTAGAAAAAAAAAAAATGTCAATATATTTCATTTTTTTTTTCATAAACTTTTACAACTAAGTTTAAATTATTAAAANAAAAAAAAAGAAAGAAATACTTTAATAATCAAAATAAATAAATCTAACAAAAAGAAACTTTTTTTTCGATCTCAGATGATCTTAATTGATTGGATCGTAGGATCAGTACAGGTACTTCGTTAATCACCGCATGTTAAGTTTTAAATATTCCTCCCCTTTTTGAGATCTACAGATTAGTAAATTAATTTCACGCAGACATGGCTTTTTATCCTCTTCTTACCCGGCTTTTCTCCGCAATCTTCTTTTTAAAATGAACTAGTTTTATACAAATTAAGCTTAATATCATAAACATATCTAATTAAAATCTTTACTTAATTTTATACTACTATCTTAATTGACATGTGATCTTTTAATTTCATGTTGAAAGAAATGTTTTTCTTTCATGATTTTCTGTCGAACCTTCTATATTGGCTTATACACTTGGTCTTTTCTAATAATCGAATTTTTTTTTTAAAGGCTATATAAACACAGGAAAATTTCCTTGGAAGAAAATTCATTACGAAATAGAAAAAAAAAATTATTTTATAATTTAATAATATCCCAATAAGCTCCGTTAGCAGCAAACTCCTCCGCCCTTTTTTTTTTAAAAAAAAATTTATTATAACGACATTTTTAATAATCAATAATGAGACTTACTTCTCTTTTTACCCCTCTCTTCCTCGTTGCTGCTGCGGGCTTGGGATTGGCCAACCAATTGCCTAATATTACCGCCCCATCTTTACCTCCTCAAATTCCCACTTCTAACCCAATTGAATTAATTGGTGAATTATCACCACAATGTCAAGCAGCTTTATTCAGCGTTGTCGCAAACCCTGAATTTTTCCAATGTGTACCTGTTGCAGCATTATTACCAGCTCTTACTGATCCAGATTTTCTCCCAAGCATTTTAAAGGATCCTATTCATAATGCAGCAAAATTATTACCAATTTTTGATGCTACTTGTGCTCTTCCTAAATGCTCTGATGAAGGTGTAAAAGGTGCTCTTGAAGCTGTTACTCAAGGTTGTGCGGCCGATCTTGCTAATCCACTCATACAATTGGCATTGGGAGCTTTGACATTCTATTCTCCTGTTAGAGATGTTATGTGCCTCAAAGACAAAAAAGACGAATATTGTGTGGTTGAAACGGTCACTAATGTACTCTCATTGCCTGATCCTCCTAAAGATTTCAGATTACTTGGAGGTATCGTTGATAAACTTCTCGTCGCTGAACCTAAAGCTATTTGTACTCCATGCAACAAAGCTATTCTCAATATTGTCGCTAATTTCTTGAAGAAAAATCCTGTGGCATTAGCTTTGCTTGATGCTTCTTTCCACATTGGTGAAAATGAATTGTTCATTGGAAAAGTTTACTTCTTCCTTAAATGTGGATTCCAATTTTTGGATGGTAAAGTACCTGATCCATCAAAGATTGACCCAGCCAAATTCACATATCAAGTATCCCAAACATCTGCTGCGAATCAAAATGAAATTAATTTAATAATGCTTGGTTCTCTTTTGGCTTCCTCTTTCGTTTTAAATTAAAAGATTTAATTTAATTAATAAGATTTTGATCAATCTTATTTCTTTATTTATTATTTTTAGTTAATTTTTTTTTAATTATTATTATTATTATACTTATATATTATTTATAATTTGAACGTTAGAATTGAGTGTTCGCGGTATTGGAATTTTTTTTTTTTTTTTTACAAAAGAAATACTTGTCAATATATTTCATGTTGGTTTTCATAAACTTTTACAACTAAGTTTAAATTATTAAAATATTATTAAAAATTGTATATTAAAAAATTCAGCGAATCTATATTTGATTGGACGATTATGACAACAATGTATTGGATTTTTTTTTTAAAAAAGTGGTTCAATTTGTTCAATTTCTAAATATTATGAATCAATATGATTAATAAACTTCAAATTTTCTTTTTTAGTTAACTATATCAACCGACCGGAAATGAATAAGGCTTAAAATTGTAAGGAATGCAATATCTGTACAGTATATGCTATTTCTCGTTACAGGTAAAATTTTAGGTTTTTACTTTGTAGGTAGTAAATTTGGTTTAAGGTAAGTAAAGTAATCTATTATTATTTTATTCATAATCTTTTAATGACTAATCAAAGGAAAGAAATTATTGTAAACAAATTTGAATAATATTACAGTATATGAGTATATGCTAGGAATTACAACTTTTATTTGTCTAAGTAGAAGGAATATTATTGAAAATCTTTTTTATAAATTTCTAGTAAAATATAATTTTTTTGAAAAAAAAGTTTCACATGAATTAAATGAATGAATTCTCTATGTACGATCTTACAAAAAATTGAGTATTGGATCATATCGGTTTTTACCTTTACTGTACTGTTGTTGTCGCTGTTTTCGTTGTTGTTCTTGTTCTTCTTCTTGTTCTTCTTGTTGTTCTTCTTGTACTTGTTGTTGATTAAATGATGACCATATTCTGGCTTTATTAATTTCTTTTTCAAGATCATCAATGGAGAAAGATACCCTCATCATTGTATCATCATCTACTACATCATCATCATCGAATGAATAGCTTGAACGACTACAAGAAATTGGACTACAAGAAAATGATTCTTTATCATCAAAATCTTCACTAAAATTTGGAAACAAATTAATAGGTTGATTGGCAAAATAACGATCATAGCGAGATGATGATGATGATGATGGTAGATATGATGGTAATGAAGAAAATGGTAATGATGAAGGTAATAATGATGTTGATGGTAATGATAATGATGATGATGGTGATGGTGGAGGTAAATTAAACGATGGATGTTTTTTATTTAAAGTATCAAGAATTGACATTATTTCACTTTTAAATTCATTAAATTCTTCTCGAAGTTTTTTATAATCTAAATTTTTTATAATAGATTCAATTTCTAATTCTTCAATACGAGCTTTTAATGAATTTATTGATTCAGATTTATCTTGTTCTTTTTCATAAAATTCTGTTTGAATAGTTTGAGTGGTTTGATTGATATTATTAATTTGATTAATTTGAGGGATTTGAGTAATTTTTTCCTGATTATAATGATTATAATGATTTTTCAGATCTTTTAGATCTTCCATAAAAAAAAGTTCATCTTTAAAAGAAACGTTAGCATCCATACTTCAATATTTTAATTGTTTTTTTTTTTTTTATTTTTTTTAAAAAAAAAGAGAGAAAAATTTTAAGAAACAAAATCCAATCGAATTTTATATAAAACAAGAATTTATATTTCATGTTAAAATACTATATTTATTCAAATTAAATCTGATAAACTTGACAAAATTAGTAAAGATCTTATATTCTGAGAAGGACGCGAGACAAAACTTTTAAAAAAATTTTTCAAATTATTTAAACGAAAAAATTTGAAATTGAATAAAATACTGAAAGAAAAATTTTTCTAGATTTTTTTTTATGAAAAGAAAAAAGATAACTTTTTTTTAAAAGTAAAAATATTATTATTTAAAAAATGTTTAAAAAAAAATAAATAATTTTATTGATTGTTTAAAACACTGAAAGATTTCGTTATCATCATTCTTACACATATTTTTGATGTTATTAAAGGATTATACTGTATTATTTTATAAATTTTCTTTCTCACATCTTTAATATTAATTATTTCATATTTCTTATACTTCACATTTTCAAATATAAAGATATTATTGTAAATTATATCATCATTCGAAAATTATTAAAATTATTATTATAATTTATTTGTTCCCGTTCCAATTTCAACTTCATTTCGTTTCTAATATAACAATTAACAGCATCAAACCCATGATAATGGCTTCGTTGTTCTAAAGATTCGGGTAACATGTTACCAAGTTATAATTATATGGAATTCTTTCAAACCAACTTTAATAAATCATTCTCCTCATTTAATGTGAAACATTCTCGCAAATTTAATTAAAATAATTGATTTGTACAATTCACAATTTTTTATAAAACGATATAAGAATAAAATGTCTAACAAAAGGATAATCAAAATAACACGAGTATTTTCAATCACAATTACATGTTCTTCACTTCTTCATCACATTATTATATGAACCTTACTTATTGAATTCATTAAATAGGATATAAGAATAAGAAATAGGATAGGAAGGATAAGAGGGAATAACCGTTATTCTATTAGGAAGTTTATAATCTCATGATATATTCGGGATTTCCATAATAATAATTCCGTAACCATTTTAGTTATTTATCATGAAAGATTTACTATTTGCTATTGTATACCTTAATAAAGTTAGGATTTATAGAAAGTATAATTTATGAATCCCTTAAAAAAAGATTTTATATAGTAGAAGATCAATTTCAAATTTATTTTTTATATTTAAAAAATTTTTTTTTTTTTAATAATAGAATTCAGTCTCTTGGTTGTTCTGTTAAAAAAAAATGTTGTATATAATATTATGTAGGCTGACCTCCTTTGGCCCAGGTAAAATGCTAGGAGTCAATGAATTTTCACGATATCGCGTGGTTTGAAAATTTAAAATTTTTTAAAATTCTTTACTATTTTTGTTCAATTTCTAATACTTATGATCCATTTTATTAAATTATATCAAACGTAATTTGTAAAATCATAGAAATAAATTATTATTATTTATAGAAAAAAGGGGAATGATAAAAGCTAAAAAGGAAATTTTTTTTTTTATTCAAGATTAACGCGATTGACGGGATTTTAACGCTTGTATGCTGATTATTTTGTGGGTACGGACTTAAGGTACGATTTACGGTACGATTTACAAACACCCAATTTAATCGACCACTGAAAATCATTTAATTGTTTAGCTGCGCCTCGCTCCTTACTGCGTCTAATTTCAAATTACTTTAAGTAAAAAAACAATATCCAATTTTTTGATAATTCCAAGAATCTGATTTCACATGATAAATAATTATTACTCATTCGGTGAAAACCTTTTTCATTTTTTAGTGATCAGAATACAAAATATAAATACTTAAATTATGAAATTTCATAATCGGCAAAATGGTGATGATCTCGGGAAACGATCGATGAAATGGCAAGTCATAAAATTTTATGTCGGTGTCGGTAAAACAGGTGTCGGCGTTTGCGCCCTTTTTAGAAATTGATTTCTCATGGTCCTATTTTTAAAGAAAGAGATCTCACACTCTTCCTAAAACACAATAACCAAGAAGTTTTTACGTTCTCGTAATTAATATAATATCCGAAATATCCTGCACTCTTGCGGCGATGCAGGAAATCACCGTGAGATCACGTGTGATTAAAAAATTCTATGTGCAACAATTGATTCTACCAATGAAAAAAAAATAACTTTAGCCTTTAAAGAAAAACTAGTGATTTGAATAACGAGTGGCATGATAGAGGATTAATAACCCCAAATGAAAATAGTAAAATGGAGGAAGAAATTTTTAAATACAAAGCATTAATAGATAATGCGATAATAATATTTTTGAAGAAGGATCGAGAAACTTGTTGGAAAAATTACATCAACGGGGAAACGCGAAGAGATAAACAATCATATGATACTATGGTCCATAGTGTTATGCTTCCTTATCCATAGTAAACAATCATATAAGAAGATACATTCCTTAATCACAAACACCATTTGATACGTTGTACCGGATTTTTTAATTATATATTTTGTTATGAATCTTTTTAAAAGAAAATATTTAATGTAAATAAAAAAAAAAATGATACAAAATATTACACTAGTATCGAATAACTTTTGTGAATGCCAAGAATAAAATCAATAAATAAAAATATATATATGATAACAGATAATGATAATAATTTATAATTATTACCTTTAAAAGATCCCATTATTCATACAATTATTGGATAGATCAGTGACCTTACTATAGTATAATTTTAACCCCTTTTTTATTAATTAAAAATGTTTCTAACATCATCTAAAAATTTATTTTATTCTTTATTCTCGTTTTTGTTAAACACCATATTCAATATGGCATATATTATTTACGTTTAAATGGTACATAACCATCTGACCTAGGTGATTGAGCTTCCACATTATCAAATTGTTCTTTAGAACGTAGTTCACGTAATTTTCTTTGTTTTTTGTTCCATAAATCACGACGTGATATATGCAAATCTTTAAGACATTTAGATATAATTATATCCTGAGCTTGTATTCCTCTATCATTCAAATATTTCCTAAATTTAGGGAAATGAACTTCTCTGATATAAGGTTCGGTCTCAGACCACGTGCATTCACCATTCCTTAATATTCCTGATGGTTCTTCTTCAATATATTTTTTAAGCATTTCCTGGAAAAATTATCCGAAATTTAATAAATTATGTTCTAAGAGATTAAACAACTTACAAGTAGACAAAAAAACTACCTTGGTATATTTTAAAAGTACTAAATCAGCTTTTTTAGGATCGAATTCCTCATATAACTTTTTAGGTACAACACTTTGTTGAGAGATTGAAGTCATTTGTTTTTGCTGCTGTTGCTGTAACTTTTGCTGTTGCTGTTGATGTTGCTGTTGATGTTGCTGTTGCTTTTGTTGTTGCTGTTGCTGTTGCTGTTGCTGTTGCAACTGTTGTTGCAGTTGATGTTGCAACTGTTGTTGTTGCAGTTGTTGTTGCATCTGATGTTGATGTAGTTGTTGTTGCAACTGTTGTTGATGTAGTTGTTGTTGCAACTGCTGTTGTTGTTGTTGTTGCTGTTGTTGCTGCAGTTGTTGCTGTTTTTGTTGCTGTTTTTGTTGCTGCTGCAGTTGTTGTAGCTGTTGCTGTTGTAGTCGCATTCTAGAAGAAACTAACTCGAGACGATGGGTAGATTTTCGAAAGTGTGTAGTTTGAGTACCAGATACAGTTTCTTGTTTTCTTATAACATTATTTTGTCCAGGCGTCTTTATTCTTCGTACAGATATTGTAGTAGAGCTGGTACTTGAAAATGGAGCATTAACTTTTATCATTGGTGGTGCTAAGAAAAAAAAAAAAAAAAAATTTTTTTTTTACATTTAACATATATATATAAACTTTTTAATGTATGACTTAATTTTTGAAATTTTTTTTAAAAAAAAATTAAACCTATATTATTTTTAAAAATTCATTAAATTCATTAAAGAAAAAAATTTTATTAACTTACTTTGAACATTATTTTTTGGAACATCATTATTTCTTGGAACATTGTTTTTTGGAATAGAATTACTATTATTACTTGAATTATCGTTAAATGTTATAAAAAATTGTTGTCCAGATGGAGTAGAAGGACTAGAAAAGGATTTTGAAAAATCATTAATTCGATCCATTAAAATATATATATATTTGTATGTATTATATATATTTATTTATTTTACAATTTTTTATCTACAAAAATTATAAGAAGAAAAAAAAAAATAGCGTTCAAAAGAGAGAGAAATGATTTTACCAAATTTGATGAAAAATTTGACGGTTAATTTCCTATATATACCCAATTAAACTAATATAGAAATGATAAACTCATGATTTAAGGAGAAGGGATCGTAGCCAATAGGATTATTTTTCAAAGATCGAGTAATAATTCGCAATAATAATGAGTAAAAATTTGAAAGAAGGTAATATTATCTGATTTATTCCATTTATTTTTTTAATCCTTTTTAAATTCCAAATATCTAGATGAAAATTCGATTTAGATTTGTAAAAAAAAATCTTTATATGCTAAGGACCGGAATAAAACCTGTATCACACTGTACATCTAAACAATACTTTTTTTTGTAACGTAAAAAGAAATTTGCTATAAACAATTTAAGGGTTGTATATGAATAATATAGGATTAGACACAAGAAAACGAACTCCGACACTTGTGGCAGAATGTTCCTTGATGTTGCGGCTTATTTCCTAACAACCCTCTTCTCAACGGCCGATAATCTTTTAATGTTCCCCTGAAGGTGCTACACGACTCACTCTTACAATCTTGTCCCCAATAGTGGTCATCACGTTGCAAATTAGCAGCAGGAATTTCATCTCTGTATTTTGATAAGAGAATATAAGTGTGCGCGCTAGACCATCCAGGTTTACAATTTTCATTATCACAATCCCAAGTGCCGAATACTCTATACCACTCCTCTTTATCGTCATGTTTCCAGATTAAATGTTCATGAACAGGTGGTTTAATATCTTCTTCCGGTAATGGACTATATTTAACCAATTTGGAATTGTTAGAAGAACATTTTCTACATTTTTGTCCAACTCGTTCGGTATCATTCAAATCATTAGCATCAACACGGTCTTTATATTTCGACAATTTGATTTTTGTTCTTTTATGTCCCCATTTATTTTCGCAATCAAGACCAAGACATGACCATTCACCGAAAACGTAATACCATACTCTCCTCGAAATTAAATTTTCGTGAACGACAGGTTCTTCTGTTGCGATATTAGTCGTGTCGTCCGTCATCATGGTCGCGTTATAGGAACATAAAAATAACGAAGGCGGGTAATACTTTTTCTTAATAAGTCATAATGAGTTTATTTATAAGAGTTTTAGCCAGATTTCGGGTTACAAATATTGTTTAAGTAATTGTTTAATATTATTAAAAAAGGTAAAATTTAGCGAAAATCAAGATAGCAAATAACAATAAAGCCAATAATCTTTTATTCGAATATTATTACCGCCCAAGAAAACCTTAAATTATAATTGGTTTTATCAATAACCGCGTAACACTAAATATAACAAAAGACTCAGCCAATTCAACCAAGGTAACTTGTTTAATAAGTGACGATCGCTATGCCTTATGATGTAAATCTGATTCATAATGAAATTTTTTCGGTTCAAAGGTACAGGAGGTACAACATAAGTACATAAGCTTCCAATTTACATTTACATACAGTATTTAAAAATTAGGTTACGAGATCGACGATATGACCACCAATCAAAATATAGTACAGCCTAATCTTCAATAAAATGTGATCTCAGAATCGGTCTCATAAGGTTCAATAAACGAAGAAATAAAAAAACATCATTTTAATAATAATACAGATTTTTAATATTTTTTAAACTATATATATATAAATATATGTAAGGATTCTGCTAAAACTATCATTATAATCTGCGATTATTTTGATTATTTTGTGTAAAAGTATTTGCCCTTTTAACTTTATTAGAATTGTACCTATCAAAATTATTTGGTGTGTAAGATGTATAAGAATTCGTTGGTGTAAAAAAATCGTTATAACTTGTAGCATTATTTTGCGTAAAAGGCGTAGCATCTGATACGTTTCTTGATAAAGGACTTGATTTTGTAGGAATTCGTGGTAAAGGCATATTAGAATAAGTTGATTGACTTGACATACTAGAAGTAGGTCTTTCTCTTATTTGACGAGAACCTATCGGAGTATTAACCGAGAAGGGTGATTGTAATTCATTTGGATGTTCCTCATCGCTACTAAAATCACTGCCATTAATAATAAAATCAGTCGAATCAATTTGTGACATTAATTTCTTTGGCGTAGCAGGTCTCACAGGTGTTACAGGCCTTACTTTAGTATTTTTATTATTATCATTTATGTCATTAATTTGTAATTTTTCAGAAAATAATCTATTATTATTCTCATTAATTTGAAGTTGTTCAGCAAGTAACCTATCATTTTCAATGTCTTTTTGTACTAATTTAAATTTTAATTCTTTTATTTCAGATTTCATTTGTTCAAATGATTCAAATAAGAGAATAAAATTAGTTTTAAAATCATTTAATTCCTCAATTTCTTTTTTCATTTTATCCATTTCATCGTTATTTAATTCTTTTTTCAATTGTTGAATTTCGGATTTTTGAATTTCAATATCTTGCTTTTTAATAAGAGAATCCGTTTCTAATTCTTCAACACGAGCTTTTAAAGTATCTACCAATGATTCATTTGTAAAAGGAGTACTTTCTTTTGAATTATCTTCAATTACTTCGGGAGATTTTGTTATCTCATTATCAATTGGTTGACTCTTTTGTTGTTCATCTTGTTGTTGAGGCTGCTGTTGCTGCTGCTGCTGCTGTTGCTGCTGTTCTTGTTGTTGTTCTTCTTGTTGTTGTTGTTGTTGCTGTTGTTGCTGTTGCTGTTGTTGTTGTTGTTGCTGTTGTTGCTGTTGTTGCTGTTGTTGCTGTTGCTGTTGTTGCTGTTGTTGTTGCTGTTGTTGTTGCTGTTGCTGTTGTTGAAAATTCACTAGTTCTTGATAAGAATTTCGTATTTCGGATTTTAAACGTCGTCCAAATAATTCGAATTCCGTTGCTTGTTTTTCTAATAACTGATAAAATGGATTCGTTGTATCAAATGTATCATTTTGATTATTGAATTCAATGCTATTATTAAATGATTCCATATTCTTTTTTTTTAAAAAAAAAAAAGTTTAAATAGCAACAAAGAAAAAAAAAAAGAAAAGAAAAAAAACAATTTTAAGTCATAATAAGTAGGGAGAGTAAAATGTTGGTTTTTATTGCTAGAAACAATATACAAACAAAAAATTAAATTTAGTTAATTAACGTTACAATTTAATTTAAAAAACAAAAGTTGAATGACTATTAATATAATTTTAGACAGTGTGTGTGACTATGATACCGAATTGAATTTCCTTTGTTCTAAAAAATTTTGTGCGGTCATCTCCCGGAAAAGTCCGTAAATTTTAAATAATTTTTTCTTAAAAAAAGAGTAATCAATGGAACTTTCGCTTCTTTATTAAAACAATTAAAAAAAAAGGAAAAAAGAAAAAGAAAAAAAAAACAATATTAAAAAAAAAAATAATAAATAAATATTACATATTACATATAAATTAATTAATTAAAAATAGATTCAATCATTATTTCTAAACGTGTTAACTAATTTTAACAAGAAAATTTATTGTTATCAAAATAAGAAATTTATTTTTAATGATGATTGTTTCTTCTTTACCGAAAGCGAGAATTATCATTATTAGGTTTTAAAATATTTTGTTACACTACAGCCACAATTATTATTATTTGTTTATTTTTTTAAAAAATGAATGTCACATGTTCATGCTATTACTTTTTTTAGTTTAGTAATCGTCAAAATATTGGTTTTGCTTTCGCGTATCGGTCCAATGGGCTGGTCCGTGAACTTTACTTTTTATATATTAAACAAACATCTTATGTAATACAAATTTTCGGAGTTAAAAAATTCTTTTTAAAGTTTATTTATGAATGATATTTTGATTGAGATTATGATTATATTCTATCTATAATATAGATATCTAAAACTATTGATGTTTTAACATTAATGCATTGTATATAGTCAATGTATTAGATTAGGATAGCTGCCATTACAAGATTTTCTTTCTTAATGTGAATGGGCTGAGAATTGCTTGGTAAAATGGATAAGTTGTATATCTTGATAATAATGACAATTAAGTATTAAAGCTCAATTAATTATAAAGGACGAAATGAATTTTTTTTTATAGGTTGAAAACGCATTAACATAGCGGTAAGTAACGATGGCTAGTAGCAGTTATTAATATTACGTGATAATAGTTATTCGATAATATAGTACGATTCTTAGCCTCATCGATCCTTACATCCAAAGCCAAAACATGAATTTACTTTAATTTTAGCACAAAAAAATGAAGGAATGTCACTATTTTTTTAGAAAACTACGCGCTAAAAGAAATATTATGTTCAGTAGGATAATGTATTAAAATGGGATAGAATTCAATTGTTATGAACTAATTTCATTGATGAAAATTAATTCTTGTATAATTATAAGCTTTCGGACATGCAAATTACACTGGTATATTTCGCTTATCAATTTCTGGTTCTTATTAGTCCGTTCCAGTCAATATAACAACATTAATCATTTTGTTACTGGTAATTGAAAATATATTAAATAATATAATTTTTTTTAATAAAAATATTAAATTTAAAACCTATTTTTTAAAATATTAAATTCCAAATTGTCTATATATGTAGTGTGGCTTACTTGCGATTTCAAGATATTGATTCAACATAGGTTGGTTTTATATAAAGTCATTGACTCTATGAGTGATAGTATCATAATCCTCGCCTTAAGAAATGCCATATTGGATGATACAGGATTGGTGAATCAGAAAAACTTTTAGTTATTTTAACATGCAACCTCATCCCATCTATGAAGGTGAAAGAAGGATCAATGTTATCGTGTATCCTCCTACAGATAATTAGAAATTTTTATTCTATTAACTTATCCATAAGATTTTATTTTTGTATCAGTTGTTGCTTCGGCAACGCAAATAATAAAGTATCAATATTCCTATAAATCACGTGCAGTTACGCAATGGTGCGACCTTTCTGTGCGACGTAAAATCATATATATTAACGCTTTATCAGTTTTTATTTTTTATTATTTCACATCGTTATCACTCCGAACGTAACACATTTTTTATCCGAGCTATAAAAGCTCCATGTCAACTACCCTTATGAAAATGCTTTCAACGTAAAAGTTATTGGTTAGTGAACTCATGAAGGTTATTAAGGAGGAAATTGACGGTAGTGTCAAGGTAAAAGACCTCAAGCTATGGAAGGTCTACATTTCGCTGTAAATACAAAAATTAACATTAATATCAAGGAGGTGTGGAACTAATTCCACTTTCGAAATTAGCAAACACTTTCCCTCTCAGCCAGCCGAAGAACACATACATATCATCGTATAGCGTCAAATAACAACAAGTATAAAACATACGTTATAAACTGAGGCATCATGCTGTTCGCAAATAACCACCAGTGTAAAACATACGTTATAAGCTGAGTTTCGCAAATAACAACAAGTATAAAACGTACGTTATAAACTAAGACATAATACTGTTCGCAAATAACCACCAGTATAAAACATACTTCCTATTGATTGTCAGATTGAAGACGAGGCTTCGAACTTCCCAGACGGAATTGAAGACGAGCATATCGTAATTCATGAGAGCGGAAAGGTGCGTGTTCGTTTGGTCGATGATGAGGATTTGGCTAGCGTAACCTGGACTCAAAGATTCATGATGGACCTCCCAATTATAGTGGATACATGTAAGTATTATGATTTTTTTTCGCGAGTTTTACGCAACGGAATCAACCTTGGCGTTTATACAGCACAACAACCATTCTCGTCGTGGATGTTTCCTAAGATTAAGGTATTGTTATGTATCAACTGAAAATTATATTGATCTTCCCGGATTCGATGGGGAGTCCGCTTACACAACCGATTAAAAAAAGGTATTGGAGTACGTTTGGAAGATATAGCTAAGACCTGCATTCACGTGGTATATGTCCGCAGTTATTATCATAGTCGTCATGTATAACGGGCAATGTCCCGAATTGTATTTATTTTTGCATGTATTAATAAAGTGTTTTATATTTGCCACACAACATTGAATATTTCCTATCGTATAAAAAATATTAACAATCATGACATCCGAACTTGAAGTATTGAAACAGCGTATCACTGAGCTTGAACGAGAAATGATGTCAAGATCCTGATGATTATGATAACACGGGATAGAAAACGTCATAATGTATCACAAGAAAAACTCCATAAATATAGTAGCTAAAATAAATTACGGACGCGTTCATTTTATTAATGCTTTTCTTGTGAGAATTCCTTACATAAAATATTTATACGCGTTTCTCTCAAATGTCAATTTATATTATGGAAGAAGGAGGTAAGCGAAGAAATGTATTTATGTCACAAATAAGTTACTATGTTAGGTGTACCTCCCTTAGAAATGGATTCTTGGGAGTACTCACGCTCACGCTCACGTTCGCGCTCATGCTTATCAGTTATGCTCACAAGAAGTTACTATGTTGAAGGTCTACCGATTCTGGAGGAGGAATCGGTTATGTACCTTCCTTCGTAACAAACATAGAAATGGATTCTTGGGAGTACTCACGCTCACGCTCACGCTCATGCTCATGCTTTACATTTTTTTGCGTCATGATTATGTTTCTTACGCTTTTACTTTTTTATCCTATATTTAGGTCTTAAGAAACGAAAAACGACTAAAACAACTCCTTGTTGTCCTCTAAATAAATCTGTATTCATAGGAGGCCAACTAAATGGAAAAAGCAGTCAAGAGATCAAGGATTTTATTTCTACAAAATTTTCAGTAGGGTATCCCATGTTCTTAAAACATTAGATAAATCGTACGGACATATTCACTTTGAAACCGAAAATGAAGCTGGGACTTTCTAACAACGCGTGCAAGGACAAGAATTCACTTTTCCCGATGGGAAAAAGACTAGTTTTTTACCTTCAAAAATGGCTGGGAGTAACGAATTTACTGTGTATAAAATTGAGGTAATATAATTTATTATTGTCAATAATTCAACCGATTTATAGTAAATTGACTTTGTTTATTGCATTACTAGAACGAATCACCACATGGAAATGGCTCTCGTACCATCCTCGTTACGCTTAATGTTGGTGGCGTACTCTACACCACCACCAAAGGAACACTTTTAAAAAAAACGAATTTTTTTGAGATGCCTCTTAATGGAAATGTTTTTGACACATTGGATTATGATGGAAACATTTTCATCGACCAAAATGGTGAATTATTTAAGTATGTTCTCGATTTTTGAGAACAAGTGTTTTACCGAAAAGAACTCTTTACGACAAATTATTGCTTGAAGAACTATTGCTAGAAGCTGAGTTCTATCACATCGAAGAACTGGTAACACAAATAAAAGGGAACATTAATCAAAGTTTTTATTGATAGACAACTTACATCGAAAAAAAAAATTTATCTACTTTGCTAGTTACTACTAAATTATCATTTATTTATGTATATGTAGTGTAACTTTATATCTGCTAAATAAAATGTAATTGTTGATTTGCAAAATTTCAATCACATGAATTTTCTTGGTCCTTTCTGGGTATTCTTAGGCAATTTCAGCTAAGAGAACCCCTATATATTTTTTTCATACAATAATACCAGGCTACAGCTAACTTCAATTTCTATTTCCGTCTTTCAGCCTCTGATCTTACAGCCCGGACTCAGATATGCTATACATCGGAAAGAATCTATTGTACAAAAGTCAATCTTAACGAGAATATATTGGATGATGGTGGTGCGGAGGTGTGAATCTGGCCTAGGCGACATCGAAGAATTCTCTTCCTCCGCCTTCGGTGACGCACCACAAGATGAACCGTTAACTTGCGAAGTCGCAGAGATCCCCATTTTCAAAGTGCCAGAAATAACGCTAAGACAAGCCACAGGTACATCTAGCGCAGCTGAACCAGAAATCCCAATAGCATCAACATCTGAAACGTCTAGGACGGATGAACCCGCTAAATTGCTAAATCTGCAGTTGAACCTCCCCAAGCTGCCAAGCGAACGATTGCGAAACCTGAGCCTGTGGCTACGAAGGTCAAGCCCAATCCCGAGCCATCACAAGGAAAAAAAGTAGAACGAGTTGCATGGAGGCAGCTTGCAGAAATCCTACCCTCCATTCTCCTGACCAGAGCTCAGCGCAAGGAACATCTTAGGAAAAAAGCAATCGAGCTTGGAGAGGATCACGATAAGTTCGTATCCATTACAGAGGAAGATATACGTGAATCATTAATATTCCGTCACAGAATGGTATAATCAATAACTTATAATACATGTAATTTTAATTTTATGTTTAAATAAGATAAATATTGCGAAAGTTGATTTTTGAATTTATTTTTATTTATCACCTGATACCCAGACCACGAAAATTCACTGCGGCTATACACGCAGATACAGACATAATATAAAGTCATTCTACATGTGACTCGCAGTTAAGCAATTTAAAGAGTTGATTGCAGAATTCGTGGAACCTTTCAGTAAGGAGGAAAAGATATGAAATTCATGATGGGTTCGTCGATTCGTTATCAAGTACCAGTGAACGTGAAGGCAGTAAAGACAAGGACGACGTTATGTTGGACAAAGAATATGAAGAATGTCTTAACAGCGGAACAATTGGACAAATGCAGACATACTTTCCCTGGGAGGTAATGTTTGGAAAACGATTGTCTCTCGGAAAACGTGTCGTCTTATACTCTCGCTATACCGAAGAAGAGTCATCAAGTATTGGAAGTCAAGCAACCATGTCCCAAGTGCAATCATGTGAAGGAAAAAATGGAAGAACATCGCGTTGCAACGATCCGGTTTTCTTAGTTGATACATTTGAAGATAAATCTTAATTGTTCTTGATGGTGATCCGAAAGAACTAATTTATTATATAAGACGTGTTGCTGAATTTGGCTTTGATCATATAATTATTATTGAGGAGACCGAGTATGGAATAGTCTTTTTAGATTGTTATGGTTGTTTTTCTGTGGGATGATGAAAGTCGCAACTTGGTAATTCACCTGAAGAAGCACCGAAACGCTTAATTAAAGGGAAAGATCAGTTGAGATGGTTTGTAGTGAATGGAATTGTATATATTACGAAATAGCAAGATTTCTATTAACTGCGTATTTTAGTATTATTCGATTTTACATATATACCAACAGCCTAACAAGCGTGTTTAAAATAGTAATATAAATATATGTGTTATCTAATGTATTTGAATAATAAAAAAATCAATTTGCAATCCTGCAAAACATGATTTCAGGATATGTTTGACCAAGGCTTTGATTTGCCATTAGTAACGGGTATCCAAACTAAAGCCTATCTATTTAAATGTATCACAAAACTTTTTAACACTGTTTGTTTTACCAGTGACAATAAGTTTCTATGTGCTAATTTTTTGATCACTGAGCTAATGCATTCTAATACAGGCAATTCAGGTGGACTATTTACTGTTAAAGGAAATATAATTACTTAAAAGGAAGTACTTTTCTTATTAATGTAATTTATCTTCCTTTTTTAGATTATGTAAAAAAATATTTTTAGAAATTAAATTATTGCTAAAGACTTAATTAAAAAGAGCTGGAGTAATAAAAAGTCTCAGTTTAAAAATTCTAAGAATGAATATAACTCAGAATTAGATGATAAATGGATATAATGAAGGAATCAGGTATTACTTTATTATGAAAAGTATAGTTTCTTAAAATATTACAAACTAATTCAAGCATATTTATAAGAGATACTGACTTAATATCAAAAATACTTGAATATATTGGATAATTAAATCTAAAATTTTCTATATTTATTTTTTTAATATATAGTTTTTTCATAACTAATGTTTTTACTTATGTATTGTCCAATATTATATCTTAAAAATTGTAAGTTTGCATTTGCATTTTTATATTAGATCTCAGTATCATTGTATCAATTACTAATACTTTTATTTATAAGAGATAACATAAATCTTTAAATGTAATCATATTAAACAGTAAAAGTTCCGATAAAAATTTTAGTAGAAAATTTCTAGCCTTGCACTAATGAAACGTGACAATAATTAAGTCCAGAATGATTGGCATTCGGCAATTTACCAATGAAAAGTTTTACGTATAATTGATTACAAATCACATAGTAAAACCCACCAGTAAGTGATTTCAGTGATGTCACAACCTTTTCTCGCGAGTATGTCAGAGTCTAAGATTTCCCGTTCTTTGTTTCCTCAATTCACAGAAGAACAACTAGAAGAAGTAAGTAAAATCTTCAAGTCTTCTGTAAATTGGACCAGTTACAAAAAGTGGGTTGAGGACGGAAAACCTTATGAAGAACACGACGAATTAATTGGGATCCGGAAACTCGAAAATGGATCTCAGAGAAGACCAACTGGTAAATCTATAGATCTATTGATTTATATTCACTCTGCTACTTCATTTTCATGTATATATTTGGTTATTAAAGTTCAAATATATAAAATTTTTAAAGGAACCGTACGAGGTAACGTTGACAGAAATGGAGAACATCGAAATGGAAGTAGCTCTCACCATAGTGTCAGGAAGACAGCTCGAACAACCGGGAAAAAAGGCAATAGAAACACTTCACCAACAAGAGCCACGTAACAAAGGTGAATATTGTAGTAAAAATTCTGGATCCGATACAATTCCCAACACTGTCACAGTTCACGAACCAAATGCTTCAAGACTTGCGGAGGGACGGCATCCTCAATGATGTAATTGGTTGTTGTGTCAAGGGAAAAATTAGAGAACTTAGAATTGTTGATGAAGCAACTGGTAAAGTAGAACTTGTTGGACAAAAAATCGGTTCTTATAACATTGTGCCAAAAGAATCGTACATGTATACATTAACTCTACCAAATTACCATTTTTTAATGTTAACGGCATTTAAGGGGCAAATGGTTTAGATGTTTAGCTTACTTTTGTGATCATGATTCATATACGAATTTTCTAAACATATTCTATACTAATAAGATCTCTTTTTGATGAAGAATGAAACAAGAATAGCAAATATTTTTTTATAAAAATAATAAATCAAACGCGTTTTTACATTGCTATATATTTTTTTGTGTCCGCAATAAAGTCTTAAAGCTTTACCCTGGTATATCTTTAAGTAAAAGTGTCGAATCTGAAGATGTTACAAGACAAATCTTCACTTTGTCCATCATGCGAGACGAATCATAAGGAAAATATAGTAGACTATTATGGGGACAAATCTTACCGTTTATGTTGTATATACAGATATACAGATCTTGAGGTGGTAGCATAGGCCGGTCATGTAAGATCGATCACCTGAAATGCGCAGTACGATATCGAAAATTCTTTGCCGGCTTTCTATCTGCATAAAATATACCATGCGCAGTAAAATGTCATCTATACTCCAGAAAAATGCAGAAAACGTCATCGACATCCGCAGATATAGGCATGTGATATAATTACGCCACTATATCATGTGATTGTGAACAACCGCAGTCGTTATTTTAGAATAACCCCCGGCCAAGAGCAATATTTTTGTGTTGCTATACTGATGAACTTTCCCAAAGTTCTGGTATGTTCTATCTCACTCATTACACAGTACTGAATTACTAATAAAAAAATACATCCCTGATTTACATGCGGATCGTAAGACAGGGCGTTGTTAAAAAGAAATTCAAAAATGGAAATAGAGTCGATTAAATCAATGACTTACAGATCCTCGGAGCCAAAGGCGCTGTGCATAAACGATAAATTTTTATTATCCTACTGATGTTAGCGCATTCAAATTACGTATACAGGTTAATCACATATTAATCCATTTTTTGAATAGGAAATAGTTATACATGATCTTGATCCCATGATGACAAATATCCTGATTTTTTGTGATTACAATTGAAATAGGAGTGGGGCTGTGAACTCAAACAAAGATGCACCACATGAAATCTTCTGTTTTGAAAGAGATCTTAGAAATAAATGGAAAATTTTGAGATACAGCATTGCTCCATTAGTGTTACATTAAGTTGTCAAAAATTGTAATTCTTCAGATTTTCTTTTAAGCGCTATTATTACAATTCAGGGGAGAGACATTTGTTATTATTAGATGGGATCCAGGCCTTTATAATTGTTTTAGCTGAAAAAATATAATTATGAAAAATGTAGTTATGACGAATACATTTAATAAAGCAACATAACTTTTATTAAATCGGGTTAAATTCTCTTTTTGTGCATAGTAGGCATACAGTATAAAATAAACCTTTTTCCCAGTGCATTTACGCAAGAAAATTATTGCTATTAAAAAAATCAATCGTTAATATCTAAAAAAACTTGATCTACCAATAAAATCTCTTAATAAAATTACTACGCCTAATCATGTCCAGTTTGACATTGCTCAACTCTTCTGAAAGCATGCTATTTTTGGCCTTATTCGCTGTTTTTTTACTTGTTAATCCAGTGATATTCATGGGATTTGCCACCATATAGTCAAATATTAAATAGAAAGTCTCTAATGAACTCTATACATGTGCCATCAAAATTGTCAATTATCTTGATATACTGGAAATAGAAAAGACCTTTACTGAATTTAACAATAAGCTCACCGCAAAAGTTGACACAAGTATTTCCAATTTTAAATCTATATTCATTGTGGAAATCAGTAAAATTTATGCCGAAATTGATGGAAACTTACTGCAGAAGCTGAAAAAATCAAGGCACGTGATGATGACTTTACTGAGGAGGCGCAGAAAATCTTTCAAATGATCATACTGTTACCAAAAGGCTTAATGAGATCAAAGAAGCCTGCTGTAATGATTTTCCTCAGTTAATACTTCTATTGATGCACTCCAAAATGGATTAATTTAATGTTATACAATCAATAGAAGAATCCAGCCAGTTGAAACTAAGGTTGCTTGCCGAAACCTTTTTAATAACTGCCGAAACCTATACGGAAAATGCTGAAACTATATTAAATCATATTAAAAATCCTGCCGAAACTTTGCCGAAATGCCAAAACCCCCATTTGCCGAAACTGCCGAAATCCTGCCGAAACTATAGTAAACATATAGTAAAATCTTGCCAAAATTTATCGCAGGATTTTGGAGAGGTTTTGGCAAGCAACCTTAGTTGAAACTAATCAACAAAGTGTATCAAACCACTCTAAAGTGTCCAATCAATCTTGTGCATCATCTAATTTAGAACTAATAACATTCAAGGATATTAGTTTAACTATTTGGATCCAATTCAAGCAAATTTTTGATAAGATTAAGGCAGAAAAAAGATTTAACTCAAAAGAAATGTGTCTTCATGTAGAAATGGAAATTCGTGAATTAGGTGAAAATATTAAGAAAGTTACGGTTCAAGGGTTTTATAAGAAAAATATAAAGAAGGATAAATATATTAGTACTTTAGATAATATTGGTTTATGATTAAATAGTAAACTTAGTGTAAACAATAATAATGCAGAGTAGTGAGAAGGAACTGTTGCATTTGGCTTAAGGATCAACGTGATTCTTCCCTTTAAACACAATCTACTCTAATACCTTTTATTAGTTTCATTTTTTACTTAGCCGGCTGGCTCTTTCTCGCGTATTACTTTACAAAAATATGATAAAGATTTTACTTCAAATTTTTAAATGTATTTCGTGTTTTACAAGTGATATTTATTAATTACATTTGTATTCTATTGCATCGCACTTACAAATTATAAAAATATAAAATTTACTAAACTATTTGCCGAAGTGTCTTATAGGTCAAGTATTACATTTGCTTTTGTTTTCTACATAAATCATAGCTATAAAATATAAATATTTGGCGCCAGTCCTTTCTGCCAACAATTAATGAAAAAAAACTCTAATCCTCTTCTCATACACCGCCATAATTAATAGTAACATTGATTACATTAGCATTTTGCGAAAAAGAAGGAATTGTTGGATTACGGGTCTAAAGGTGTTAGGTATTTCGACAGTTAATAGATTTGATGTTGTAAGTGATGATAATTTGGAGGAATCCTTGACAGCCTTTTCCAATGGTTGTTGTTCAGAACTTGATTTCCCTTTGGGCCGTTTAGGTAAGATTGAAGAGGATGTTACCTCAAAAGAATTTACACTACTTGATCCAACATTTTCATTATATACCTGCTCGAATGGAAGTTCTAGCGAATGGTAAGATTGTATTAATTTAGAGATAATCACCCACTTATTTTCTATAGAAACATATCTGATTTTAACCAGAACTTTGTTGAGAACTCTTTGTATATTTTTTCCACCACCAAACTCTTCTTAGTTCCAGTTCCTTCTCTATATCTTTTGGCCATCTAAAAAAATAGTAAGTATATTAACCCTAGATTTCATGTAAAATTCAAGTAGGTCTATTTACATTAAAAGCCTTTGTAAGGTTTAAGAACTTATTATGACAGTCTTTACTTAGGAAAAAGTTGGTATTCTCTTGTTTATTAAGCTTTAATACTGGCGATATCGTTCCAAAAATCTTGTTTCTTCTTATTTGGAATGGCATGATATTTGAAATTTTTTTGTTTACATTCGTTGATGAGAAGATGAAGCTGAGTGTCAGACCATTCAGTAGAAGAAGATATGTTTACATTGGTGAGAGAACTCCATAAAAATTGGGCTGGTTTTATGGAAATATCAAGTGATATATTCTGATTATAGCGAAGGATAATTGATTTAATTTAATGAAATGATTAATCGAATAATAATGGTGGCTTAACCTTTTTTTTAAATTCACATAATATGCTGATCACCCGTAATTTGAGAACCCATTCAGCGCCAGAGAAGTGTTGTAGAACTGTCGTGGAATTGGTAGGAATTTAGGGAGATCACATATGATACAAAATTTAACTAAAGATGCTGTGTATAATTTAGCTGAATCAAAAAAAATATGAATCTGTTTTTTACCTGAATAATTGAATAAAAATGAATCTGACATTTTATTATAATATACTTGCTATAAATCACTATAAGTCATTAAAACAGCTATAAATCGATAAAATCAGTAAAATTGCTATAAATTACTATAAAGTCCTTATATCTGTAAAATAGTTAAAACTAACTATTCTGGTTTAAATCCTGTAGTAATGCAAGCGTTAAACAATCTGCAATATAGGTATAGTAGTAAAACACCAGAAATGTAATATTCTCATGTTCGTTATTCATTTAAGAAACTTTTTGAATATAATCAAAAATACTTCTCCAAGAATGGATTTATTCAAATAATTAAAAGATCATAAAAATGAGGAATTTAAAGCTGGGAAACGTTTATCTCATATTTATTGCACTATATATGACTCCTTAGTAATTATTTGCAAAAATACCATCGAATGTGACAATGATCATTTGAAGAAATGTATTGCTAAAACAGCAAAAAAGCATATTGCATATTCTAAGGAGAATTACATATATTATGTAATATTCAGTTTAATATAAACTTACTCCTCTCCTCCCTCTTGTCAGATTTAATAACCAATCAAATTATAATATTTATAAATCATATAATTTTATTAAGTATAACGTAAGATTTTAGTTATTCCTTCCTCCTTTTGATAATTACATAATATATGTAAGCTCTCTAATAGGATCCCAAACAATACATATATAAGTAACAAAAAAATTTGCTTAGCCATCATATAAAAAAATTTTTTAGGTTATATTTTATTTCGTTTAGCCAAAAAAAAATTTTAATATAGTCATGTTTTCAAATATGTAACAAAGCAGAGGTTTAATTAAACTCAGATATGAGTTTGCGTAGTAAAATTCCTAATTTAATAATCTTAATTTTTGTACATACAATTTTTAATTTTCTGGAATTTTTTTGTCTTTTTATGTATTTAGTTCTTTGTTCTTTTATGCTTACATATAGTTTATATCCTTATCAAAACCATTTTTATACATATACACATTTTTTCAAGTCTTAGATAGACATATACATTACATCAGGAAATTTGTTTAGGCGTAATTTAGTGTAATATTTCGAAGGTGGTGTAAAATTTCGAAATATTACACTAAAAACGTAATATTATAAAAGTTTACGCTCTTAAATTTGAATAATTATAGTAATTTAAGAATATCTCGCTATCTACTGATCCAATCAAGACGATCTATAGCTCATTGGAATCAGCTCATCAAGACGAATCGAATGGTAGTAAAATCGTATCTTTACGTTCGATAGATGATTTTCTATTACTTTAAAACTTTACTGCATACTATAGAGCGTTCTATCAACTGTAGAAATGCGATTTTACTACCATTCGATCCGTCTTGATGAGCTGATTCCAATGAGCTATAGATCGTCTTGATTGGATCAGTAGATAGCGAGATATTCTTAAATTACTATAATTATTCAAATTTAAGAGCGTAAACTTTTATAATATTACGTTTTTAGTGTAATATTTCGAAATTTTACACCACCTTCGAAATATTACACTAAATTACGCCTAAACAAATTTCCTGATGTATGGTTAGCTAGAAATATTTTAAACAACAGTTACAAAAACATCCATATGTTGTTAAAGTAGTACGTACTAAAAAAGTTATTTGCATATATGGAGCAGTAATAAAACTTAATAGGAAATATGATGAAGATTATATTAATCGTCATGCAAATGGTCCAGGATGTAAAAGGAAAGATGGACAATAAAGTATTTTATGTTTTTTTTGCAAAATCAACAACAGATGAAGATGATAATATAGATAATGAAAATTTGGATGATGACTGGATAATTGGGAGAGTGAAGTAAAAGATACGATGAATGATGATGATATTATTACAGTAAATGAAGCTGAAAATGAAATTAGTGAAGAAAATAATAATATAATAATTAATTCAACATATATTAATCAAGTATCTAACAAGAGAAAGGGATGCTTAGGGCTCTGTTTAAATTTAATTACAAATTATGTTGATTAGTATTGCTGCCTGAAACTCATTTAACGATAAAACTCAAAAATCTGAAATTCAAAAACTTTATTTTTAATAAAATAATTGGTAAATCCAAAACTTTTCTAAATTATAATTAGTTTCAGAAAAGCATAAAAACAGTTTAAGCAATTAATTTTTATTATGAAAAATAGTTTCAGATTGAATTTTAACTGAACTAAAATTTTGAAAAAATAGTTTTAGTAAGCATCCTTAATGTTGATAGAACATCAGCAAGTTATGGTGGAGTTCGTCATGTTGAAGTAATTGCTAAAGAAATATTTCCAAATAAATTTCCTCATAAATTTACAAGAAAAAAACTTACAACATCACAAAAACGTGCATTAAATCAAAAAATTTATGCAGAATCTCAATGGCGTGTTGGTAAAAAATGTAAGTTTTTTTGAGAGAAAAAATTAAAAATTTACTTGTTTAACAAAAATCTTTTCTATTTAAATAATAGGTATTGTGGTACACGCTAAAATATGCATGGGATATTCTGAAAAAGAGATTTGTGATGAATGTTTAGCATTAAAACACAATAATCTATTAGAAAATCGTCTTGCCATCCTAAAACCAGCACCTCAAAATCTCAAATTTACACCAAAATTTTATTTTGAAATTAATTAAAACATTTGCAAAATCAAGATCTCTGTGAAATTTGGTCTATTGTTAAAAACAACAATCATGCAAATATATGGATTACATTAGCAGATAAAGCTATTCATGGCGTATTTAATGAAAAACCTGTTTTTGAAGGACTTTGTAAAATAATAGTTTAAGCCGCCATTTATAAAAGGCAAGCAAAATTTCAAATATAATGAGGAACTTACAAACTTCCTCATTATATTAGGAAGTTTTAGCATTCGAACTCTTAATATTTTTCATTAAAATTTGAAAGGGCACACAATTCAAAATATATGGTATGATCTGCTTATTTTATTATCTATAAAAATTTGTGCTAATTGGTTAAAAAATTTTCTATCTAAAATAGAAAACTTCATGTTAACGATGAAGATACCGACACTTACAAATCCTACCTTTTTATTTGAGAATGTTGCTAAATTTAAAAGGCTAATTGATACATTAAATTATTAAAGACCTATAGCTGCTATATCTGATAATACCAAATTAAAACCTGCTTTTTGGTATCATTCTGGTTTAGGATGTATTGTTGGGTCAACACTTTCTATCAAAGAAACTAAAATTAATACATATAAAGATATCCCAATAATTATTAATGATATCAAAATTAAAAAAGCTATTGCAAATGACATGCGTGCCTATATATTGCAGGTAGTATTCATTTATAATAAATTATATCATTTATATACATACGATTCATAGTCATATTTATTTCAATTATTATTATTAGGTACCATTACCAACCTTTCCGCCAGTAGTTATTGGCTTATTGCATTAATTGCTAATACTGGGTCTGATAACCAGTTAACTGTAACGAATTTTCATTAAGAATTATTGACTCAAATGGCACCGCAACTTAATCTTTCAATATTATCAATTGGTTCAGATGGCCATATTGTTAAATTTAAAGCTCAAACTGCAATCCAAAAATATCCAACAGATGAACAGCTAGTTTTTTAGAATGATAAATTTGGAATTAATTTCAGCTGCCCGATTTTTCTGAACATAGAACCTGTTGTTTGCGTACAAGATCCTATTGGAACGTGCCAGAAATTACGTGATTTAGTAGGTGGGTGAAGGTTAGGTCCTGTCACAATATACCTTTTATGATGATAGTATATCTTTTATAGTAAATAATATATAATTTGTTTATTTATAAGAAGCTTTTTTGAAATTATCTTACCATCTAAAAGTCCAATTTCAATGAATTTTTTTTGTTTTATAAAGTATAAAGAGGGCTATGGTGTGGCGCATCTATACTCATCAACAGTCCAAAAATTTATTTTAGGCTGATCTTTACCAAATTAAGTAATAGTTTAGCCTTATTTGGTAACATCCCCATTGATCATTGTGTGATTTATTAAATTAGATTTACCTGATTGGCTTAAATCGTAATCACGTGAAAAATTAATTCCGAAATTTTACTATTTTACATAGACTTATATAAAAAATACTCCAACTTAAAAAGCTAATAACTTTTAATCTATAAAAGTTAGAGGAAATTAAATCTGATAGAATGAAAAAGAATCGCTTTAATCTATAATTGTATCAGTTTACTTTTTCAGTTTAACATAAAATTTTAATGAGTTATTGAAGTTTAAAAATACCCAATTTTCATTTGATGAGTATAGATGCGCCGCACCATACAAAATAAAAAAAAGTTTATGCAAATTGAATTATTGGATAGTAAAATAATTGTATTATAATATATATGTGATATATAGTACTAATTTATTTATTAAGAAGCTTTTTTGCAATTAACTTACTATCTAGTAGTTCAATTTTAATGGATTTTTTTTGTTTTGTAAAGCATAAAGAGGTCTACAAAACAAAAAAAAAATTATGTAAATTGGATTATTGAATAGTGAAATAATTGTATTATAATATAATATATAATATATAATAATTTATTTATTAATAAGCTTTTTTGCAATTATTTCATCATCTAGCAGTCCAATTTCAATAAATTTTTTTTTTTTTATAAGGTATAAATGGGGCTACAAAACAAAAAAAAGTTTATGCAAATTGAATTATTAGATAGCAAACTAATTGTATTATAATATACCTGTCTCTTATACACATCTAGATGTGTATAAGAGACAGATAATATACATATATATATTAATATAATATATTATATATTATATGTATTTTTTTAGCCAATTAGAATTCAATCACATGGTGGGTAGGGGGATTAGGTCTCTAATTGAGCATTATCACGTGATTTCTGGCACACCCCTAAGCACACAAAAAAAACCAGCTGCAATGCTATAATATCTGGTGCATAGCTTCTTACTTTTGGAAATTCAACAGTACAGTTTGAGTAACTATTAAAGTTATCTCATATCCCAAATTTGGTAATGTATCATCAAGATATGATAAAACTTGACCGTCAAGATGACAGTGCTACATACCATGCATTTTGTTCAGGAAATTTACAAAATTGTTATGATATTATTAAAGAGGATATGCAGAGAATTTTTGTATATCTTTTTATTATAGGTTGGTAATTTATTATTATATGTAATTATTGGTTTTTTTTGCTTTATTCGCTCAATTTATTAATATATTTTTAAAATTAGGAGAACTTATTGATAGTTACTTAAATCGAGAAATAACTCCATTAGAAAGAATTAAAATGTCAATGACAGCTTTTTTCTTTTTACAACTTTGGAAAAAACATATAGCAAACATGAGTGAAAAATATTCTGATTTTATTTCTTTAAACAAAAATTTTTTAGCAGATCAAAGTTTTGCAATTTTTATTTCTCTCGCAAAATCCATGATATTATTAGTAATATTACACTGAAAGTATTATTCAAATTACCCATTTTTACCATGAATACATAGATCAGAGGCTTGTGAACACTTTTTTGGCATGACACGCCAAATTAATTCAGATTTTAATTATTTTGAACTATTGCAATTAGTTCCAAAAATTTCTCAATATACCAAAGCATTAAGAGCAAAAAATATTATATTAAAAAAGGAAAATCAGTATGTGAAGGTAAATTATTCAATTAATATGTTTAAAAATTGATTAAATTATTAGTTTTTTTAAGTATTTCCTTTCACTTAGGTTATCATTTTGATTATAATGTAGGAGATATTAACTCAAGGAATTTGGCAACACTATGTACTTGGCCATCAGATGCTGAAATTACTCTGACTATAGAGTATTCATATGAATTGGCATCTGAACTTGCTAATGCTCTTGATATAGATACTATTCAACATGTAAATCCTTTAATATTACAGCCATATATTTTGATAAAAAAGCAAAATTCAGAGATATCAGCTGAAATTGAGCTAAATTCTAAAATTAATGAATTTTCTGAAATCAATAGAGAAATTTCTGATGTGATCGATCAAGCTTCTAAACATGCTGCCAGCAGTAATGATATTTTTGATTCCTTGAATAGTGAAGAAAATACTGATGATCGTATTCACCAAAAACAGATTATTTCAATTTTAAATGTTACAAAAACATATAATAATGAAAAACAAACTCATGGTATACATAATTTATTAATTTTACTATATTCAACAATATTAAAAATACTATATTAATACTATTTTAAAAAGATCCTCTTATTAGATATCTTCTTCCAACAAAAGAATTGGATTATTTAACTATAATTGCATTATGAGAATATCATGAAGCATATAATTCAAGGCCAATTAAAAGACAATATCGTGTATATGATGATAAGCAAACAAATACTGGAAGTATCAATCCAAATAAGGCTAGCCAAATTGTTTCACATTTCACAAATAATAATGATCCAACAATATATTATATAAAGCCACGCGAAAAATGATGAAAAGAAAATTAGAAAACAATGACTATGAGTCTTGCGAATTTACAAAATTCTGAATTATCAAAGTAAAGACGAACCATTTGTAATTATAATAGTAAAACTAATAATGCAAGTAAGTCAGTATAATATATTTATTATTTTGTATTGAATCAGCAAATGTTATTTAAGATTTTCCCTTATGGCAAGATGATTTTGTTATTGTAATATATGGAAAAAAAATCTGTGTTGCTAAAATAATATCAATGTATTATAAAAGCTATGGTAACTCAAGAAATTAATCAAATTGAAGATTTATCATATATTTCTTTACAAGTGTATTTACCAATTCATCTTAATATTTTTGCAAGCCAAACTTTGAAAGGCTATGTATTATTTACTTATCATTGTTCTCAAAATATTTTATATCATATTAACACAAATAAACTAATAATTAGTAAAAGTTCATTAACTTTAATAGGAATAGCACGAAATACCTTTAATTATTTTAATCGTGATGATATTAGAATTAATATGATGTAATATGTTAATAATAAAGAGTTTAATACAATTATCTAAAAAACTATTATTCAAATTAATGCTAATTAAATAGATATATATTAATATGTCATAAAATAGATTGCATAACGAAATGGAATTTTAAAAGTCATATGAAAAATTTGCTTAGTCAAATTAAAAATAATTTGCTTATTGATCATAATAAAAAATTCTGATTTTAATGTGACTTCTATATGTATTGTTTAGGTCCTCATTATACAAGCTGAAATAATTTTTTTTTTAAATATTAAGTTTAATATATATAAATATATACTTAAATTAAATAATGCAGTAGTTAGATTGTAAGATAATTAATAGTGTAAATTGAGGTATTTGGTTCAGTTTCTAAGGTAAGTAAAAATAAATATAATTTTAATTTAATTTAAATATATATAGTATGTGTTAATATACGGTATTGAACAACAATGCACTACACATTAGAGGTGAACGATGTGTATATTAACATTATGCATTGGTATACTCCAGTATACGGATGTTGATTAATATTATTAATTACGTTGAACAACTAGCTAGTGTTGATCAATACGTATACTGGTATAAATCAACACTTTTAAAACTTGCTGATGTAATATAATAAATTTTATGTTATCACTCTCGTCTGCCACCTATAGATGAGCATGATGTTGTTATAAAAATATTAGTTCATTTTATTATGCTTGGTTTAGATTTTAACTTTAAATAATTGATAATATACTTTCAGACTAATAGAACTTTTATATTCAGACCTTTCACATATATCAAATAATAAATAATTTTTAATAATTAATATTTATTAAAATTGAGCAAAAGGAAGCTGTTGACCAAAGTCAAAAGTCAACCTTTTTATACATTTTGATGTTTCACTAAATTATAATTTTTTATAATTTTCTATAAGATTCTAAAACTATGACTCATATGACATAATCCTTCCATCTCTGGGCACGTCTGAAATGTGTGTCAGGTTGACGGCGCAGTGTGGCGCAGTAATTCAAAAAAATCTAAGTTGAAGATTTTCTTTTTAATGTAATGCTTTCAAATTTACACATTAGATGTATTTTCATCTGTTTTACAAAATTCACTTATAAACGGAAGGAGGTTTTGGACGTAGATTTTGACTTTAGTATATAACAACTGATTTTATCGTCTTTGCTGATCATTTCCAAAATTGGATTTGTCAAAAAAACGGTTTTTATTAAATAACTCGAAAATGGCCTTCTAAACCGCCCGTATATACTCTAAGTAAATTTGCAGAGCGGACGAAAATACATTTATTGCAGTAATTTAAAGGTTTTATTTTAAATAAAAAAAATTGCAATTTAATTTTTTTTGGAAAAATCGCTGCGCCACACTGCGCCGTCAACCTGACACACATTTCAGATGTGCCATCTCTAGTTCCATCTATTTAAATAACAACTATTTCCCATTTATACAATGAATTTTCATTGATATAATCATTTCATTGATACAATGATTCCATTAACACAATGATAAACTATTTATAACTAAACTAATAATAACCAAACTAAATATAACTAATCTAAATATAAATAACTATAAATAACTATACTATAAATAAATAATTATAAATAAAGTTTGTGTAATTATAACATTATGTTTGCTAATTATCTTGGTTAAATAATCTTCCATCGGTTAAATGTTTATCCATGTTCCATTTAGTCCTTTATTCATCTGATCACATGATTATCCTAATTTTAAAAGTTACAACATGTTTGTGTAATGAAATTTTACGTGTTTGTGTAATAAACTTTGTGCTAAAAATAGTATATACTAAGAAATTTTACAAAATCATAAATTTTACCTTATAATTACAAGTTACATTTTAAAATTCTGTTTAATTATACCATATACTTAACGGTTACATAAAAAAAACTTACCATAGAATTACATTTACTTTTTTTAATTTATAAAGAATTTTACCTTATGAATTCAACCAGTTTTTTTAACTTTTCTATGTAATTTTTACCTTAAGCTTGTGAGTGACTTCTATTAGAAGTAAGTGGATCCTGGTTCAACACCTAGATCTAATTCTTTCCAATGTTTTTGCAATCTTACTCCCCATGTCTTAATTCGCTCTCTGGATTTGCATACATTTAGACTGATTCAGTTCTTTGCCTCCTCTTTTGTGATGTAGTTGACACCAAATACTGGAGTTTTCTTTTTGGGTTTTAGCTTAACAACTAAAGTTGGAATTACCACATGTGGCTTCTTCTTGTTGCTCATATTTACACTAAAGCTTTCTACCTATGCTTTAATTTCAGAAGCTTGGATAGCCTGTTGGTTAGCTTTTTGAATAGGCACCTGAATTGGTGTTTGAATATAAGCTACTTCCTTTTGCTTTTGTAATAGTTTGCATGGATTTTTTTGCTTAAAATGCTCACAAAGTTTTTGTGGCATTGAGTATTCATGACCACAATGTTCACAGATTGTATCTTTTTTATTACTTCTTGTTTTTCTAACCATGGTGTTAGCTCTAACTGTTGCGTTATTACTTGCTTATATAATTTTTTCTTTAATTAATTATTTCCTATTCCTTTCACTGAAGATGGTATTTGCAAGCTTGCCAAAACGGTTCTAGCTATCTTCCCAAAACTGAAGCATTAACTATTTATTAATTATTCTTTTGATATTTAGTGATATAAAATAGGATGATCGGTAAATATTTCTGCCCATTTCTCTACAATACTGAAAAGGTTTGTAAGAGAGCTTCTACTAGACCTGCTGAATGCTGATTTTATTGGAAATTAAAAAAATGGTTACCATATTCTAATTGTAGTAAGCCAACTGCTTCTGCTTGTGACCGATGCTCAGATCATGTCAGAGGCTATTATGTTATTCAGTTTTATGACAGGCTTCAATCAGAAAGTCTTCGATTGGAGATACAAGAAAGGCTTCGATCAGAGATATGTGAAAGACTTCAATGTGAGATACAAGAAAAAACTTATGAGAAAATGATACTTACCCATAGTGATGTGCTTGCAAATCTTAATATTTTTCTTTGTAAGGAATGCCTTTATCCAATAAAACTAGAAAAGGGAGAATATTGTAATAGATGTCAATCAAAATAAATGAAAAGATTATTTCAGCCAACTCTTTACTTAACACAGGTCAAAATGCTAAAAATTGGCAAAAAAAATGGCACGAAAAGCAGTGGCTATTCTTGGCTATTCTTGGCTGTTTTTGGCTATTTGTGAATTAACCTATACTATTTGTAAATAATTTATACAAATTTGCGAATAGTTTATGCAATTCGTGCCATTTTTTTGCCTGTTTTTGGTCATTTGACATGTGTAAATTTTGCTAGAATTTGGGAATGCAATATTCAATGGACATTTACCTCCCTCTTGCTCATATAACTTCGCACACGTCAAATGATCAAAAATAGGCAAAAAAAATGGCGCAAATCGCATAAACTATTCGCAAATTTGTATAAACTATTTACAAATAGTATAGGTTAATTCGTAAATAGCCAAAAACAGCCAAGAATAGCCAAGAATAGCCAAGAATAGCCAAGAATAGCCACTGCTTTTCGCGCCATTTTTTTTGCCGATTTTTAGCATTTCGACCTGTGTCGGGATGGCAATGTGAATATAGTTTTTTCTTACTCTTCCCACCATTCTTGGACAATTCCATGGATTTTATAGAAAAATATTAGTTTTTTCATTATAGATTTAATAAATTTCCTGGCAGGGTAAAATCGTTAGACTTAAATGAATAATGTATTAGATAAGGAATTAGCTAACGTGAAGCCAATTTCTGATATATATTTTTTGTTAGACTTATAAAATTTCCGGTAGAGTAAAATAATTAGACTTAAATTTTTCGTTAAAGTTTTATGCTATTTGATAAGCTAGCTTATGCTAAGCCCATTCTTAACTAAGGAAAAGTTGGGACAATTTCACAGATTTTGCAAGGGTGACATTTCGTTGGATTTTTATAAAAAATATGCTTTTTAGTAAGCTAGCCTGCATTGAACCTATTCTTGATTAAGGAAAAGTTGAGACAAAAATCCCATTAGACTTATTTTTTCATTAGACTTATCTTACAGAATGGTATAATCTGAGGGAAATTGAGACAATTAGACTTATTTTTTTGTTAGAGTTAGGTGAATATTATATTATTTTATTAAGCTAGCCCATGCAGAACTACTTCTAAATAAACCATTTTTTGTTAGATTTATGATGATGGAATTGGGACCATTAGACTTATTTAATTATTTTTCATTAGATTTAAGAAAATCGTTAGATTTATTTATAGGATAATAAGAGCCGTTAGACTTATTTTCATTAGACTTAATTTTTTGTTAAACTTAAATATTTATGGAGTAATAAGGACTGTTAGATTTATTTTCGTTAGACTTAGGTAGTTAATATGCTATTTAAAGAGCTAACTTGCGCAAAATTAATTTCTGATATAATAATTTTTGTTAGATTTAATAAATATAACTGAAAAGTTAATATAGAAATTAAGATTCTAAAGCCATTAAAAGCTTTTCTAATATATTAATAAAAATCGATATGCTTTTTAAAGATGGAGAACCCACACAAAGCTTTAAAATATAATATCAAAATTAAGATTCTAGAGCTGATAGAAGCTCTTTTAATATAATAAGAAAAATCGATATTGTTTTTAACGTTCTGTAGCTCACACATCCAATGTTTCAGTGAGAATCAGACCTTTGGTCCTTAAACCCCCACTTTCACATTGTATTTTGATCAACAAACTCCTTATTTTTTGTATTCTTTTAGGAATAATAATTTCTGGTTTTTCATCATACTACAGTCAACTCTTGTTATAATGAACTCTAGGTTCCAGACTTCAACTTTGCTATAAGGCTATAGTGAAGATTTTAAGAGATTTGATTGGTTAATTCGTTATAGCAAGAGGAAATTTATTATAGTTGTCTGAAAAATTCACTATATCAAGGGTTCGCTATATCAAAGTTTGACTGTATACTTTAAGAAGAAAAAAATCCTATTAATTAATACATTTTTCAAATGATTTTTTATATGACAATCAATATTTACTTATAACACTAAAATTGAATTATACAAATATAATAGTTTATTATAAATAAAATAAAATAAAATGATAATTTTATTAAAAAAAAGAAATATATTTAAATTAAGTTAATTTATATAATAATAATTTATATAATAAAAAAGTTAAAATTATTTTAAATGAGTGGTAATATCATTAAAACTTTGTATAAAATATATTTCAAAAATTGAAAACTATAAATTTAGAAAAAAAGGTTTAAATAATTAAAAGTTCAGCTACAATTTTGCAATAAAAAATGGAAATTTAAAGTTGAAGGTAATCAAGTAAGAACAATCAAATATTTTTATAAAATGAAGGCAAATTATAGAATATACTGTATATGATAAAATCTGTTGTACAAAAATATATGCAACCTTGTTATTAAAGAGCTCAACTACATTACCATTCTGCATAAATACATTTAGCAGACATTGGAAATGAATGATCATATTGATAAATATTTATCAAACATTTGTTCTTTTAATAAAGATGATCTTCTTCTATATCTGTTTTATTAAACCAATCAATTAATAAAAATGATTATAAAATATCATTTTAAATAAATACTTACAGTTATTAGGAATAACAAATTCATATAATTTAGAATATGAATATTCTACTAATAAAGTATTTAGTTCAGTAGATTATAGTAAAATTAAACAACAAAACTTGTTAATTTATTTATACCTGTTAGCATCTCTGACACATTTTTTGTATTAGGAAGTGGGCTGTTAAATTGATATGTAAGTAATCTGCTACCTGCTGATTCTAAACTATATTTATTCATATTTAAATTACTAAGATTTGATTGAAATGATTCATCTAACATATTTTGATATAATTTACTAATTTCAATTATTTTGTTCCTAAGTGTATAAATATCAAGTCTTTTTAATGGGTCAGCATTCCAACATATTTCAATTAAATTTTTATATTCTAAAGGAATTTCTGATGCAAAATTTGGCCTTAAACCACCAATGATATTTACTATCAAATCAAAATTATGTTCACAATTTATAAATGGTGGTTGGCCAAATGAAACTTCCCACATAAGCATAGCAATACTATAAATATCGGATGCAAAAGAATATTTTTTTGTAGTAAAAACTTCAGGCGCTATGTAAGGAAGATTCCCATATATACTTTTTGATGGTTTATCAGCAGGTCCACAAAATCCAAGATCACTAATATACCAATAATCTTCGAACTGTGAATACAATATATTTCCTGAATGCAAATCTCTATGAATTGCATTTTCAATATGAAGATAATAAAGTGCATCTAATATCTCAAAAATAATTCTAATTCTTTTCTTCCACGTGAGTTGATGATGATTTCGCTGTAGATATTCTCTTAAATCCATATCCATTTTCATCATCACGAGCATATAATTTCCATTTGATATATCTCGTGTTAACCCATAACATCGGACGATTTCTGGCCGCTTATTGTTTATAGTTAAATGTGATTTAGCCTAAAATATATATATATATATATATTATTTTTTAAAACTTTTTAATTATTAGTGTTAGGTTTTAATACACTTACCTCTTCAAACCAGCTATGACTTGCACTTTCAACATTTTCTAAACTTTTAAGTATTACTTCGAAAGTTCCAAATCTTTTTAATTGATTTTTTTCCATATCCCATTCATTGTAATTACCACCAATCCAATCTGCTCTATAAATTTTAGAGATTCCACCTTCTGTTAGATATTTAATATTTTGTAAATTATCATATGGGATCCATTCAATTATATAATCCGGTCCCAATGTTTCCATTTGACATTTCCGTATTAAGTTGTCAATTTCATCATTATTAGATGTCCAATTTGAAAAATTTACTTTTAAATTATTTCGAACACAATATTCACAAAATAAAGTAGCTAAACATACTTGGTTACAATTTTCGCAAATCCTTCTTTTTCCTTCATTAAATAAAACTTTATTTCGATCATAATATTTGTTTAATTGGTTTATTGCTCTAGTTTTTTGATTCTCTGTAAGCATTTCATCATCAAGAATTACTTTTTGTTGAAATTCAAATTTTTTGTGTATGTCGTCGTGAATTTTATTATCCATTAATGTATATGCTTTATTAATTATTGCATTAATCGAGTCCTTTCGAACAGCAGACATAATGCAATGCAATTAAGTTATATTTCATTGACTTCGTAGTAAAAGAAAAGGTTTGAGCGATGCAATTTATTGAATTTATTGGTGTAATGAAAGTACTCTTATTTATTGGTTTATGTTGTGCACTTGTAAACAACTTTGCAGAAACTCACTTAATTGTTAACAGCGTACAAAAAGTTTTTAGAAAAATTCCGGAAATCTTCTGAAAAATACCGAAATCTGCAGTAAAATGTCCGAAATCATTCAAGATTTAAAAAATTTTACCGGATTTTTCAAAAACCTTTCGGAAAATCCGGCAAAATTTGAATAGATTTTGTACGCTGATTTGTTAAGGATTACGTAACTGCATGTTATATTAGCGAAATTGTAAAAACATCACTATTGTTCCATAACTAATTAGTTTCAAAATCTTTAATATTTATTTTAAAAATAGCATAGTCAGAAAAAGTTAGTTTGGAGTATCTTTGCGACAATGGTACAATGTACTTAATTTTTTACCTTCTAAGTTCGATGGTTATCACGTGTATCACAGTTTAACTTTTTATAAAAACTTGCTAACCCATATTCATTATTAAACTTAAAAAAGCCCTTAACCACTTGATAACCTTCTGGAATATTATAATATTCGATTTACTAAAAAATCTCGATCAGCAATATTCATTGGTTCGATCTTCGGAATTTCAAGGAAGTACACGGACATTCCTGAGAGACTTGAGTGTCCTTAAATAGACTGGGGGTTCAGGTTCTTATCCTAGACCGCAACTGTATTAATCACGTGACGCTCTGAAAAAACTTGATAAAGAACCGGTTCAGGATAAATTTGTCCGAGTAAGGCAAAGAGAAACAAAAGGATAATATCATATAATTGTGCTCCTTTATTTGTTTTTGTTTGGCATGTATCATATGAATTCCCAGATGAGAAGCGTAAAAATTCTTTATATATGAACTTGGTTTTTAAAAATTATGCCCACTTTTAATATTAATATGATATTCACGATTATCTCTTTATTCGTAAACTACAGTGTTTTTTCTCTTCTGATAGTTATTACAGTTATCTATGTAACTCAATACTATTATCGTTATTTTACTCGACCAAATCCTCTACCTGGTCCATTTCCACTTCCAATTCTTGGTAACGCTCATCAAAGAATTGGATTTGAACATATTGATTGGTTGATGTCATTGTATAAAAAATATGGAGATATGTATGAAATCAATTTAGCAGGGGAACGTGTAATCATACTATCTAGACCAGATTTAATTGAAAATATGAATGTACCTTCATCAAAGACTAAATATCCTATTAGAAACCTTATTACAGAAGGTACTATGGAATATATGAAATATGGAGCGAGTGGGTCAGGAATATCTCGGAATACTGATTATAAATCTTGGAAATATAATCGTCAATTTGTTTCTCAAGCTATGATGACTCCAAATTTTAATGATAAAATTATTACACGGACGATTGAATTATGGAGAGAAATGGAATCTTATTGGAATATTATAGGAGAAAATAAAGAATTGGATCTGAAAAAATGGATGTCTAGATTTACAAATGAAATAATTTTTGAAGTTTCAACTGGAGTAAAAAATAATTCTGTCGCTTCTTATTATAGTACCCTTATTCCTGAAAATTATGCTTCTTTAAATAAAAAAGAAAAGGAAAAAATCGAAGAAACTGAAAAGTTTATTCAATCACTTGAAATTTTCGATAAAGGATTAATTTATTTTTTTATGTTTAATAAGTTAATTCGCCGTTATGTTCCATTTATTCGTGGACAAATAAATAATTTTTTAAAAAATAGAGATTATTTGTTTGATAAAATATATAATATTATTAAAGAAAGAAGAGTTGAAATTGAGAGTACACCGTTAGATCAACCTCTTCGTTACGATATGTTAACATCATATTTAACCGCAAATACACCACGTGATATCAATGTTACGAAACATGCCGATATCGAATTGTTGAGACCAATGACTGACGGTGATGTTTTTGATAATATATTCGATTCCTTACTTGGAGGAGGTACGGTAAGATGGATTTATTTTTTTTTAAAAAAATATATTTCATTTTCAAAAAATTCAAATTCATTTCTTTCTAAATATTTAAACAATAGATGTCAAATTTGATTTGCTTTGTCATATATTATCTTGGAACTTATCCTGAAGTGAAACAACGATTACGACAAGAAATTGAAATGGTTCTTGGAAAAGACTTAACAAAGCCCATAACAGCTAAAGATCTTGATGAATTACAATATTGCGATGCAGTTATCAAAGAAGTACATCGTCATCATCCTATATCTTTTTCGATCCCACGTGTAAATCTTGAAAAAGATGAGGTTGGAGGAATCAATTGGCCAGAAAAAACCTCATTTCAAATGCATTATGGTGCAATAATGAAAAATAAGAATTATTGGACTGATCCTGAAAAATTCGACCCTGATAGATTTTACAAAGTTGAAGAAAGTGATAAATATTTACTTGAAAAGCAACATATTAAAGATTCCTTTACTATATGGGGAGGTGGAATTAGAATATGTCCGGGAAGAAAATTGGCAATGATAGTATTAAAGTGTTTAGTTTCCTTGATTTATAGAAAATATGATATAGAAATAGCAGATGTGAATGAACCATTTAAATGCAGATCTGGTCTTCTTAGAGTTTGTAAAGAATTAATAGTTAAAATTAAACCTAGAATATATTGAAATGTATCACTTCCTAGTTGTGCAAAGGAATAAAATATTTATTATAAACCGATTGAAGTAATTTATTATCGAAGTCGTTACAAAAAATTTTTATTATTAAACTTCTTAACCATTTCGATATAATTTAGTAAATGTATTGTATTGGCTGACAATTAAATAAGCAAGCAGTTTTATTATCAGTTTATATCAGAAGATGATAAGTGAAAGGACGCCCTAAATGATAATAAATTTCTATAGGAAATTTTTTAATGAATAAATTAAATAATAGCAAGGTCAGCAATCAAGGATTTTATGTAATTGTATTTAATGTTAATTATTATTTATTATTTATTAAATTATTAAAATTTTACTTATTTCTAACAATTACAAATAAAATTACCACCACAATAAAAACACTTATCACTTACCGTTAAAATGGTTTTAAAGAACATTGAATTAATAGAAAGTTCATCGTTAAATTTTGTTATATCAAGTGATTTACGTTTACATGTGCTACAAGATTTTATATGTTTATTTGAAAGAAGGCTTAAGGTTATTGAACATCGTTCTATAAAAAAGAAGTGTTATTAAAAATGATTGTTTATTAATAGAGTATCTAAAGAGAAAATTTAATTACCCCAAAGATGTCCTTTTTCACAAGTACCTTTAAATCCGGGTCCTAAAGAAACATGTAATAAACACGAAAAAGAATTAAGTATAGATATTTAAATTTTTTTTTTAAAAAATAATTATAATCTTATGTTTAAAAAGGATATTTTTTTGGCATAAAGGACAAGATTCTCTTGCAGGAATCTTTAATTTTTTTGTTTTTGCCGATTTTGTTGATGAAATAAGTTTAATAGTCCAATTTATTTCATTATCCAAATCCTTAAATGTTCTTTTTGTCGTAGTCCTTTGTAATCCACTTAAATTCTCATAAATAACCTTTGCATAATTTAATAATTGTTCATCGGTTTGATAATATAATAATATCCAATCGCATAAATTTAATATGAAAGTTTGATCTCTTTCTATAGATTAAAAGAAAATCGTTAGTTTTAGAATATAATTAAAGTTATAATGTATTGTTTCCTTTTTTAATTAGAAAAAAGTTCTTACCATTACCAGCAATTAATCCACCTTGAAGACAATCTGAAATTATATTCAACACTTTTCCCAAAAAATACTTTAAGAGAGTTGAAATTTCATATTGAATTTTGTTTTGAATCTCGATACTTTCTTCACCATTAAACTCTAATCGCTATAAAAAGAGAAAAAAATTATAAAGATGTTATCTTACTGAAATGGTATTTTTTCTGAAACATACTAAAGTATTACAATAAAGGTGTATAATAATCCTCGATTTATTTAATAGGGTATGGTTATACAATTGACGTTTTAATTTCTTAACTAATCCATTCATTGATATGTCACTAAATTAAAAAAAAAGAAGCTTAATATGTATTGAATGTTTTTAAATAAGAAAATTATTCGTAAACTTACTTAGTCGTCATATCAAACAAAGAATAACTAGTTTCTAGAAAGTGTAAATTATCCGATTGTTGTAATAAACTATTTCTGAGAGCTTTCTCCAACATAGAAAATAAAGAATCATCTTCGTAATATTCATTTTCAGGATCACAGTATTCGAGCAAATCCCACATGAGATAAGTAGTAGACTTTCTGCAAACTACGTAAATGTAAAATTTTTATGAAATTTTATATTTGTAAGATATTATAAAATCAAAACTCAAAGCATACTTAAAAACGGATCCTCAAGCCTATTCAAAAGTTGTTTAACTAAAGATCCACGCATTTCGATACTTTTATAATTTTCGGTAGGAATAAAGGTAACATGAGAAACTTCAAATTTATCGGTAAGATACTGTACAGTACGAGATTCTAAAGCAAAAACAACTGCAACGAATAATTCATTAGCAGATGAGTCAGCTCCATAATAAATCGGTTCTTTCATTAAAGAATCATTTTCTTCTTCGGCATTTTTAACTTCTTCGACAAACGTAAATTCTTCAAGAGATTCATCATCTTTTTCATCTTCAAATTCTTGTTCTTGCCATTTTGTAATTAAGCTTTTATTAATGAAATTTGTTCGAGATTCATCAATATTTATTCCTTCCTCATTTGAAACATTAAATGTCCAATGATTTCCATCCATTGTGAAAACACGCAATTGACTTCCATCATATCTCCATGTTAATCCTATAAAAATAGTCTTTTTTAAAGTCAAACTTCATAATCAATGAATATCTTGATCAATATCAACTCACCTGTAACAACTTTGGACATTTGCATCGTGAAATTCAACGAAATAATTTGTGCGTCATAAAGCAACATTGATTCATTTGAAAGCCATACATAAATCTTGCGACCTTTTATCACAGCAAATTTTTCGCTTCCATCCTAACTCAGATAAAACGATTATAATTCTGCTTTAATAGAAAATAGGTAGAAACATAAAAATACCTACTGCTGAATCGTACCATTTCATAATCTCAGCCATGCGACCATCTTCATTTGTAAGAGTCATACGTAACGTGACAGAGAGTAAAAGTTTTCCATCCCCGTCCTCATTATTTGAAAAGTCTCTTGATAAGCTCACTTGCCACAGATAAACTGAACCTTCAACACATCCTGTTACAAAACTTGATGCATCTTTATAATTCCAGTAAAAATTGATAAATAAGATTTATTATAGAGTAATTTAAATTCTGCAATTTTACTCACATTGATTATTTCCTAAATTAACCCATCGTGACCAAGATGATATCGTTACCCAAGTTTCATGAGCTTGTAAGCAATAAAGGAAATTAACTCCATTATTATAACTATAAAAGAACATATTTAAATAAAATCAGTCTTTCTTCATAAAGTAAAAATAACAGGTGCAATATACCTCCAAAAAGTAATTGTTCCAGCCTTACTTCCGATGGCTATAATAGAAACAGGATCAAAATTCTCACCAATAAATAACGGTGACCATGAAATAGCTACATAAATATTATAAAATACAAATTAATTAAATTAATTAGAAAAAGTTTTTCTTCATAAATTTTTTTTTTTTTAATAAAATATTTACAAATTGATTGGAGTTGATCTGCTATTATTTCGTCAGTTATATCTTCGACCTTTTCATTGGTATACGAATTAATGATGTTTTCGGTCATATTTTCAATCTAACAACATTACAATAAGTAATAATTAATAAACAATTTCTTTTACATAAATAAAAATATCTTGCGTTGCAATTTAATACCTCTATCCAATCTGAATTAATAGGGTTGACTTTTGGCCCATAAATAGAAACGTTATATTTTGTTGTAATAGCTATAAACAAGCAACTAAAAATAATAAACACTTTTAAAAATCACTTTTACAAATGAAACAATTGATAAAAAAAAAAAAAAAAAATTTTTACCCTTTTAAATTTGACGTTCCATTTGGTGACCAAGTAGCACATCTAAAAGTTTCTTGATTTTCTTGAATAATTCTATCAGTAAAATCTAAAATCAATTCGATAAATTCGATAAATTAATAATAACAAATTCCTTTATAAGTAAGACATAAAATCACGTATAATACCTAGAACTTTATTATTGAATTTGAAATATCCTCTTTCTTTATTAAATTCTTGACATTCGACACGGGCAGTACACACACAAGTTCCATTTCTATCAATATTTAACCCTTTATATAATGGAGTCTAATATTATAAATTATAATATTAAATATCTTTTTTAGAAATGAATATTGTTACGAATCACTGAACTTACGAAAATGTAAATTCCTATCGGAGTAAATAATAATATTTGATTATCTTCGGACCATTTTAAACAATTTGGTATTGTGGGTTTTGTATTTACATCTCCATTGTTTAAATTCATTGAAAATAAGGTTAAGAAAAAAAGTTTCTATTTTATTTTATTTATTTTATTTTTTTTTTGTGGAAAATTTTCTAAAGGAAGGGTATTTAGATATTGTGATTTAAAATTCATGATCAAAAAATTGATAATCTATCTAAATTCGGAAAATCGACGTTAATTTAATGCTTACAGTACAAACTCCTTTTCTCGAAAATATAATTCATGTAAAAGCTCCTTATTTTCATAGAAGTGTTATAATTAATTACATACACAAAAAGGTTATTGATTGATGTATTGATGCGAAATCTATCTAGATTGCAGATTCAAAGTAGGTCATATACTCTCAAACACTAAAATTACGAAGAGCGTCGATAGTTTCATAGACTATTTGTGGTAGTATAACCTTTTCGGTACGCAACTTATGAATAGCAAATATGTTAACATCAAGAAGTGCTTTCCGATATACATTATTAATTCCTTTATTTTTAATGAAAATACCTAAATCATCTTTATATATACTGTACAGTATATCAAGTCATTACTACTATAATAAACAAATCACGTTACAAAACAATAATTAATAAATCCTTATATTGTCCAGGCATTGCCAAAGCTCAAAAGTCCATGCAGTTTATAAGTCGGATGAAATAAATCGATGAAATCACATAGGCTGTATTACTGACTTATATTTTCATACTGTCTAATGTTAGAAACTTAGAATAGTGTAATGCCGTTATCGCATAATCGTACATTATAAATTAAGTGTGAATTGCGAAGTTATAGTATACATTAAAATGATATGTTTAAATCGAGTATTGAAAATAATGTCTTAATCGGACTTACTGTATTTATTCTCGTAAGTTTATTGCTATGTTGATAAAAATTAATAAAAGTAATAAATAACACCCAAAGAGAGAAATGATTGACATAATTTCAATGACAAAGTGAAAAACATGGGAAAATAAAGATTCTGCATCACATAATAACAATGATTTGAGAAAAGATTCAATTGTACAGTACAATAAAATCACGTTCAGATGGTCAGCGGGCCGGACTACCAAATTTAACAAATGCTTTTTTTATTCGTTTCGTTAGATTGGATCATTAAAAAAAAATAGATTTAAAAACCACATTGTTACTACGCGTCTACACCGCTCGGTTATAATTCCCCAACAAACATATGCTTGATTAATAAAAACAGTAATATCAGTAAATTTAACTTATGCGACTAAAAAAAAAAATCTCGTGAATTTATTCTATCATTTAAATTCTGTCAGAGTTAATTATTGTCATTGTCAAATTAGTAGCGTACTACTAGCGTATTATTGCCGAATTTAACTAAATTCACATGCTAAGGCAAAAATTATGGTTTAATTCCAGCACTCAGCATATTTAATTTATTCGAATTACGCAATGATTTACACATTGATTACCAACATTAAGACTTGTTTTATGACATTGTCTCCATAATTGGTAGATAAAAAAACTATATTTATAGGCGGGGTTATAACATACCCCCAACTTTTTTAACTTTGTCGAAAATTCCGCAGTAATATATCCGTTACAACTTATTAAGCATGAATAAAGACAAAAATTCTCTAAAAATTTCAAAAAGTCCCTACAAAGAAAATGAATTTTACGATAACAAGGAAATTAATGTAGAAAAAGAGTTTAACGAAAAGAATTCTTGTGAATGTGAAGAAAATATTAATATTCAATCACAAACAATCAATTCTTTGACAGTTCGTGTTGAAAATTTGGAAACAGATTTATTTGTTGTTAAAAATCAGGATATTAAAAAGCTTCAACAAAAATTCAAATTAGCTCGTCTTAGCGCTGTTAATGGACGACAGGTGGTTGACCGTTTTTATGAACCGCAAATTTCTTTAGCAACACAAAATATTAAAAATTGCATTTCTTCAAATAAGTTAAAAGGTAAAGAGGTAGAAAGTTACAATGATAATGCACTTTGTAGTGCTCGTATGATTGATGACTTGAACTCTATAAAATATCCTCCGAATATCAAGCCACAAAATCCAGCCTTAAATTCTAACGCTGAGCCAGGAAAATTTAGATATGATCGTGATTTTATGATGCAATTTATGCGTGTTTGTAGAGAAAGACCAAAAAATTTAGAAAATTTATATGATACTTCTACAGAAAAGCCAGAAAAGCCAGAAGATAATTCAACACGGCGTAGAAAAAGAAGAACTAATAGACAAGTTCAATCTCAAACGATCGAAGAAAAAATGTTAACGCCTACAACAGATGTTTTTGATAAAACTGGACTCGATCGTCTGTATAATACACTTGATAAAGGTGCACGCCAAGTACAAGAACTAAATGTAATACAAGAGAAAGTTGCACCTATTGAACGTTCAGAGAACCAAAAAGTTCCTGTTTCAGCTTTAGGAATTTTACCTAAAACAACTGAAGACATCATCCCTACTTACATAGTAATACGTGATATCAGGGAATTTCTAAAAAAATTAACTCCCGAAAAATTTGATTTTGTATCAGACCAAATTATTGAATATGCCAACAGGTCAAGAGACGAAAAAGACGGGCGTATATTGAGAGAACTAACTCATCTTATAATTGAGGGATTGAAACCTCAGGAAATTTGTGCATTGTACGCTCAACTTTGCCGTAAGATAATGGAAAATATTGATCCTAGAATAGTTGATGAAAATGTTAAAAACATTGAGGGTAATTTTATCCAAGGCGGAGCACTATTTAGAAAATATCTTCTTAATTGCTGCCAAGAAGGCTTTGAGAAAGGTTGGGACGAATCAAATCTGGTCTCAGAAAAATCTAGGAAAAAAGCTAAGAGGCGAGGTCTCGGTCTTATATGTTTCATCAGTGAACTATTTAAATTAAATATGGTTACAGAACGCATTATGCATGAATGTATAAAAAAATTATTAGTATTTCAAGATCTACCCGGAGAAGAAGAAATGGAAGTTTTATGTAAATTAATGATTACAATAGGCGAAGAACTTGATCATTTCAAAACAAATCAACTTGAAAAAAAACTTGATTATGGCAAAGCAAAACGGCTAATGGATTCTTACTTTAATGCTATGAGGAATATAACGAACCTTCCAAACTTGCCAGATCGTATAAAATCTATGTTAATGGTAAATATTTCTCTATAATTTTTTATTTTTATGTTACTAATATTATTATTGTAAAATTTTAAGAGTACTATCGATTTACGAAATAACGCTTGGAAACCTCTTTATTCTCCAAATGTAATAACTATTGTTATTGTATATACGTATACTTAATAAATCATTCATTTTACAATTTTTTTTTCATCAATTTTAGGCAGCAAAACAAAAGGAGGATGCCGAATCTCCAAAAACATCTAGTGCAGGTGGTAAAGTTAAAATTAAATCAATAATATATCTTTCTTAATTTGATTATTAAAATACAAAGTATAAATTTTAGGTATAACTGAACCAGTGTGGCCTAGAGGCTCTAGTGGTCATGACCACCGATCAGATAAAGAAATGACATCTCAAGAATCGTCAGCATCATCGGGAAATGATGGTTGGAATGTCGTTAGTAAAAGTACATCTCTAAAGAAAAATAAAGAAAAAGCTGGTGACCTTACCAAATTTGGATCGGTGGGTCGCATTAGGGTCTCTGGCAAGGTTAATTTAGTACCGGGTGGTACGTTTGGAATACTTTCAAAAGGGGCTAAGGGTTGGTCGAAATGAATTTTTATATAAATATATAGTTTCAACTCATCTTCATTTTCAGGAATTATTATCTGAATACTTATTGAATTTCTTTATTATTTAAATATGTAAAATATAACTTATTTATATACATACTACAAAACAATATCTTGTTTAATATGATTTAACATGATTTATTTATTTTTTATTTTTTAGAATAATATTTTTAAGAAATAAGTAAGATCAATAATTCTTAATCTATCTTTTGGTAAAAAGAATAAATACATATCTTATTTTATATAAAACTAGAAAATATTAATATTAAGTTATTTTATATGTTGTATTTCATTATAAAACATTTATACAATATATAATATATAGGATAATTATAAAAATAAATAATAATAAATCTTAAAGATTAATATAATTAGTATTATAATGATCAAGCAAAAGAAAGTAAGAAACTGATCTTTAGATCCAAAATTTTCAAGAATTTTTTCAGTGTATTTTATGTAAAAAATATATAGAAATATGAACCTAATAATTCCAAAATGTCAAAAATAACTTCCAAAAACTTTTATTTTTAGAAGAATTAATTTTTATAATAGAAAAAAGTATTTAGAAATATTTTCTTTTATATATTGGCTTTTAGATTTAATAAGAAATACTATATGAATAAGATTATTAAGTACAATAACTATTAGTTGGATTTAACTATAACTATTCCAATAACTTTGAAGGAAAAAACTAATAATGCTAAATAGAATTTCAAACTCTGTATTTACCTATTATAAAAAAGAAAAAATTATTAATAGTATGCTAAATTTTTATTTAATGATAAAGAAGACATAGCCAATTCCTTTTCTAGAATTAGCAGACTTTATCAATAGTAAAGAAGATATAGCTAATTCCTTCTTTTAAAATTAGCAGACTTTACTAATAACAAAGTAGGATTTTATCTGCTTAAGTTTGTTATCAAGTGAACAAAAGAAATAAAAAAAAAGAAAAAAAAAGGAATAAAAAAATTAAAATAAAAAAGAAAAAGCAGGTAATTTCATAGGAATTACCCACTTTACTCATCTTTATCCAACCCAAACAAATAAATCCAGTACTCTCCTAAGTAAAATTTGTGAACTCCTTGACTCAATAAATTACCCATTCTATTTTTAGCTTAGGAAATTACCCACTTTGCAAATAAAAAAATACACACCTCTTTTAAAGTTTCTTGAGTCATTTATACTCTCTAGAAAATCAGTAATGCTCTTTTCAGAGAACTTTCATCTATTGTCCAGTATTTCAATATAAAATAATGCTGTAATTGATAAATAATTAAATACAATTCAATAATAAGAAATCAGATAACAAATATAAAATATAAACATAAAAAAATTTTTTTGCATTTTTAATATTTAATATGCACTCTTTTTCAAAAATTCCTTTAGAAAATTTTTTCATTTTACCAGTAATTGTAAATCTCTGTATTTACCTATTATAAGAAAGAAAAATTATTAATAGTATGCTAAATTTTTATTTAATGGTAAAGAAGACATAGCTAATTCTTTCTTTAGAATTAGCAAACTTTATCAATAACAAAGTAGGATATTATTTGCTTGAGTTGGTTATCAAGTGAACAAGAAAAATAAAAAAAAAATAAAAAAAAATAAAAAAAAGAAATAAAAAAACAAAAATAAAAATAAAAAAGAAAAACAGGTAATTTCATAGGAATTACCCACTTTGCTCACCCTTACCCAACCCAAACAAATAAATCCAGTACCCTTCTAAGTAAAATTTGTGACACTGGTCGAAATCAAAAAAATCGGACATATGAAAAATCGGCTAAAAATCAGACCAAAATTGGCTAATATTATAAATCAGCACATCTGATTGATGCCAATCAGGCAATTCGATAAAAATTCAGCAAAAGATCATCATATTTGATTAACGGCTGATTGATGCTAGTTAAAATCAAAAAAAAAAATAGACAAATGGCAAATCAACTTAAAATTTGCTCAATATTCAAATATGCACTTCTGATTTATGAAAAATTGACACTTCAATAAAAATTCAATAAAAATTCAATAAAAATTTGGCAAAAAATCATTATATTTGATTGACGGCTGATTGATGCTGGTTGAAATCAAAAAAAAAAAATCAGACAAAATGGCAAATCAACCTAAAATTTACCCAATATTCAAATATGATACTTCAGATTTATGGAAAATTGACAATTCAATAAAAATTCAATAAAAATTTGGCAAAAAATCATTATATTTGATTGACGGCTGATTGATACTGGTTGAAATCAAAAAAAAAATCAGACAAAATGGCAAATCAACCTAAAATTTACCCAATATTCAAATATGATACTTCAGATTTATGGAAAATTGACAATTCAATAAAAATTCAATAAAAATTTGATAAAAATTTGGCAAAAAAATCATCACTCATATTTGATTGATGGCTGGTTAAAATTAAAAAAAAATCAAACAAAATGGTAAATCAACCTAAAATTTACCTAAAATTAGCTAAAATTACAAATCAGCACTTCTGATTTATGGAAATTTAATACATTATTAAAATTCAATAAAAATTCAACAAAAATTCAGCAGAAAATGATCATATTTGATTGACTAATTGATACTAGTTAAAAATCAAAAAAAAAATCAGACAAATGGCAAATCAGCCTAAAATTTGCCTAATATTAGTTAAAATTACAAATCGGCATTTATTTCTGATTTGTGGCATATTGGTTAATGATTTATGGTTGAATCTTTTCATATTATTGATATACAGTCAACTCTCTTTATAGTCACACATTTGGGACAGTCCATATTTGGTGATTATAAAGAGATGTGACTATATAAAAAATTTCTTATATTAGTATATCATAATTCTGGCCAAAAATTAACATAATTTTGGCCAAAATTATACTTAAAACTTTATTGTATCGTAAATCCTCCAATATTAATCGTAGAGAGATGAGAGATGATCTTACCGCCATTCAATTCGTCTTGATGAGACGGTTCTAATGGTATAAAATACATCGAAATCCAATCACTAGATTAATTTCCGAAATTAAAAAAATATTAATGGTTTTTGTGTAATAACTCTGCCAATATTGATCCTAGAAAGACGATCTTACTACCATTCGATTCGTTTTGATGCGATGAATCTAATGGTATAAAGTACATCGAAATCCAATCACTAGATCAATTTCCGAAATTAAAAAATATTAAATAGTTTTTAAATAGTAACTCTGCCAATATTGATTCTAAAGAGACGATCTTACTACCATTCGATTCGTCTTGATGCGACGAATCTAATGGTATAAAATACATCGAAATCCAATTACTAGATCAATTTTTGAAATTAAAAAATATTAAATAGTTTTTAAGTAGTAACTCCGTCAATATTGATCACAGAGAGATGAACTTATTACCATTCAATTCGTCTTGATGAGGCGATTCCAACGAGCTATTAATCGTCTTTTTACAATCACTAGGTACCGAGATATTTAGCAAAATGTTAAATGGCGCAGTAAACGTAAATCAAGGAATATAATAATGCCGATGCTTACCATTTTGCTGAATAACTCATCAGCCAGTGATCGTAAAAGGATAAAACTACCACCATTCGATTCGTCTCAGTGAGACGATTCTAACAAGCTATGGTACATCTTTGTACGATTATTAGATGCCAAGTTATTTGATATATTCTTTATATAATTGTGATTATAAACGGTTCTTTTTAATATGATTTTTGAGGATAGGTGTGACTATATAGTAGAATGTGACTATAACGGGAGTGACTATAGAAGGAGTTGACTGTACTCCAATTTTTTTTTCTTTTTTTATTTGAATGAAACGTTAACTAACGTTTTGTTATTTTCTTTTTTTTTAGGTTTTACTCTCCAGTTTCTGTATGTCTGGATGGAATTTTGAAGGTACTCTTCAAAATTTTGATTTTTTATTTTTTTTTTATTTGAACGAAACATTGACTAACGTTTCAATTTTCTTTTTTTTTAGGTTTTCGGCTTTTCAGTTTCCATATGTCTGGATGGAATTTCGAAAGTACCTCTTCGAAATTCCAATTTTTTTTTCTTTTTTTATTTGAACGAAACGTTGACTAATGTTTCATTATTTTCTTTTTTTTTAGGTTTTGCTCTCCGGTTTCTGTATGTCTGGATGGAATTTTGAAGGTACTCTTTAAAATTTTGATTTTTTTTTCTTTTTTTATTTGAACGAAACGTTGACTAACGTTTTGATTTTCTTTTATTTTTAGGTTTTCGGCTCTTCAGTTTCCGTATGTCTGGATGTAATTTTGAAAGTACTTCTTCGATTTTTTATTTTTTTTTTATTTGAACGAAACGTTGACTAACGTTTCAATTTTCTTTTTTTTT